CGTGCGTCATGCCGCTTGTTGACCATAGGTGGTGCACGATTCGATAAAGCACCACCTCCTGCTCCGGGTGCGCCGCCACGACGACCATCGACCACACGAGCGGAGGGCCCCTCTCCCGCCAGAGAATTTTGTACACGTGGACCATGGGGCCCACGCGGATTGCATCTGTTGCATGCCTTCGTCTGCGCAAAATGAGTACGCGGGTGTAGCCATGAGACCGGGCACTCACATTGAGTTCGTCGGGTCGGGCACCCCGCGCGAGTCGCCGTGGTAGTGCGGCTGCATGTCGCGGACCAGCTCTATCATGGTGCGGAGGAGGTCACGTAACGACACCGTGGCACGGGTCCAGGGTCGGTTGTAGTCCGGACGCAGGTATGCCGGCCAGGTCCACTGCTGGTGGAAGTCTTGTGCCCCGTACAGGGGCGGGGGAACCGGAGGAGGCGACGCATCCCAGATCTCGCGAGGAGCGCCGCCTGCGAGGCCCATCGGGCTCGCTGCAACAGGCCCAGTCGCAGGACCTTGGACATGGGTGAGATGGGAGTTGGGAAGCAGGGCCCGGACGCTCACCTTGCTCAGGCGCGTCGCGCGCCGGCAAACCAGGCTCCGCAGCAATTGCTGAACCAGCGTTGCCGCCTGATACGCGTCACGCAAGGTAGGTCAGTAGTTAGTGGCAGGGCGTGGAACGGAAGGGCGCACCAAAGGCGGTGGCCGCAAAACCATCCCCGCGACGGGATCTGAAGGCGGGGGAAGCGCAGCAAAGGCCGTCGGGGCCGCGAGGAAAGCCGCTGGACCGCGCGCAGTGCCGCGACCGGGGTCACTCAAGCCAGCTGGGGAGTCGGAGCGATTGAAACGTGAGGGCGGGGAAGACATGATGGCTTCAAGGGTGGGGGAAGAGATGGAGGTGCGGAGGACGGGCGAGTATATGTAAGGCGCGTTAAGCGACCACTCTGCCGGTGCGGCAATCTAATCTGATGGGAAGTGACTCACCAACGACTAACGGACGGCGTGTTGCGCAAGGAGCTGGCCAATGAGAACGCTAAATCGAAAGGCAGACGGGAGGGAGTACGCGTCGGGCGGGCGCTTCGGAGTCAGCAGGTACGGACGGAGGCTCGCGGGAGCAGCGGAGCGCCCCTGCGTGAGCCCAGGGCTGTTATCAATGACATATTCGTTCGTTTTATGCCTCACTCATCGCAGTCTCCGCGAGCTTCGGAGGCGGTTGCGATTTCTCCAGGCAAATCCGGATCCGCGCGGCCATTTCCGAAAAGGCCGATCAGATCGCGCGTCCTCAATGGGAGGCCGCACCGTGCCCAGCAGCCAGGCCGCAGGCTTACGCCTGCGGTCTCGGCTGGCCTATGGTCATGCAGACCGCCGACATTACCCAACCGAGGGACCCCCTGCCAGCCGACCCATCCGACGCAGGAGGGGACAGCCGACATTGGAAAGGCGGATGGTGTGGCTGCCCGACATCGGCGTGTCCGATGCATATCGTGCAGCCCGACCGCGGCCACCCGATGCTCATGGAGATATCCGATGTTGGGTACCGAATGAATTCGCCCTGAGGTTGAAGAGGCGGAGCGGGAGGCCGGCCGACCTCGACTGCCCGATGAGTATGGGGCCCACCGACATCGGCCATTCCTATGGTGTTAGGGGCACCCGACGTCGGGTCGCCGGTCTTCGAACGTCTTAACAGGAAAGGCCGCAAGGTGCACCCATCCGACGCCGGCCAACCGATGGCCATAGATGCATCCGAGGTCGGTTGCACTATGCTTATAGGGCAGGTGTAAAAGCCGTTGCGGTCTTATACCAGCCGATGTCGGGTACCCAATGGGGATCGGATGGCTCAGTAATAACAGCTCGTACTGTATACATTACTATGCTACACTGACCCGTCGGCCGTCCCAATGACTATGGACGCAGAAGACCGCCGGCTGCCCAAACCCCATAGGCGGAAGAGGACGCATCGGCCGGCGTCGGCTGCTCGATGGCATGGGCTTAATGGATGCCTCGGCTCACTAATGCTCATGGGCAAATGCGCTGAATGGGCTCCCTCTGCCGCACGGGACCAACTGTGGAGGGGGTCAGTTTCGGCAGTGCAACAGAGCATAGACTCTCACAGTCCGACGGGGAGGGCCAGAGCAGGCGCGGCGGTGGCACCAGCGAGAAGGACAGAGAAGACAATGGAGTAGCGCATGGTGGGTCGTAAGATGTGCGTGACAGAAAAAAACGACGGTCGTGAAAAAAAGCGGGGCTAACCGGCGGTCAGCATCGGCGTTCAAGATGAACATGAGTGATATGGTACTCACCAACCAGTACCCTCACTTGAGTTGAGCTCGAATGGGAAGAGTGAGCTGAGGATTGGGGGAGAGAGCAGACTCCTTTTATATGTAAAGCTCCCAGCGCTGGACACGCCTACAAAAGGGTGTCTGGCGTTCTGCGAGTGTTCCATCACACAAGCAGCTCTCAGGCGGGCTCCAAGAGTGCAAAGCAAACCGGCGCCGACAACCACGGTCACATCGCGGCGACACGGGTACACGCGGAGTCCGCGTACCGTACACCGCATGCATTCCGGTCTCAAAGTCATTCTGCCTGCATCTATGGAGCAATTGTGCTCCGTGTAAATCGCAGGGTCAACGTGACCATTTAACCCGCATCTACTTCAAGAGGTACCTACAAAATCTGCGCGATATTAGCCTACGCCGTGAATGTCGTGGGTTGTAGAACCCACCGTCAGGAATCTGAGATGACAAGACATTTCATGTCCGAGAGTTGTCTGCCTGAGCTCAGCTGGCCGGACAGGGAATGGATATGATGAAACTCAGGAAATCTAGGTATCAGCGCGCAGTGCGGAAAGAAGCCCGCTATCACGATCTGCAGGGTTAGTAAAGTTGACGTCCTCAAGACTCGGTTGCGCACAAAACAATCAACTTGTTGCTCTGTGTCTGCGCTACAGTGCCGATAGTGAAGATTGTCTATACAGTTCGGAAGGCGTACCAAGCTTGGGTTGTGACAGGGCCTCCGAGTTATCATGATTCACTGCAAGCATCTGAGTAAGAGTACAGAACCCAAGAAACGAACCACGCCGTTCTGTGGCGCTCCATTCGGCACTCCACAGATCTACATCGGTACATGATTGACGCGCAGACGATGCGGTGCGGTACTGATCTACTAGCGGGTAAGTAACTTACGAAGATCCCTGAGGCGCACGTACTAAGTACTTAGTACTCACTATGTAGTGTTCAGGCGATGAACATACGAAGAGCGCTCCGCAATCGGCCCTTGCACCGTGTCGATGCGTAACGTCATTAGCCTTTGCTATCAAATGGGCAAGCACGCCGCTGGCACGGATTCGGTCATGGATCACGAAGAAGATACAAAGGGGAAATTTCCGTCGGATATTCCACAAACGTGAGCGTGTTCAACTCGACGTTCCGTACATCTGATCGCATGTTGGTGAGCGAGGCCTACGGGACATCGTACATAATCCCGGAGCAGATGGCAACCTCGCTCGCGTTTGTTTACATTTGTTTGTTTGTTTATTCCCGTTATTGTTACTGAGGCCTGAGGGCGGTGCCCTAAGTACTATGTAGACATTACATACGAAATCTAGTCATTCTTGTCCGTGGTCGCGTAGCATCGCCATGCGCCGAAGCTTCCGGCAGGCATGGTATAGTAGAGTTGTATGTGTAATCGCATGGGATGAGGGTGGAATAGAGAGATGTCGTGGTCCCTGCGTCGCGCCGCGCGCACGTCGTCGTGCATCATGTCTCCATCACCGTGTTCGCGTCTTCGCAGCCTTCAAGTTCAAGTCCGAGTCCGCGTCTGTCATCTCTAGGTCTCCGTACGGAAGCAGCCGGTGTCATGAATGTATCGGAACAGGGGCTTTACTTAGGGTGCCCTGGGAGTTAGAGAGGTCTTTGATCGAACGTGCTGCGGTTTGTTTACACGAAATTCATCATGGGGCGTGGGCCTTCCGGATCGGTCGTCTCTGGCCTGTCATGCATTCGTAAACCCGGACAAGTAAACATCATGCAGCAGCCCCTTTTTCAGGTATTGACGGGCGTTCAAACTGCAGAATGACTCGGGGTGAGGCAGTTGCGTGTACTACACGGATAATGACGGCTGCTTACATGGCCATCATGGAATGTACGTAGACTGCGAGAGGAGTTCAGTTGGTCAACGGTGTGCGGCAGATGAAAGACGACGGCAAATAGAATGTGTACCTTTGCCCCCAATAGAGTGAAATACAATCCATATCACATTCTGTTCATACAAGTATGCTAACCACTTTTACCGGCATCGTCAGTACTAGTGTGCCATGACAATATATCGCACATATATAATGACACACCGTTGTACACAACGCGATTTGCATCACACTGTAGTGTCGTTCCCGTGTTTCATCAGTTATTGCAATACAAGGGGATTCGGGGAAGTGCCTCACGCAGAGAGGACACCGCGATTCACAACGTGCGCGATGAGCTTGCGAATCAGGCTGTCCGTTCTAAGTGAATGAGATGTCACTGTGAGGTGGTCAAAGCAATGGGTGAGAAGTACTGTACTGTTTGGAACCTGTCTTCTTCTTGTTTAACACCCATGAAAGGACGACGCAGATGTACACATCTGTTACTGCAGCAAGCCAGACTCTGGCCATCATCGGTGCCTGATACACAATCAGCCGCCATTCTTTCCCAAGATTGTATCTCGAAGACCTACTGTGACCGCAGGTCGAAGTCTCCAGAAAACCCAGTGGTAAGCCGGCGTACTGCCAGTCTTATACACCTCAGAATATCAATTCGAAGCTTAAGGTTCTCTTACGCAATAACAAGTACACCCCTGTGAGAGAGGGAGAAAAGGTGTGGTCAGTATGATTGGCAGTGCGATGACTTGAAAGACTGTACAAAGGCTCATGGCTAGCATGCAGAGGTCAAAATAGCGTCCGACTGGACAGTGCTCGAGGACACTCACCTAGAGACAAAAGTGATGATAGCAGCTAAATCCAAATTCCTCGTCAGAACTTTACCGACACACTAACAACCGGGCACTTACCGGAAGAACAGTCAACGCTATCTTAGCCTTCAAAGGAGAGTTTGATAGCACTAGAGATCATGTATGTGTTAGAGTATTGTGTACATATCCATTAGTTACCCGGAAACTTACAATGCCATATGCCATGGATGTAGAACCTAGGACAATCTCAACATGGCAGTTTGTTACCGGAGGTCTCCAATACACACATCTGTACGGCGCAGATAATTACGGACTGCATGAGCATTAGTTCCTGACTGCTGTACCATCGGAGGATGACGTGCCATAGTTGCATACTCCAGCTGCGATTTTGACAGGGATCAGTAGGTCTTGTTTTGTTATCGTAGGATAAGGTAAGCAACAGTACTCACGTCGAATGTTCTGCATGAAGAATATGTGAGCTGGATACTCACGCACGTGAGAACACACTGTGTACAAAAAGGCTGCGTACTTCGGGTAAGTAAGAGTGTTCGGTAAGTCGCCGTGATGTCGAACAACGATGGACCACACGATCTATTATTTGCGATTATAGTGATCCGCTTCATCTACGGCCAGCAAGAAACTGCACACGTACACAACTGTCAGCAGCGGTCACAACTGTGTCAAGCAGCCTTGCGAGCTATGTTAGTTTTGACGACTTGAACCCGAAGCAGAGTTGTTGCCAACCAAATCAAGAACACCTGAACAGCTGTCAGTACGGAACACAACAGATCCATTGCTTGAAACTGGATGACGCACGAATCCCTTGAGATATAGTTGGTCATGGTCCAGGTAATGACGAGTATAGTAGAAGAATTGAGCACATGCAAGTCCATACAACCTGAAGGACTTCGTCAATGCTGTGAACATATTGGGTTGCTGGACTCACATCACGGAAAAGGGGCCGAGCGCCACAAACATGCATCCTATGCTTGGACCGATATCGATGTGCTGAGTCGCCATTTCACTGGATTGAGTTATCCGACGAATATCACCAATGGTGTAGGGCCGCGTCAGGAGTTCCCAAGCAAGCCGACGACATTCCGTCTACGAGGTTCGTATGTATATAAAGCTCTATGAATAGCCATGATGTGGCTGTAATCGCAAGCGTTATTATTGTTGTAGACTGCAGCGTTGGAAAACGTCGTACGGTGACCAATGACTCGACCCATGACAGCTCTCTGGCGACGTGACACTATCGGGTGGTGCCATCGTTGAAGCGGTGCGGAGGTCCCAGCCTCCCACAACGACACGTCTGGCGACGCAGACATAAAACAGTCGCCTTTCGCATCGCACGACTGTTGATTACCTATGGCACCGCCGCTAGAGCGATGCGTCGGGTGTGATGGTTAATGCGAGGTTTCGTATTGCAATACACAGTGCGCATGCGCAATCAATACGAGCTCACCTGTGTTTGATCCCATTCGCGCCTTGCAGCCTTTAGATAGATGCGTGAGGTGTGATTCATTCTATCCAGTCTTCACCGTGACAGCCAGGCGCTACGCTATCCTAATCAGTGTCCGGGACCACGCAATCTGACGTCGTCATTTCAAACTTACTATGTACTGTCCTGGCATTCGACTGCAATATGATTTCTAAGTCGCGTGTCAAATGCTACGTTGAACGACGGCCTGTTCGAGGCGCGTTGTTCAGTCATCGTACCACGGAAGATGCGACTACATACCGTGCCCTAGCCAATTCCCAGAGCGTGTAAGCACATCGGACTGCTGTGACTACTAGCATGCAGTACAGCAATCGTTGAATGTTGAACGTTTGAACATCGACTCTGCATCTGATCCGCCGTAATTCGGCGATAGATGCAGCAGAGCCTCAAACACGATCCTGAAGCGCTGCGAACAATCTGGAATGCGAGAATTGACCACGACACCACTGCAAGTCTCCGGCACACTGTTGGGGAACGAACGACTGTGCCAGTCGACTCCTGCCACTGGCAGTACTTCAAGCGTCAGGTTGCACAGAGCGCTGGCCGCTGTGTGTTCAGGAGACAGTTCACTTGCCCAGTAGAATATATCAAAAAGAATTGGATTCTGCATGGCCTCAGTCAAAGCGACAGATATTGCGGTAACGAAGAGCCAGAGTAAGTGAGTTACTACGTAATGAGCACAACTCGATTCGGAAACACAGCAGTTGCCTATTGCAGGGACTGGCGGATTTGCACATGCACCAGCCACGTGGGTACCGTCGTGAACCCGCTGACTTAAGCTCAAGACTACGTCGTCCTCAACAGACCCGCTGCTTCCCCATCTTGATTCTTGACCACCATGGACGCACCTTCCACCTCAGCAGCAGCCCTCAAGCTTGAAATAGCTCGTCTTTCAGGTGAACCATCCGAGAGAGCTCACCGGACATGTCACTCACCCCCGTACAGGTGTTATCAACCGCCACAAGACTGGAGAACATCATCCGCAATCGCGGCCGACGGTTCGGCCTACAGCACACCCTAGGAGCAACGTCTATGTCAATCCGAGCTACAAACCAGCCAGCAAGACCGCTCGTCCCCAAAACGCGCCCCCGCCGCGCTCGCAAGCCGCGGAGAGACCGTCTAACGCGCAGAAACATGATGTTGTCATCGGAGGGGTCGCCTTCGAGGCATCGGGGCGGAGCTTAGTTCGTAAAGACTGTACGCTCTCGTACCTTCGCTATCGTCAACGAATGCGCTATGATTGACTGTGCATTATAGTGGCCAAGCCGACAACAAGCGCACCCGGGCGGCCCATCTCAGCCAAGGCCGCTTTCATCAGAGACAAGAACGGCACCATGATCAATGCCAATCGTACATACAAGCCTAAAACGTCGCGCCGGATGCACTCCTCTGGTCGTAACATGACTCTCAACAACATGAGGAGACCTTATCAGTCAGTCCCATTTGTGCGTACGCTCTTGCCAGTTCAAACTTACTGGCTCCCCAGGAATCGCCGCGTATCCAACAAGCGAAAGTCCCTGAACAAGCCCTGCCCTCGTTTCACTACTACAGGTACGTCTTCAGCTCCGATCAGTCAGCCTGATCCATGCACGAACATGGAACTGCTCCCCGCGACTCCATTCTCTAGGTGCCTGCAATCGCGGCTTGACATGCATGTACCAGCACGATCCCTCCAAGATCGCCATCTGCTGGCCGTTCCTGCAGGGCAACTGCCCCAACACAGCTGAGACCTGCCCACTTTCGCACGACCCGACTCCGGAACGCACACCGCTCTGCGTGCACTTCGCGAACAACGGCCGGTGCACGCGGCCAAACTGCCCGTTCCCGCATGTCCGCGTCGGCCAACGTGGCGGCGTCTGCCGAGACTTTGCGGTACTCGGCTACTGCGAGAAGGGCCTTGACTGCGACAAGCAACACGTCCGTGAATGCCCCGACTTCGCGGAGAAGGGCGCCTGCACGACTAAGGGCTGCAAACTACCCCATGTCATCCGCGCCAACCGTGCTCGCAAGATTGTCCCTCCCACGGTAACCCCAAGGATACTAATAGCACGGATGCCTCTGCTGGACAGAGCTCCGCCACTGCTTCTGCTTCTTCTGTTGAGCCTGATGCTGGTTCTGATACTTCCAGTCCTCATCCGGTGACTGCAGAAGATGCACAGCTAGGCGATGAGTTCATCTCACTTACGTTCCACGAGAGCGATAGCGAAGATGACGAGGACGAGGAAGAGAGCGAAGGAGATGAAGAGGACGATGATGAAGAGGGTGACGAGCAATCAGAACCCCGCTCAGAGCCGTCACCGAGTGTTGAAGGTGTCTAAGTTACGGAACTTCTTGTGTAGTAGACATACCCCAGTGTAGCATGCATTCGCGTTGTGTTATTGGACGAGTGTAATACATTTCCATTGACGATTTCATCTGGCTGCGCCACACTCGAGATTGCGTGCACACTGACACAGCGTTTCTAAGAGTACATTGCATTGCACCCTCGTCCTGGAGAAGGTAGTCGAGTGGTTCATAGTGCATGAACATATGTAACGTGCGTGAGGCAAATACAGAGCATGAAGATACGAGAACGACAGACAAGACACTAAGCCTCGGTCAGGTCGCGCAACCGGCGGACCGTGCTAACGAAAAAGTCAGACGGAGACGTTGAGGGGTAGACTTGGGTTAACATACCTGCGGACAGTGGCAGCCGCTGTTGTCGATACAGTCCAGGCACCACCCGCGATCACCTTCTTGCACGACCCGCACTTCCAGATACCAACTGCCTGGCGCTTTACGGAGTCCTAGAAACGGGTGAAGACATTGAGAACTGTTTGTGGTCGATTGCGAGCGGACGCACCTTGCCGCAGAACGTGCATGTGTACCGGGCGTGCTGGGTGATTTCCATCTACGGAGTTACGGTTCCGCTTCAGTACACATCGACATAACATTCAGAGACAGAAGCACACCTTTTTCACCTGCTTACGCAGGGAGGCACCGTAACGCTAGACGTCCCAAACGTCCTCGTCAGTCCACCGCCGTACTGCTTGCTTCCGCACCGAGTCTATGGAAAACTCACGGTACCGTACTTTCCAGTCACGCCGACCTTGCGGGTTCGTTTCGTCTACGCACAGAGAGCAGTCAGCAAGCGTCACACATCCAGCGGCGTAGCGTACTCACCATCTTGAGGAGGGGCTTGCGTTGAGGAGACCGGCGTGCTTGGGGAATTCACGACTTACCGAGGCGCGTGAGGGAGTGTGGGAGGAACTGTATAGCTGCTCTCAGCCACCGTTATATTACATAATCCGAGGACCCGACAGGCGTCCGATACTGCACTTCGGCGCTTGTCCTCAGTCGCATCCTCGCCAACTCGGTCACTCATCTACTGATGCTGGCATAATTATGGCACTCGCACAGCTCGGAACTACCTACAAAGTAAAAGATGCTTCAGAGAAAGCGCGTGCTCGGAGCGCCAGGCTGTACTCCGTAAGTACAGTATCATAAGCGTCAGCCTTGGATATCCTGCCACCGTGGCGTCCTGACTCGGAGTTCCTGACCTGACCGGGACCCTTGAGTTTTGCTTGCAGCTGATTGAGGTGCGCGATACTTACCCGTCATACGCTTGCAACCGGTCATCTCGTAAAGAGCGTTGCATTCAGTGTGCTCGATTCCAGCTCTGATGTATCACGATACTGTGAGTCTCCGTGACGCGTCGCGCAGGTCTCCAGTTGAACGACTATCGCGACCTTGTGGCGTAAGACTTGCGCGGATGCGAAGACATTCCCGGTGATGGGATGCGGGTCTCCTCCCATGCCATATCTTCCCCTTTCCATAGTCAGGTTCGTTGCATTCGTTTTATAGGTGTCGCGTGAGCAAACTGACTGAACTATCAATGAATAGGAACTCAATGCTGGCTTTGCTCAGAACGTTAGACTACTTGGTCTACTGTTCCGTCCAACGTTTAACTTCTTCACCCGATACCGGCGGACATCCGATGTGTAACCCCTCACATGTCCAAATTGGACGCCACCCGAGGCAGAACAAGTCATAAACTTGACTCGAACCACAGCCACACAGTACGTGTTTTTCTGGCGAGGCCCTGGCCCCTACCTGGCCCCTGAAAATCGTGTATCTATTATCCTTTCCCGCAATCGTCCGACCTGGTGCACTATCAGGCATGTTATGAAATGCAAGGTACAGTCTGGCCTCGGTTTAGTATCCGACGTGTCTATCTTAACTCCCGTGCACTGCGGCACCTGAGTTCACGGCATACATCTATAGTGTCGCAAGCTTCACAGCGAGATAACTTGGCTTTTAGAAACACCCGCGAGCAGTCGTGTTCATTGAGCTGGGTTCAGGAAGGTGCCTCGCATATATATCCTTGTAGGTCCCAGGGCATCAAATGGCTCGTGCCTTGTACCGCTGTCTATCGTCGCGATATCGTGTATCGTGTATCCACCGCCGCTGGGCCCCAAATCAACGGTCTTAGCGTCCGGGCGTTCTGTAATAGCGGTCATACAAGCCTTTATGCGCCTGTATCTTATCTTCCCGAACACTTCGGAGCGAGACCTATCTGCGGTGTATAAGAGGTGCCCGGTGCACTGCATTGCACGCTGTTCCGCCTCCTCTTCGAAGGTCACATAGTCGTCGACATGGCCGAGTCAAGAAGTTCAGGAAGCACGAAGGAACGATTCCTCAAGTTCATAGAGGTCCCCATCGACGCCAATGCGGGGTACAAGAACGACGTATGTTCCTCGCTTATCTTTAATTCACTTGACTGACGCCACAAATAGCACTGGACCAACAGGGATCTAATCCCTATGCCCGTAGAGCGGCGGACGTATGCCATCTGGTCGTACTTCATCTATTGGTGTATCAGTGGCTTGTGCATCTCAGCGTACACCACGGGTAGCACGATGCTCTCCTACGGCTTGACTGCTCAGCAAGCGATCGTCGCTCTCGTGATCGGCGCGTTGTGTACAGGCTTCTTGTCCATATCCTGCGGTTGGATGGGAGAGAGGTATATTTAGTCCCTTGGGCGCGCTTCTGAGGTCAACTCACAGTATACCAACAGACACCACATAGGCTTCACCGTCGCCTCCAGGTTCACTTGGGGAATGAGGTAAGCCGGAACCGGTTGTACTCAGGGTGAATAAGGTTAACCGTACCCGGTGCATTGCGTAGAGGAGCCTACTTTCCCATCATCATCCGTTCTTTCACGTAAGCCTTGCTTCCGTCCGTAGTTGCCGTCGCCTTGTGCTCACAGCGCCTCACAGGACTATCTTGTAAGTGTAACGTGTCTTTGTCAAAATACATGCCAATCATGTTTTCAGCTGGGATGGGCTACAAGCATATTGGGGAGGTCAAGGTACGTTTTCTTAATCCTGACGTCACGGCGCCTAAAGTCTTTTATGCTGATCTTCTCTCCTTTTCTCCAGCTACGGCGGTGAGCAACACGGTGCTCGGTCTTGTAATGTACGTTAACGAACAGCGACGCAGGTGGTCATCGGGGCTATCATTCCAGGTAATTCACCGAATATTATTGCCCCTCTCGGAAACCCGCTGACATGTGTTCGCCGTAGGGTTCGCTCACATGTACGTGTGATTGAGCTACTGTCCCGGTCTTCGAGGTCTTAGGGGCAATAGGAAGCAAACCTTGGCCGGTGGAATCCTGCTCACGAAGGACTTCGTTGGGATGATGTAAGTCCTGCCTCACTCTTCGTTGCGCAAGCAGATTCTGAACTCCACGCTCAGCATATATTATATCTTCTTCATCACGATCATGCGCATTCCTCCCGAGAGGCTTCAAAAGCCGTTCATTGTCTCGTCGATCATGTTCGGTGGCACGTAAGTCATTTCAGTCCTTGATGGAAGATCCTTGAACACTCAACGACTTCATAGCCTCTTGGGCCTCCTTATTTGGGCTGTGTCTAACGTCCACGGACCTGGACCATTGTTCAAGGAACCGGGAGCGCCGGCAAACGGTAGCATAGGCTGGTCAGTACTGATGTGAACCGATCGCGAACGGAGTCTGACTCTCGACCAGGGCAATGATGTTCGGCATTACCGCTATCTTAGGATCATGGTAGGCGCTGTTTGCTACATCCGACGGGGCTTCGGTCACTGACGTGAGCAGGGGCGGAGGAACACTCGGTCAGAGCGACTGGACGCGTTATGCCAACCGGCCTTATGCGCCGACACTCTCACAGATGGTCGCTGCGTGCGTGATATTCGATTAGTTTCTCCAACGCTCTTTCTGACGCGTCTGTTGCAACAGACCATGCACAATCATTGTATGCGCCACCATTGGTATCATCGTGACGTCCTGCGCACAGCAGATTATCGGCGAGCTTGTCTGGGAACCGTTCCAGTTGTTGAGCGCGCTCCAGGATCACTAGTACGCCTATGCAGTGTTAGTTGGTGGATTTGAGCTTACCCGTACTCGTCTGCGTAGCAACAATTCCCCACGAGGTGAGCGACGCTGGCTTTAATGATGTCTTCTACGCGTGATCTGACAGGTTTCGCGCAGCTCGTTGTGGAATGTAAAACTCTCCGTCACATTGACGTACTCGACATTGACGCCTGTGCAGTTTCTTTGCAGGTCTTGGTTGTGTATGCGCACAGCTCGGCATCAGTATCGTCCTCAATTCCGTCAGTGCAGGAATGGATTTGGCGTGAGTATCTTCATCTTCTCCACCTACGGAAGGACCCAAGTGCTGACTCTTCTCCTTCCTAACGCAGTGGTCTCATGCCGTAGGTTATGGACACTTCCGTGTATCGCCGAACGTACTCACATTTCGAACAGGCGCTACATGAACATCAGGAGGGGTGCTTACTTCCTGGCTGTTCTTGGTCTGGCTTCAAACCCATGGCAGTATCTCTCCAATGCCGCGACCTTCCTCACTGTTCTCTCAGGCTTTGGAATCTTCCGTACGTCGCATTCCGAGATAGGTGTGGTAGTCTAATCCAATCTGTTACGCAGTGGCTCCGTTCACTGGCGTCATGCTCGCTGACTACCTGGTCGTGCGACGCTGCGTCATCAAGCTCGAGGACTGCTATATAGGCAATAGTAGCTCGATTTACTGGTACGAGTTCATTGGTGGACCCTGCTTGGGACGATGATGCTAAGACAGTCTTCATAGGTACTGGCACGGCTTCCACTGGCGCGCACTAGTCGCTTGGGTGATTGGTGTCTTCCCTACCATGCCAGGATTGATTATGACCGTGAATGACCCTGCTGCTTACAACGGCTGGGTCAGGACTTTCCACATAACGTTCTTCGTCGGTAAGCACGATTCACTCTCACACTAGATGGCGCCCTTTTGATGGCTGTGCTTTGCAGGACTTTCCGTGTCGTTCGCCGCGTTCTGGCTTATATGCACCATCTCTAAGCCAGTCGGGCTTGGAATTGGCACCAACTACCATGACGAGAGTATGTTCAAGCCTACTGATGATTCCGCATCGGACAAAGTCAGTACTATTGAGAAGGACGAGGGTGCAAACGTCACGGTGTCGGATGTCTAGATTCAAAGTTAGACTATTTAAGCTATAGCTGCGCTGCATTCTCCCATTGTATCATTGGTAGCACCTCTTGTGCGACCTGACTGTATGCTTTGCCTCTGATATGCGCGCATGACAAAATTGACGACCACGACTGTTTTATCTAAGATTATAGCACCAGTCGTTCTTGTTTGCTCTTGCTACGATGTATCGATTAGTTCTAAGCATAGGACTACGGTCACAGCATCTGACCCGTGCAGTAAGTAGAGTCGAGCATCAGTGGCTGAGATTTGGGCTTACTGCAACGGAGACTGGGGCCTGATCAACTCGGCGTGCAGAACGCGTTCAATCATACCACGTGATCGCGTCGACCCCGTTGTCGTGACCGTTGTTGGTTAGTACTGCCAGTTCGCTGAGCACTCGCGTTCACATCGAAACAACCTCAAGCTGAACAAGAACATGTCCACTGGCAAGTCATAATAGCGAATTATTGGCGAGTACTTACTCTACTAGCAAATTGAGCCCAACTTCTGATTGTATCGTATATGACCAAGTTCGAGGCAGTGGATGTGCTTGTTCGTGGTCGGAGGGCCCAGGAGGCGTGAACATAGGAGCCTACACCCCAACTTCACCCCCAGTGAGTCTGAGCGTGCATATTGATTTTGGTCAGCACTGGCTAGGTGTACGGTAGCTCTTGTTTGATGTTACATTTGCTGCATTGTATGGTGTCTGTCGAGTCTCGCCCTTGCTGCCATATCTGCTTGTGGTCGTTCTTTGAGTATAACAACAACCAGCTACTAGGGAACGACGTTCATCGTGACAGTTTGGCATATCGATGAGCGTTTGTCGCTATGAATCTGTCTTCAGACATCTGGTGGCGGTAAGGGCTGTCGCGTGCGCTGGTGCGCTCTCCCTTTGCATGGCATATCTCGGTAATATCCATATCCCTGCGCAGACAACAATGATTTTGCATGACTGACTGCATCCACACTTCATGATCGTCTGACACGTCGCGGCTTGCTGCGCTTGCCTATCAGCGGTCGCAAGTGATATTGTGGTCACTGCTTCTAAGCGACTACTATCGGTCCTCTCCAGAGGAGGATGCCCTAGTACACGCCTGTGCTCCGTTCATAGCATCGCAGAATATGTACAATTCATATGCTGAGATGGGCATGGATCTGAGACTTCGAATGAAATGGTGGGCTGACGTTCTACTAGCGACTCGCCGGCATCGGGAGTACGAGTACGCGGCACTTCCTGTGCAAGAAGCCAGGTACTGCCGGGAGGCCAGTCGAAAAAAGGAAGTTGCGTATGTTCTGCGGGCTCCCTAGCACTCAGCAGAACGTCCAGTGCAGTCAGACGCGTCAGGGCTGTGCGGCTCAACTGGCCCTTCGTATGCTTGGGGACACTCCTCGTTCCGACCTCGACAGTTCCCACCCACCACGATCCTCTCGAACATCACTTGTATTCTCTGTCGCTGGAGACGACAACTGCTATAATGCCGAAAAGAAGACGTGACCATAGTGACCCGTCGGAAGACAACAAAAACAACAAGAACAACAAAAAGCCGAAACGGCAGGCGAGACTGGAAGGGCTGGGAGATGATTCTCAGGTGCGTGCAATACAGATGACATATACGACGTACGAACGACTTACCCGGCCCTGTTTCGACCCATAGTTTCCGGAATATGGTCGACCGACCCTCGGGCCACGACATCTGCCTACGCCACAGGACACTTCGACGCATGCCGCACCCTGCCTACAACTAGTGCTTGCCACAGACTCATCTGGACACCTCGTGGAGCACGTACCGGAGCCATCAAGACGTCGTGGTCGTCCGCGAGGTTCTACTGCTACCAATCAAACCGCCACATCCGGCGGAAACGCGGAGCCTGCTCGTGCGCCGCGTCCTAGGCGAACACGTACCACGCGTCCTACAGCAGACCCATCTGTTGCCGGACCACCGTCACAGCGGTCGCATAAACCTGAAAACGATACAAAATCTGGTGATGGTCGAGTACCCGGAAAGCGTCGAGCTACATCACGCAAGACGGCGAAGGGCCCCACTCCCGGCCCCAGTGACCCTTCGCAGGCCATCCAGTCAAGCTATGCTTCCCAACCCTCCCTTCCCGCAGCTGAAGCTCGTCCTCTTGACAGCAACAGCCAATTTGCAGCCAATGACCCGAGAATGTACCCGGGCGTCCGACGCGTACCTCGCGTCGGAAGCGCTCTTGGAACGTATCCCGTCTCCTCTGGGCAGAGCACGGGAGACAGTTTGCATGGTCAAAGACGGCCTAGGACGCCGCCACAGCCCGTGCCGTCCGGCTCGCGGCTTCCAGCATGGCAAGCTCACATACTGCAACATGTGAGGCCTACTTCGATCGAGGCAGAATGGGTCGCTCCTGCACCGCCTGTAGGTCCAGCGGCGACTATCCATACACCACCGAGCGCAGCACGCCACCATGTATATGGAGGGGCAGCGTACGAATCATGGAACCCATCGCTTCCAGACACATATGAAGAGCCAGCGTACGCGGCACCGAGCCAACAGCAGCCAAGCGCGTACGCAGCATCGGGATCGACCTCAGCCTTGGCGGGTGCTCTACAGGAGGTACCTTCAAGGACTCCTGCTAGTTCCCAGAGCAACGCAGGGCCATTCGTGCCCCTACAGTACCCCGCGGCACCATACACATCCGGTATCGCTCACCGGGATCCGCGGACAATGCGTCACCCAACAAGGACGTCGCAGAGTCAGCTTCAGCGGCATCATCCCTATGCACATCCAGCGCCTGCTCGCTCGGAGCGACTGGACAGGGCATCGTTTGATCCCTTCATGAGTCTTCCACCGACGTACATGCCAAATCCTCCACCCTCTATAACGCAGACGTGGCAGCAAGCTCAGCCAAATGTGGATATGGGGTATTCTGAGTATCATTCTGAAAGGATACCAAACATGCAAGGAGACTTGCCCTACGCAGACGCCACATACCCATCATACTCGATGAGTCCATTCTCATCCGCAACATCAGGAACGTATGGAGAGAACAGCATCTCTGAATACGCAGCGGTCCTGCCTGGACCGCTGCATATGAACGATGTGATCAATCCATACGTGCCAGTGCCAGACTTGAACCATGCGCACAACATACCTGGCTACGCAATGGCACAAGGATCACTCCCTGCCCCAGGCACCATAGATGCTACGGTCATGCCATGGGACGAGACAGCGCACGTACCCTCATACGACGCCTTCTCGTCGTCACTGGACACGTACACTTTCGAGGACTTTGGTGCGTGCTGTTGACCCTTGATCTGAGCTGCGCTGACCCGCCGCTGGCTTTGCCTAGAACCCGGAAGTTGAGAAGACACAACAGACAATACCACCAATGAACCATCAGTCTCCACTACGATACCATAATAAGGCGCATACCTCGTGCAAAGTCCCTTCATAGGCACATATACCCACGGCCTCTGAGAATAATTGTTAGTGAATTGACCTATACCCCCTCCTTGGACTGGGAGACAAACCTGAGGAACGATGTAGCTTGAAGCTGTAGGATGCCACGTAGACATACTTACTAGTCTTAACGCCTGGAGACATACAAAGATAAGGTATCACCGAACAGGCTTCAGCGAATTAGTACACAGAAGTAATCGTACGCGATGCTCACAGTGACTGCCACGTAATCTGCCAATTGGCGACGGGGGTTACTGCATTTGCCTTTGCGAATCTTGCAGTGATGTACATCCATATTGTGCGGGCCTTGGTAGACGACTGCGCACAGCCTGAGTGTTTGATTTATCGAATGCAGCCGTCTGTTCATGGTTAGGCTCCAAAATCAACGCGTTGACGTAGAAACTTGGCGATGGCATTCTGACACAGAGCCAGCCGCCATCGGTAAAAAGTGCCCTGTTGAAAACCAAATGCGATTGATTAGTACAATTGACCTATAACATGATCCTTCGTCGTTGGCTTGGATGGGTATGACCTGTGTTCACTCGGAAGTGATCCTCGGCAAGGTGATCATTGTTCTTGACGTAGTCGGAACGAATGAGTGGCTGCAGGTCGAGGGAGGGGGTTCAATACATACCTGCAGTGTAACAGCTCAAAAGCAGCTGTAGAGCCGTTGTTGGGATACTCGCAGTCGAGTATGGAGATGAGAGTAGATGGCGACTGGCACAACGGCGGACGACGATCATGATCGATTGGGCGCGACGCGTGACGCGGGAATCGTCTTATGTAAGCGCCGGCGCACTCCTGAGTCTCCTCCTCTTTTTAGAAGGTGCTGTTCTTCACTCTGCTTTAACGTCGTCGTGCCACCGCATAGCCTGGACGAGAACCAAAAACCTCTTGCATTCTGATGAAAGGGCCTACAATTCCCTTGAGCACGCATTTTGACTATGACAGGGCATTATTCGGCACTCAGATGCACGCGCCCGCGGCCCGCATCGTCGTGTTTGTTGATTTCCGTCTCCAAACATGTCAAGAGTACGATGCCTGCGGCACGCGCACAGCCAAATCACGGTGAGAGGGTCTGCTTGTCAACCGCTGTAAGAAATGAAATCATGGAAGACGAGAATGTCGCTGTTGGTTGGGCTGACTGCCAGCCGCCTGTCTTGCTTGCAGATATGACCGCCTCGTCCCGTAGGTCTCCTGTTCTCCATCCTTTCCTTCGCTCTTCATTATTCCGTGAATCGCTCTTCCTTCGCTTTGTTGCATCTCGTTTGTTTTCCTGTCAAATCTGCTCTCTTCATCATCATGCCCGTCAAGACCCCTGTAATCCCAGCTGGGAGGAAGATCTGCAAGCCACCGGATCTAGCGACCACTACTAGATCTTCCGGCGTTGTTCTATCTCGCCCAACAGGAGTTTCGACCTCCATCGCTACTCTGGCACCTGAGTCACGCCGAAGGTCTACGATCACAGCTTCTGGTGAAGCACCAGGGCATGTGCTCAAGGCGAAGAATAACCAAGTACGTGTTGCATCTCTTCGCTGCATTTCTGCTCCAAAGTACTGAATTGACTATCGTACAAGGTTCTCGATCGTGACGGAACGCCCGCCAGCGCTGCTACACCGAGATACCTCCAACCGACCAATGCCTCTCTCTTACGAAGCGGAGCTGCCCCAGAGAATATCAACAACCGGACCCGTACGCGGTCGACCGTTGCACCCGCTCCCACGCAGAAGAAGACATCGGTCGCCTTTGGTTCTGCAATTTCCGCGACCACTGCGAGGCACAATCGCAAGACGGAAGTGCAAATTTCTCGCTCGTCAGCCACCCGGGGTACCGACGTCCACAAGACGACAAGCAAGTCTGCTGCCTCCCCTAGCACTCGTAGCGTGGGCCCTGTGAAATCGGTCGTACCCTTACGTCCGGGGCCTCCGATCTCGGCTAAACCTGTACAACGCACCGCTACACGGCATGGTTCTGCGCCTTCGCCAGTCACTACGAAGTTTATAGAGACGAAGGGCACGTCCGCCCCTGCGTTCGGTGCTGAGATTGGGAGACACGCTCGGTCGCGCAATATCGGTGGTGCTGCAAAGCGTACCACGAGTCCACTGCCTCCCAAGGCGCCCACTGCTACACGCCCGCCTTTCCGAGACCGAGCCAACGCTCCCTCGACCGTCCGAAGCCCGGTATCCAAGGACAATGTCGTCTCTCAGCCTCGTAGCGAATCTGGACGCAAGGTCATTCCCGGCATGCGTGCGACGGTCCGAACGGTCAGGCTCACAGAACAGAAGGCACCCGCTATTGTGTCCAATCCCACCAATGGCAAGCGGAACATACCGACAGTGCAGAAGATGGTCACCGAGGGAAAGCTTGGAGTTCGGGTCCGTCAAGATCTTCCGGTTCGCGCAAAAGAGTACGCTTTGTTTGCGATCGCTCGCACACTTATGATAGTTGATATCGTCCACTGCAGAGAGCCCGCGTTGTCACTCCAGGAGACCACGACCCCACTGCTTTCCGGAGTCGAATTGAGCGGTGCTATCGAGCTTGTTTTTCCCGGTAACGAGATCAGCAACTCTCACGAGCCTACCATTAGCGGACACGAGTCCAAGCCTAGTCCACTCATCAATAAGGGTACGCCTGCATGATATGCGCTGTGGCTCTCTCGTTCACACTACATTGCAGTTGATGCTGCTGGCGAACATGACGCTGCCGATTTAAGTGCTAAACTCGACGCACCTGTCGCCCAGGTCCATGAGAACGAGGATGATGCTTCGGGCCTTCTATGCCAACCTGAGCAAACACAAGACTGCGAACATGACCTCGGCGCAATAATTGTGGAAGGTGCGTCTGCTCTCCTATACCCTGATTGTTCCTTCTCAAATGGTTGTGCAGAGTGTGTTGGCGGACCTGTGTACTCTGGTCTCAGTGCGCCTTCTGATGCGGCTACCCACGACGTCAATGCGGGCGAAGTCACTACCTCGATCCATGAAGTTCAGCAAGAGCACCAGAAGGAGGAAGATACGAACAGCACGCTGCGTATGTCGTTTGTCTCTTCTCTGATGTCTGAGCTTCATGGTCCTCTACATAGCCTTTGCCGACAAGAGCGAGGAGTTTCTGCGTGTACCCTCCATCCCCTGCGCCAGGTCCCATGACATCAAGATACCGGATGAGGTGGTCATCGTTGACGCTCCTCCGCGGATGGCATCCCCGACCCTACTCGGCGATGGATCCTCAAACCCCGAGGGGGCTACGGTAATGGTCGGTGACACCGGAATCGGCGATTTCGGATCCTGCAAGAGCTCGCAAGACAAACTAGAGGCTACCGTCATCGGAGACGTCGATCAGTCCGTCACAGGCATCGTGCAATCATCTGACGAGGTTCCGATCACAGAGGCCGGCGCAGCACAGTTGACCGTGTCTGATACCATTCTTAGCATCAACGGGCTCCACGAGGAGCAAGTCGGTGCGTCTATCGAGGTCGAAGACAGCGCCGGTCTGCCTGCCGTCGACGCCGTCCATGAACTAGGACAGAATTGTTGGAAGTCCATCTTCGATATGAGCGAGGATGACTCATCGTTCATGGTACGTCCGCGAGGTACTGTATCATACCTCTGGCAATCAACTCTGATGTAATCTCGGTGTACAGGGAGCCAGCCATACGGAGGACAGCGTGGACGAGGTAGTTCTCGAGAAGATCAGAGAAGAGCTCTCTCGCCCTATGCCCGAGCCGGCGGTCCCCAAATTCGCAGATTGGGTGGACCCCGTTCTCGCTATGCACGCAGTCGGTGTGGTCCCCAAGGATCTCGGAGAGTTTTCGGGGCCATCTGTTTCCGAACAAGGCCCTGTCCAGCCTGAGGGTGTCTACGTTCTTCATCCAATGGTTGCCGCACTTGCGAACAAGGAGGACAGCAAGAAAGGACGCATCGGCAGCGGCTTCTTCAGCCGGATTCTGGGCAGGACGGCGTCCACTTCGAGCATCTCTTCGGTGCCGTCACCGCCCAGCACGCCTCCGCCTCTGCCCTCGCCACCACTCGATACTCCTCAGCTCACCGATGGCTCTACGTCCACGTCTTCGGTACGAAGCGCATCGCCTAGTAGCACCTCAGGCTCCCTCCCTGCCGCCTCACTTGTCTCCGACGTCGTTGCAACATCTGCCGCGCCTGGCCCCAGCAAGCGTGCAGGGTCCTTGCGCCGCTTGTTCGGCCTGGGCAACTGAGCGGTCGCGTCGACGTGGGGGTACGACTGGGGAGCGGAGGGTGCTGGTCTGCGCTGGAGACGAGGGCGACGTGCGAGGTGGGGAGAGATGAGAAGATGAAACTTGCTGCAAACACTACCGCCTACGAGCTCGAGCTAGTTTCGCTTGAAAGCCCGCTTGCACACCGTGTGGTCGACGTTAATGGTCGCTCAAACCTCAGGGAATGGCCGGCCTGACGCGGGAGTTGATGTGCCGCAAGCACTCAATTGGAAGACGAAGGAGGGCACGCGCTCCTCTACAGTCTGTCCTCATCCGCAGTCGCGTCGACCTCTTTACACGGACACAAGCCACAGTTTTGCATCAAGTTTCGCATTCCCCTCTTTCCACGACTCTTACGCCGCCTTCGCCTCCATCGCAGCTCAGCATCCTCTCTTCTCCAACTCGCATCCCCAATTTGACGAGAGCACTGCTTGGTCCCTCGCTTGAACTCAACATGGCATATTCTTCTGTCGAGACGTGTCTTCTTTCGTGGCAGCTTCTGTTTCCATCCATGCAGCATCATCTTTCAGTCTCTTTCATATCGCCAACTTCAATATTTACATTTACCCCGAATCCTCTTTTCCAGTCCCCTTGTTACTGTCCATTTCATTTCACTTGCCGCCCTTCCTTCGCCTCTACGCCTTCCTCTACTCCCATTTTCACATTCCATCTCGTTCCATGCCCTCACATCCTCCCCCAACCCATTCCCCTTTTCGTCATTCCTTGTCCCAACCTTCTTGTGCGCCTTACTTATTACTATTTTTATCAGACGTGGTGACATTGCACGCTCTCCGATGCCGCCCCTCTACTAGCAATCAGCTCTTAGCATCCGACATGATGCATTTGTGAATTGTGTCATGCTAGTCAATGATCATAGCCTCGTCTGTAAAGCTGGCAAATTGTAGTCGTGAGCACGTGCACGCTGCCGAGCAGCGCGTCCAGGACGCATCGCGAAAGTCGCGCTTCGCGTCCCAGTGCCGCCACCAATGCTGAGACTGTCAAAACCTCCTTCTCGTGTTCTTCGAGTCGCTCCTTGCTACCATTCCGCACGACATCAGCGACTGTATCATGCGTCGCATCCATCCTCGATGTCGACGACGACCGGAACGCGGTCTTCAGTCAACCCAGACGAGATAGCCCTCTTCTCTCGCCTGTCCTCGCATTGGTGGGACGAGCGTGGCGAGTTTCAGATGCTGCATAAAATGAACCCCATCAGAGTTCAGTTCATTCGCGAGAAACTGGTAAGGTGTCTTCTTGAATCAGTGAGGTACCGTAGTTGACGTCGGCATAGCTTGAGATGAGGAGAGAGGATGGCGAGGACCTCGCAGGCGAGAATAGGGTGCTAGAAGGACTCAACGTACTAGACGTGGGATGTGGAGGTGGCCTTCTTTGTGAGGTGTGCTTCCATGGCGCTGACCTCGCAGCCACGCTAACTTGAGCAGAGCCTCAGCAGACTGGGCGCAAACACGCTGGGCATTGACGCTTCTGCATCGAACATTGGCATCGCATCCTTGCATGCGTCGTCCGATCCTTCCCTCAACCTTTTGTCCTCCGTTTCCTCGTCCACTTTACCGTCGCCGCCGGGCAAAGGCAAGGGCACCCTGACGTACGAGCATACGTCTGCGGAGGACGTGCTTGCTACTCGTGGTCCGAAGCAGTTTGACGTTGTCTGCTCTATGGAGGTCCTCGAGCACGTCGACAACCCACGCGTATTCCTGCGCAACTGCGCTAACCTAGTCAAGGTGAGCCCCTACATCCCGTCCCCCGAATGCGTTCTGACCCGGCGCCGCGCAGCCTGGTGGACATCTCTTCCTCTCGACGATCTCGCGCACACCGCTCGCATACCTACTCACTATCTTCGCTGCGGAGGATGTCCTACGCCTCGTCACGCCCGGCACGCACACCTACTCCAAGTTCGTCCGGCCAGAGGAGCTCACGCAGTTCTTCTGCGAGCACCGCTCCAGCCCAGAGGAAACGCCATGGATCTCCCGTCTGTATGGGGGCCTGCCTACGCGTACGGAGGCGGAGACGCGTGGGATGATATACGTGCCGTGGAAGAGTGAATGGGCGCTGGTCCCCCGCGGCGCCGTGGGCGCAAGTTGGGGAGAGGGGTGCAACTACCTCTTCTGGGTTCGGAGACCCCTAGAGTGAACGTGCTCTGGCTTATGCTGCGCGGCATCGGACTGTGGCACCTTTCGTCGTATTCGCGTGGTGGACCATGTTGTGCATAGCAACATAGTACATAAGATAGTAAGATACGATCCAGCCCAAACTTCTGTTCTCGCACTCGGATCGAGGATGAGAAGTGCATATGAGACGTCCAGATATGGATTTGGGGCGTTGGGAATACCATGCGATGCATTCAGCATCTGAAGGAGTGCAGTACGTACCATCAGCTCAGTCACCGTTCGCCTCACATGAGGCACTGAAGATGAACACGAACAGCCCCCTCATGTGCATGAATCTTAACGCGACCGTTAAAGGGCACCTTCGAGGAGGGGTTTTCATGAATTCTCGAGACTGTTACTTCCGTACATGCCACCTTGTCAGGATCTCCAGGACTTGTGTCTTCGACTCAGAATCTGGGTCATACCAGCGCAGGATGACCATGGTAGAACATGCTGTTAGGACACGCTCGGATTCCCCTTACCGCGTCATTGAACCTTTCAAACCAAGGTCCGAGATGCGTCTTCCGTGAAACCTGATACATGCGACACGCCTCCTTTCAGGTGCTTCCGGGCATTGAGCCTAGACATGAGCACGATTAGTATATAGTAAGCCCGGGCGTACTGCAAGGCAAAGCGGCCCGGGGAAATTAATGACCACTCACACGGCCATCATCGAGTTCACGTAGACTACAGGACGTCAGCACAGCGCGTACGACGGTGTCAGTGACGTACTCTTTCCTCCAGCGCAATGGAAGATCGCCCAGATCATCTTGTCCTGGTCGATGGAACTCAAATACTGGCGCGGACGTGAGCTAGCATGTATGGGGTGCCTGGAATTGCAGACGAACCGTCCCAAGGAGCATGATTTGTATGACGCTGAAAGTTATTCTTGCAGTAGCAGACTCCGAGCTGTTAGACTAGGCTGAATAACGCACGTTGTCAGAATCCCGCGATTGATGATGTATACAGTAAGTGTACGTATGACACTGTCCATGCTTGAGCGCAGACAGTTAGTCTAATACAATGTGCGTCAGCCCGCGGCTCGTAAGGCCACCATATACCGTGAACTTGGACAGACCATATGCAGACAACCTCAACCCTGTGATCAACACTAGTGCCTGCACTGAACAAGAACAGGACGTACGAGAATCTTTACGAACACTTTGTCATGCTGATGGTAGTTCCGAGAGTAATGTACGACTTGTGCGCATGTAAACCCATAGAACCTGCGACAGGTGTTACACTGGCAGACGACAATTTGAACACGCATTGGGTACAACTTACATTGCGGAAAACAATGCGCCGATAAATATGCCTCCCATGGTGGGATCAAGGTTGACACGTAAGATCGGCATGCTTCACCAGATGTTCAATCCGTCTGGAAACTCTCTGCTTGCGGACACAGTTCGAGGGCAGACACAGTTCGAGGGCAGACACAATGTGAGGGCATACTACGATACGCTAGACCCCTAGTATTTATCTGAAATTGAACGCGCAAAGATCAAGTTCATCGCAAGTTCATCGTATCACCTTCATGTCCCGGGAACCTTTCTTGCCGTAAGTTCAAACCCCGGCCTACCATGGCCAGCGGTACCGGTGCGACAGTGATAAGCTTCCAGTCGAAGTGCCAGCAGACCACTGTAAGGTACTAATGCGATCACAGGTTACCTACGAGAAGCAATCCAGAGCTCCTGTTGACGCTCTATGAAGGCAAGGTTCAGTCAGCGACTGAATGGATCAGAACAACGCGATGAAACAGACCGCCTGTATACATTGTATGTACATCGTGATACGTTGGGGCTATGTCCGCATAGACGAGGCTATGTGACACTTGCTGAATGAACCAAGCAGTCTGAGGATTGATTAATTCGATGACCATTAATGATCGCCATGAAGATCAGTACCAAGCTTGATTACTTACCACTAGACAAATCTTCGCAGAGAACCAAGTACTCATTTGCCATGCATTTCGAGATCGAGCAGTGCTTGCAGCTCATACACAAGGGGCAATGATGAGGCAAGGATGGTGAACTCTAGCTGAATGTTGAACGTTAACCTTCAAGATGAACCAACTGTGTCATTGATTGCTCAACACTCCATTGTATATAACGACAACAGACGCCTGGATGCACGAGAACATTGACAAGGAGCTTGTGATGTCTCAGTGCTGCTCAAAACGTACTGAATGCGTGAGGCGATCGACCCACCTGACTGAGAACAATCCCCGGACGAGTAGATTTATTGTGAAGGAATTAAGATCAACGCGGACATTATACATGCCTCCGACGGCTGAATATGTGCGGTTCGACTTCCAAGTCGACAGATACTAGGAACTCGGCACACTGAAAGGGGACTAACGATGATGCTGATCGCAATTAACAGGTGGACCGCATTCAATGCCAAACCGAATCTGTCTGACGGTGTCTTCTTCAAATCACGCCTGTTCCGGACTGGCGGTGTGGTATGATGGAGAACAGATGGATTGCAACATGGTACCGGCATGAGGCATCTATACAGCATCTATGAGTACTTCCGCGTCGAAATGAAAGCAAAGTTCAGTCAATGACTTCGAACTGTTCGTACATGCCTTTCGTAGCCGCTGTGCTCAGTCACGGATATCACCACGCATTAAGACCGGCACCAAACTAGAAAAGATCCTGATATAGTCAAGGTTGCTATTGGCAGTATCCAGTTCCATGAGACGGGCGCACGTACCGGAGACACTGGTCCGAGCCATGGAAATACAGTGGCCGGTTCGTGGCTCTTTAAGTCCCAATTACTTGCGAGAGTAGTGGTCAGACAGCAGAAAGCTGAGGTATAGATAACGGAGGGACTTAGGGTGGCAATGTGTGCCCAGGGGACATGAGCAAAACAATCGACTCGCAACAGCTGCCTGAGGAGCCGGTCGCTGTCAGAGGAGGAGGAGGCCGACTGAGCGCTTGAGCCGCATATGGTGTAACCACCGTCGTGACCTTGCGCCTAGTCTCCCCAGGCAGACGTAGACAATTCCTTCAACCTTCGTGCCTCAGGATATCCTTGTCTGACCTTGCGCCCCGCGTCTGTCCTCCTCCTTGGTCTGTCTCCGGTCTGTCTCCTCCTCATTCTTCACCTAGCTCTCTCTATGCTCACCAGATAGGCTCGGAACACTTATATCAGCACTCTACGCACCAAAATAACGCCGTGAGGTTTCAGCAAGGCCATATTGAAGACACAGCAAACCCACGAGCGCGGGGTGTAGTAAGTACATCCGCGGAGGATGTGCTTGAGCAACCGGTGGTCCAAAGCAGTTTGACGTTGTCTGCTCTGTGGTGGTTGTCGACTCCGTACTGGATATCCCACGCTAGCTCCTGTGCAACGGCGCCCACCCGTACAAAGTGAGCCTCAGCCCGCCTGGCTGCACTGCGTGCCCCATCCGACACCACGCAGCCCGGCGAACATGCGGCGAACCCCTCTTTATCACGACCATCTCGCGCACACCGCTCGCCTACCTGTTCGCCGCGGAGGACGCCCTACGCCTCGTCACGCCCGGCACGTACACCTACTTCAATTTCGTCCGGCCAGAGGAGCTCACAGTTCTTCTGCCAGCCCAGAGGAAAGGCCACGGATCCTCTGTCTGTACAAGTGGCCGCCTACGCATACGGAAGTGGAGACGCGTGGGATGACATACGTGCCGTGGAAGAGTGAGTACAGTACTGGTCCACCGCGGCGCCGTGGGCGTGCGGTGGGGAGGGGTGCAACTACTCTTCTGGGTACGGAGACCGCTGGAGTGAGCTCTGCGCAGCATCGGACTAGGGTACCCGTCGTGTTAGCGGGGCGGTCATTGCCCGGTCAATGTACGTGTGGCAGTACAGTACAATATATCATAGCAGTATGTTACAATCCATTGTCCGATCTATAGAGGTCCGAGCCGAAGAGTGGAATGTGTACGTCCAGCGCGAAGTAAGCGAAGACGCTAGGAGAGTGTTAGGTGGAGACCGGGTGTAGGTAGCACCTTGATACAAGGCTGAGAGTCTTAGACGTTGGGAAGACGTCGCGATGAACCGATGTTCAGAGGAATGGCCGCACTCGTACTGTCAGCTCAGTAGTCGTTCACCCCAGACGAGGCGCTGACGATGAGCACGGACAGCACCCTCAAGGGCGATCCAGGCGACCCAGACGCCCATGCAGAACACGAGCGTGAAGAGCATGCGCTGCGGTGGTGATATATGGTTAGCGAAAGAAATGCGTGAACGGCGTGATTGAAACGTACCAGTAGTGCCTTGGTCCGGGGGCTGACTGGGGCGGACGCGGTGAATATTGTTCTGCGTAGACGAGCTGTGAGCGGGGTGTTGAGCCATTCGAGCTCGGCGATGTGTTCCACTGCCTACAAGCCATTGGTGAGCATCAAAAGTGAAATACGAAGAGCATTGTCGGCTGTCCGGAAGCATACCTTGTCCTGTCCGCGGTCATACACGCGCCTGATGCTAACAAGCTCTTCTTCAATCCGCGGTAGGTGCTCGTCAAGAAATTCAAGCGAATTGATGTCTTCCGAGAGGGACTGTTCGATATGTGGCAAAGTGGACTCCAGAGCAGAGTCTGCTTTCTGCTGATAGTGCTGCACTAATTCCTGAGAGCGGTCCGGGTTGACGATAGGATGTGTCACGTACCTTCACAGCAGACTGTGATTCGTGCAGAAGTGTGCTGATGGCACGCGAGTTGCTCAGGTTAATAGCCAGTCTACTCTGGAAGCGATGGGTTATGTACGTCAATGTCCGACTTAGCATTGCAGGCACAGATTCATACCTCGAAATCCTGGATATCCTGCTCATACTGCAGAGTCCTCCGCGAAATGGTCTCGAATGCTACATTCAGGCCACTGCACATGTGCCATATCCAATTTCAGCGTCCATGGTGTTAGCGTGCAAAGACGGGGAGTACTGACCGCCGCGGCTCAGGAGCCATGGTCATTGATCTATGGCGCTCGTTCATTCACTCGATGGCTCTGCGTTGACGGAGATGATTGACCGGTGACGGCATGCACAGGCTCAGCTTGGAGGGGGTGGAGCCACCTTGAGACCTGGGGCTGTGTCGAGAAGGGTGAGACTCGGCGGTTATGCACGGGATGTGACTTGTAAGTATAGCATGGGAAAGAGTACAAGCAATGGACCCGAAAGCCAAACTCGAGCCCGGTGTGTTCATCGTAATCCATGTGCATTGTACACCCGTCCGTCACGCCGGTGATCACGAAATTGACTGGCTTGTTATGTTAACTCACCAGATTCGCGTCCTACGGCAGAATGGTCTTGGTGTATGTATATTATCCAGCTCCGGATTTCGTCCGGATACTTTCTCAGCCGTTATATGAGCTCGGAGGCTCTTCGAGTGTCGGATGGCTCCTCCTGAGGCCTGAGACCGTGCAACTCTTGTTACGACGCGGTAGTCCAAATTCGACGCAAGACTTTTGCTGTCAGTCTAGCACAACGATAATAATTGTGAAGCAGTGGGGCAGAGGCACTAAGGCAGTGGTGGAATGCGATATTTCGACTCAGTCGTCGGCCGAAGGTCAGCTCAGCTTGGAGAGGAAGCACCACAGATCAATCGGGGGAGCGCCCGCCTTAGAATTACCTTATCGAGAAATACACGTTGTTCGCAACGCCGATCCCGCAACCTCAGGCTGGTCCCCGTCATTCGACTGACTCTTCTTTTTCGCTCTCCATCAGTCTCCATCGCAGTGCGGACTGAGCATGCCTCGATCCTAAGTGCTGTGAGTGTGTAGCTTTTCTTTGGATGCAGCTCGTAAAATTACACCAACAGGGCTCAGATTGTTCGCTGAAACAAGTTCAAGTTGCGCTCGCACGCTGGCAGTCCAATGGCTTCGATGGACACGGTTGTGTTGAGCCAAAATGGAGCATTAAAAGTAGGCATGGACGCTTGACGACCTTGTTCAAGACACGTCTCGCCGTCGTGAGACCATGTCTCCCGGACCCGCTCTCAGTCCCACTGAACGCCCACGGCGTCCTTGGATCACCCCAGGAGGTCGTGATTGCCTAGTGATCCCGCGGATGACCGCCGCTGGGGGCGATGCAGCCAGCGAGACGCGGCCGACACCTTCGATGCCTTCTGAAGTCTATATCACTGGCCTATTCTGCGCTGTCGCTGTCACCGTCGTGCGCGAGGAGGCACCTACTTGCCTATTGCGCCGGTACCGAGACCCATTGCTTTGGTAAAGAATCCTGAAACAGTATTGTCGCGTAGGTTCCATTGGTCACTCGTGCAAGTGATCTAATGTCACAACATGCATGGGATCCTCGGGCACACAAATTGATATCATGCTCCTGTGTGATCAGTCTCGAGCTCCTCCATGTGAGGTGCGTGCTTCGGATTTGATCCATCACTGCACAACCGTTTACTGTATACCGATATACAGCAACACAGAGACCACTGTGTGAACCGAGTAAGAACCTACTTATACGGCATTCGGCATGCAGCTTACTACGGGCAGCGGTGGCCGTTGTGTAAACTCGCCTTCATTCATTCAATTATGATATGCGTCCCGCAACCGCATGTTGGTCTTCGACTCCTTAGGCCTTATGGCTGAATGCGAGGCCTGTGCGGCCTGTGTTTGCCGAGGCCTGACGTCCTGCGCTCAAGTCGCTGATCGCAGCTGCTATGAGACAGCCGGCCCGTCAGGTGTGCACTGCTTATTTACAGGCTGTCGATTGAACGGATACAGGGCCTACTACTGACTGGTGACGAAATAGCCAAGGCCGGTCCCGGGGGCGCTGGAAGATGCTTGATGCATGAGAAACGGTGCCCATCCTCACGCTTGCCAGCCCTAAGACGCCCCTGCACAGGATGCATCGAACCCAGCCTATAAAAGCGTGCTGGGTTCTTACCCTGTCATACATCCCCACATTCTTCGGCACTTCCGCTCCGTCAATCCTTGCAATAATCTTCGCCTTCACCCGGAAGCATCTTTTACCGTCATGCCCCGCTTCGCCTTCAACTTCGTTGCCCTTGTTCTTGCTGCAACGATCGTGCCCTCTGCATTGGCCGTTCCTGCAGGTACGTCTAACAGTCTTCGAGGGGTTGTGCTCGTTTCTCATAGTCGGCCCCTCCAATAGCTAGAGACGTCGTCCCCTCGTCGTTTCCCGTCCCCTCGTCTGTCGCCAGTGTGACGTCCGACGCCTGCCCAAGTGCCACCGACTGTGCATCGTCGATCTCGACCACCATCACAGGCAGCGCGTCGCCGGTTTCTACCACGATCACAGGGAGCGCGTCGCCAACCACCATCGTGACTGCCAGTGGGTCGATCCTCACTACCATCACCGTCGAGCCCTCTACCATTTCCACCATCTCCGTCGAGCCCTCCACCATTACGTCGGTCTACAGCAGCGTTCCCCCTAGCGCGTCGCCTTCCGTCGTTACGACCACCGTTGTTGTTACCGAGTACGTGCCGGTGTGTGGAAGCACAACGGAGACCGCTAGCGCGACTGCGACTGGCACGGCGAGCGCGGTGACGTCCATCACCAGTGCACCCGCGTCCTCTGTCTCCGGTGGCTTGCCGTCGCTTTCAAGCATTCTTCCCGCGACCAGGAGCTTCATCGGTCACGAAGCGCGAGGTGGCATGCACTCGTATGAGACGGAGCCTGGTGCAGAGGGGGTCGCGTTGAAACATGGTCGGGCTGAGTGACGGCGTACGGGTTTGTAGGATACAAATGCGGACGCCAGTATGAGCAGTCTTCATTCTCGAAGGACACTTCTTTTGATTTGTTGAATTTGTTGTCATCCTCTAGTAGTAACGGACTTGCCTTCAAGGCCTGACTCAGTTGGGATCTTCGAGTGATTTGTTCTCGACTTTGGCCTTGAATCATACGGATGATTTTTATTGAATAATGTGTTCATGTCTGACTTGCCGATGGTAAGGAAAGTCAACATTTGTGTTGAGGTTGCGTTTTGGAGACAGCGAGTGTCGAGATTTCTTCTACTTATGTCCTATGTACCACACTCATCGATGCACCGGCCCTCTCACCGGTATGCTCGCTGGCTTGCAATTCACAAGGTTTGAAAGCCCTAACGTTGGTCATTATGTGGAACTGTATGCAACTTAATAATAAGTGCACGTGGCCAGCACGTAGCCAGCACGTAGCGAACCTGCGTCCGCCGTTGTCACGGTGATCGTCGATCGATCGACTCCGAAGAAGGCGTGCGAAATCTGAGATAATGCCGTGGCGCACTCTGGTTCCTCCGAGGTTGGTTACGTTCAACGATGAAGGGTTACTATTGAACCACGTCCCTGTTCTGGCTTCTGGGCAGTCGGGCAATGGCTCTACTCAGGCGATGTGACGACACCTATGCGCATGCAACGGCGCGCTCTTGCACTGACTGCTCACGGCCAGATTGACAAATATAGTCTCTCGAAAATCGCATTATCTCGGGCCGAGAGGTCGTCTGGTAATGGTTCCGTTATCTTAGCTAACGTTAACTCTCGACGTCAACCTGAAAGGACGAGCAGTGAGTGCCATTGGACGACAACCGGACATGACAACCTCCGCCAAACCTGCGGTGATCATTGTGGGCGCTGGCATTTTTGGACTCAGCACGGCCTTCTATCTCGCGGAGGATGGTGAGCAAGTCTTCTCGATAACTGGACGTTGTTGACTCGTCTTACTTAGACTACGACATCACAATCTTCGACCAGCATCCCTACGATCGGGGCGACGGTTATAAACTGAACCCCGGGTCTACAGCAGCGTCCGTCGACGAGAACAAGATCTTCAGAGCTTCGTACGGAGATGAGCTCTACTACCAGAGGCTCGCTTATGAGGCGCGAGAGATATGGAAGCAATGGAACGAGGAACTTGGTCCAGGCAAAGAACTTTTCGTCGAGTCGGGGATGCTACGAGTCCAACACTCAAGCCATCTCGACGGGCTCGAGAAGAAGACGCTTGCAAATATGACCGCAGAGGGCCTTCGTGACACGCAATACATCCTCTCAGACGGCGATGACGTCCGCCGCGCGACGGAGAAGGGGTGGGTGCACAAGATGTTGAAGTTTCCCATTCCAGAGACCGGCGGCCAGGAGACATTTGAGGCGGTTCTGGACACTACGGCGGGATACGTGTACCCTAGCCAGGCCTGCGCGTATCTTGCGGAAAAGCTACGGAAGAAGGGTGCACGATTCATCGAAGGCCCCGAGAAAGGCGAGTTCGCCTCGCTCCTCGTGGAAGGCTCGGAACATTCGAGGCGAGTCACCGGCATTAGGACGAAAGACGGAGAGGAGCACACAGCAGATCTCGTCATTATGGCTTGTGAGCTACTGCGATCCCTATTGATGACTTGTCTAACATTGAGACAGGCGGATCTGCAACGCCGATGCTTGTGCCAGAAGTGAGCCGAGTCCTCGAGGCCACTGCGGGAAGCGTAGTCACCGTTCGCTTGCCCCCACGCGAAGAAGCGCAGGAACTCTGGGACAAGTACTCGCACGACAACTGGCCTGTGATCATAGGTCATGATCCGGACCCCACTGGGAAGACAGTCGGCAGCCGCAGCATCTACGCCTTCCCCAGAACTGAGGACGGACTCATCAAGATAGGGTACCGCGTCACAAAGGTATGCCGTGTCTCTTCCTCCCACCGAAGTGCCCTAGTAATGAGCGTGCATCAGTATACGAACTACGTCAAACTCCCCGACTTTGATCGTCCGATCTCCGTACCACTACGTCCTGAAGTGGACGACACCTCGTTACCGATCAAGTCTGTGGAGGGGATCAAGACTTTCGTTTCTACCTTCTTTCCCGATCTTGCGCCACTACCTATCATCGCTACCAGACTCTGCTTCTACACCGACACCGTCGACAACTCCTGGCTGATCGACTACCTTCCTGGACACAACGACACGCTCTTCATCTGCACGGGCGGCAGTGGGCACGGCGCGAAGTTCACGCCTATCCTCGGAAAGGTGCGTCATATGCAACAGTACTTCATGGGCTGCGGCTTACTGTTGCGTGTAGCATGTACGAGATGTCATCCAGAAGAAGCCGAAGACGGAACTCACACAACACTGGAGATGGCGTCCCGAGCTCCCTTTGAGCAACGGTCTGGAGGAGGGGCCGAACGGGCCCAGGACCTTTGACAAGCAAAAGAGGGCGACGCCAGAAGACCTCTGTCGTGCAGGATGGTAGTATGCTAGGTCTAGCATGTAAGTTTTCGGGCTGGAGTCATAGGATTGTAAATTTGTACTTTACCTCAACGGTACTCACTAGACGTGCGAAAGGGATACCTGAGTCCGATTTTCGAATGATAATGAACAGTGCTTCAGTGGGAGTTGCTCCTCAGTGGTTGCTGAGTCCCGAGTCGCAACGTCACTGGCAGAAGTGTACTACCCAGCCTCACGTTCATAGAGTCAACGAGATACATCCTCAGATGCATGTGTAGAATCTTGATTTTTTTTTGCTCCCTGTGCAACTAGTGTGCTCTGAGCCACCATTGACGTTAAGGATTCGCCCTTGCCAGTGTAACTTACCATGCAAGGGGCAGTCACGGTGGCGCCAAGGATCATCAGATTCATCGATCAATCGGGACCACGCGTCTACCTTACTCTAATAGTAGTTAGTACCGTATCAGGAAACACATGTTGTTCAACTTGAATGCAGTTTGCAGGATGGTCCTCAAGCTCTTGGGCCTCTCACTCGTCCTGACTCTTATATCCATCGCATCATGGGCTGTCCGTCAGATCCCGCCGGGTCCACTTCTGCTCAGGAGCCAGCTTGGGACATCACAGATCGGAGGCATGCAAGTTGCCAGCGGTTTGACAAAGGGACTCACTGCACAATTCCTCGCGAGCACAGCACCGGGTCTGTATGGTGGGGATGCCACGTCGGGATCACTCTTGGTAATCTCAGCTTAGGCCACATCTCGCCGTCTTGCGACCATGTCTTACTAGAACCCGCTCTTGCTCCCACAAGGCATCCACGGAGTCCTTGGATCACTGGCATGTCCGTGACTGCCCGGAGGCGATGCTCTATGTGAGACTCAATTGATGTATCCGTCGCCTTCTCACTGGCAGTATCCGCAATATTACAGTCATGTGCGAGTATATACTTGCCTATGTGCCGATAGTACCGGCACCCCTGACAGGCTTCGAAGACAAGTATAACGAGTATCGTTGCGTAACTGACAGCCCGTCATCCCGGGCCTCCGAGCATTGTGTATTAACACACACGGAATCTTCGGAGACTCGCAAATCGACACCGTACTTCTCCGGGACCACCGTCTCCTCGTTGATGTTCCGTCGGGTGCGTGCTCCATGTTTCGCTTATTTCGCGACACTTAGAATCTACGATGAGCACCGCCACGAAGCATACGGTAAGTTTTCCAGCGCCAGAAACTGTACAGAACCTCTGTATCATGAACGCAGGTTACATGATGCGGCAGCGGTAGCCGTTGCTTGCCGAAGAAAGGTACACATGCGGGGGTCTTGAGCTTCAGGCGATCTGCACCCTCTGCCGTTGGATTTCAGCCACCCGCGGCGATCGGCGTCCCGCTATGGTGTGGCTGGCTCTCGACACTGCTATTGTGTGGGAACACCGAGGCCGACATACTCCGCTTCGGTGCAAATCTAGACACGAGTGGGACACGGGGTCTATTGTTTTGGAAACAACAATCATTGACTTGATTTGAATCTGTGCGTGCATATAACGTCTCGGAGCCGCAGGTTGATCCTCGACGAGGGCCTTTGCGGCTAAGTGAGAGGCTTGTGCTGCGGATGCGTTTGCTAACTCGGCCGATTGTCGTGCTTCCGACCGCCCGCAGCCGTTGTCAGACACAGTCGGCGCCAGATGTGCACCGCTATTGAGTCCACAAGCATTTGAATGAATTGATGCAGAGAGCTAACTCAGTCAACTTGACGCTGGAAGAAGCAGTAACGCAGGGTAGGTGGCCATATGCATCCTCGTGCTTGCGCCGCTGAGTTGCCTCGGCATAGGACTATCCGAACCGAGCTTATAAAAGCATGCTGGGCTTCCAGCCTGACACCCACCCAGTTCTCTCTATCTTTCATCAGCACTCGTACTCCAACGATCTTCGCAATTATCTTCACCTTCACCCGGGTCACAGTGTTCGCCGTCATGCCCCGCTTCGCTCTCAAGTTTGCGGTCCTGATTCTTGCTGCGACGATCGTCCCGTCTGCATTGGCCATCCCTGCTGGTCACGGTGCGTTCAGTAACATAAGAATCTGCCCTCGTTTTTGATAAATTGATACCGGCTCTCCTAATAGCTGGAGATTACATCTCCTCGTCCCTTGTGATGCCCAGTCCTACCACCATTGTGACGTCCGACGCATGCCCGAGTGCCACCGATTGCGTCTCGTCGGCCTTCACGAGCGTGCCAGCCAGCATCAGCAGCGTCTCCATCGACCCTTCTGGCGTAATGTCTGTCTACACGAGTGTACCGGTCAGTGCGTCTGAATCCGTCGTCACCTCGATCGTCAGCAGCGTCGACGTCGACCCCTCGAGCGTGCCGGTCAGCGCGTCTGGATCCATCCTCACTTCCATGTTCACCAGCGACCCTGTGAGCGCTTCCGGCTCTGCCGTAACCTCGGTCTATACCAGCATCCCAGTCAGCGGGTCGGGATCCGTGGTCACCTCGGTGTTCACGAGCGTTCCGACAGTGCTCCATCACCACGTCGGTCTACAGCAGCGTGCCCCCCAGCGTATCGCCCTCCATCGTTACGACCACCGTTACTGTCTCGGGAACCGCGGTGACGTCCATCAGCAGTGAATCCGCGTCCTCAGTCTCCGATGGCGTGCCATCTTCAATCACAACTAACATTCCCGTGGCCGGCAGGATCATCAATCGCGCAGCGCAGTGGTTCGGCATGCACGTGTATGGGACAGAGGCCAGGGCACATGGGATCGCGATGGAGCATGGTCGGATCGAGTGACGGCCATGGTGTGGGGGTTTGTAGCATGCGCAGATACCAGATGGACTACAATATAGGTATAGGGTAGTGGGAGCTCTGAAGGACAGTGAAGGCCAGGAGGTATCGATGTGGGCTGTTGTTAAACTTTATCGAGCCTGAGTTCATTGCCTGCCTAATAGTATACGGCGAGTGCTTGCGGACTCCACACCCGGCCATGACGGTTTTGTTGTGGTCTTGCCACTGGCCAGACTCGGTCTTTGCCGCAGACGGCGTAGATGGACTAAACGATACGGTGGCCCCCTACGTCGCCAGAATTGATGGACAGGAGACTGTTCTAAGCCGTCGTTTTTCATTGCAACCCGTATGTAGAAGCCTCAGTAGAGATTGTAACACGCGGCGTGCGACGCGACGAGGGGATGAGAGTGTACATACTGTATCGGGCCGGGATCTGACGAGATCCCGGCCCGATACAGTATGTCACGTCTCACGTGAGTCGTGTCATCGCGTCTGTCACGTCTCGAGTCACTGCCGCAATATTGCTCTTTCGGCCAAGGGCCATCGAGTCCTCCCAAGAGTAATAGTCTCTTCGTTCTCTATCGCAAGTACCCCTCTCACTAGTTACTATGTCCACAAACGACGATTCTGCGGCTGTTTTCATCGCAAAAGCTGCCAAGGCAGCATTCGAAGCCTCCCAATTGATCGCCTCGTCGGAGCGAGTACGAGCCCTGCATGAACTGCGCGACGAGCTTGCTTTGCGAAGGAGGAGATACTGGCAGCAAACAGACGAGATCTTGAGGTGCATTTTGCTCCCACGCCCTTCGAGATGTGAGGCGTTCAATCTAGCTCGTCTCCCTACCTTCGTGTCTCCAGTAGCAAGCACTGATCAAGCAATAGGCAGCTCAGCAGGACGTAAATGCAGGGTGCATGTCTTCCTCCCTCTTGAAGAGGCTTGAGCTGAACAAAGTGGACAAATGGGACTCTATGCTGCAAGGCATCCTCGATGTGGCGAATCTCCTAGACCCGACAGGCATCGTCACATATGCCTCTGAGCTTGACGATGACCTCGAACTATACCGTGTCTCATGTCCTATCGGCGTGCTCTTGGTTATATTTGAGGCCCGTCCTGAGGTCGTCGTCAACATCGCTGCACTGGCAATCAAATCAGGTACGTCCAAACAGCCGATTGACTAGCTGTTCCCTTCATTGATCCATGTGTGTAGGCAATGCAGCGATTCTCAAAGGCGGGAAGGAATCAAATGAGACGACCAAGCTATTATCCAAAGCGATTCAGAGTGCCCTGTCAAAAACGAACATCCCGAGCACTTACATACAAACCATCCAGACTCGGGCAGAGGTGTCTGCGCTCCTGCAACTCGATCAATACATCGACTTAGTCATCCCTCGAGGAAGCAATAGCCTTGTCCGGAGTATTCAAAACAGCACCCGGATCCCTGTTATGGGTCACGCAGACGGACTGTGTTCCGTTTTCCTTGACGAAACTGCAGAGCTTAAGAAGGCAGTCAGAGTCGTCCTGGATTCCAAGGCATGCGTCGTCCACTCAGGATGCTGCACACACAAACGCTGACGATGCTGCATCCCAGACTGACTATCCTGCTGCGTGCAATGCAGCAGAGACCTTGGTTGTCCACGAAAACGTCGTGTCGACCGTCTGGCCAGCCGTTGCGCAAGCGCTCCTCGACGCAGACGTACAGCTGCTCTGTGACCCACTCACCATCTCCGCACTGCAGTCACTCTCTCCCACCCCCTCCAAGCTCGCTTCGCACGTCCATCCGTCCACGCCTGACTCTTACACGACCGAGCATCTCAGCCTCACGCTGTCCGTTATCGCCCTGCCCTCCCTAGCAGACGCCATCCGATTCATCAACTCACATTCGTCGCACCACACCGACTGCATAGTCACAGAGGACCCAGCGGCAGCGTCCGCTTTCTGCCGCGGAGTCGACTCTGCGGGTACGTTTGTCAACGCAAGCACACGCTTCGCAGACGGCTTCCGCTACGGGTTCGGCACGGAGGTGGGCATCAGCACAGGGAGGATCCACGCGCGGGGACCGGTCGGCCTCGAGGGCCTGGTCACGTACAAATACATGCTGCGCAGCAAGGGCGAGAACGGCCACGTCGTTGGCGAGTTCGGGGCGGACGACGGGAAGAAGTATAAGCATAGGAGCATCGAAGCGAAGACGGTACCGTTTTTGGAGTAAGTAGAGGTGATTAAGATGATACATAGTGTATGTACAACGTACGCGCGACAACAAGAGGACCTACCAGGCGTCAAACATAAGCAAATGAGATGCAGTGTGTAGCGATACAGTAAGGTGAGATCGTACGTCCGATTCGCGCGAGTTGTGGGATAGCAAAACCTGCACGTTACGAGCCTTCGACCTTTGCTTTCTTCTCTGACGGCGTCGAGGCAGGTGGTTCTTCCTCGGCTTTGCGTTTGGCCGTACCGTTCGCCTCCGGATCCTTTTTCTTCTTTTTCACCATCGACGTTAGGTCATTCACTGGCTGAGGAACAGGGGCGGACGGCTGTTTGCCGGTGTTCAGCTCATGGTCAAGTGCCCTTTCCACCATGGCGGGCGCTGACTCTGCCGTCTGCTCTGGTGATGTTTTGAGCTCTTCCACCTATAAGAGCAATCCTGAATGTCAGTGACAGTGCACTGTTGTTTATTTCGTAAAATCCAACATACCTTGAGGGCCAGATCCTCCTTCAAGCCCTGCAGTTCTTTGACTTCGGCCTCCATTTGACTCTGGGTCAGATGCTGAACTGCATCATCTCCCAGTATCCGGGCCCCCCTAGCCTTGCCTTTGCCCTTCGGATCGGATTTCTCATCGACGGCGACCTTCACCATTCCCTGGCCACTCAGCGCATCCCGCAGCTCAGCCAACCTCGCCTCCACACTGTCGAGCGCTCGTTCTGCGTGCGTGATCGAGTCGCTCAGGCGCCCTGAGGTGAGGTCCAGCACGATGCTGAGCTTGTAGTGCGCTTCGGCTATCTGGCGGGAGGACTGGGGCAGGAGGTCGACTTTGAGCGCGAGGGCCTGGTCATAGTCTGCGATTGCCTGCTCGAATTTCTCCGTCTCGAGCGAGACGTCGCCGAGGGCGAGGAACGTGTCCGCGAGCTTCAGCTTTACTTCGTCACTCTCCTCTTGTTGCTTCTCGTAGATGGCGCGTGCGAGGTCGAGCACCTCCCACGCTGCGTTGAAGTCGTCCTCGGGCTCTCCCTCTTCCTCTTCGCCTTCTTCCTCCTCATCGTCCTCCTCCTCCTCGTCACGTTCCGCGGCTTTCTGCGCCTCGCCGAAGAGGTCTACGGGGACGTCCTCCTTGCTTCCGGGCACAAGCGGCTCTGCGTCATCATCAACATCGCCTGAGAACGAGAGGAATTTGCCTGGGCCAGCGGTCTCTGACTCTGCAGGCATAATTGAGCCATGATGACGGAGAGCCACCGTCGGGTTCGACGTACCTCCGGCCACTGCACGCACAGCTTCCTCCGCCTGCTCCTTCCCCAGTACCGAACTTTGTGCAATCGCGTTCTCCAGCAGTGCCTTCCCGTACGCATAATACAGATCTGCCGTCTCCGAGCCCTTCTCGCCGTACTTCTCCGTACTGCAGAACAAAGGACCACGGCGTCAACATAGAGTCCAGAATGACGCGTCCAACGCGCCCCAGGCGACGCGCTACTCACGCGAGCTCGAGAGCAGTAGCATAATGGTCGACCGACTGCTCGTATTTCCTCAGCGCGAACGCGCGTTTGGCCTGTTCGATAGCTTCTTCCATAGACATCGTGGCCGTGGTTGTCGCAGCGGGGGCATCGTTTGACGTGCTACGAGGATTCGCGCCAAGTTCAGTGACATGTCCGTGCATGTATTCTGCAACGAGGACTCACGCAGGCATGGTGGCAGTGGCCGTGATGATGGGAGAAGTGGATGTACTTTGCACGCCGTGCTCGTGTCGCGTCGCGTCAAGCGTTGTTACTTAGTGGCCAAATCAATCACGTGGTATGCTCGGATGTGGCTGTCGGCCGCGGCGCCGTTTGGAGACTCGGCACTCCTCCTCACTTCAATAGTCCTGAAGCTTGACTTGTGACCCAACTCAGTTTTTTGGACCATATTGCGAGCGTATCCTTGGACGAAGAATTAATTGGGAAGCACGTTTGGGGCGCTGAACTTCTCCGGCCTTCCGTTCCGCCGCTAAGGCCGCTGTATCCTCCTCGGGCTGCCAGGCTGCGGCTTGACTTACTCGCAGTGTGTGGCCTTAACTCGCTTTGCCTCGGAGCCCGATTCCAATAGCAACAGACAGGTGTCCTCTAGAGTTTCCCGATCGCTGTCGGTGCGCTTTCGCCGCAATTGCAGTGCTTGAGTGAGTCTCAGTCACAGTGCAGAGCAGTGCACAGCATTGATCCGAAGGTTTGGAAAGGTATGAGGGTCAGTGCGTTCGAGCAAACCATCCACTTTTCTGAGTTTGCCGGTGAGGGCGTTTTCAAGCGTCGCGACGAACGTCGGATCGGGGCGCAGAACTCAGACACTACTCTTCTCATGATCAGGCATGGCAGAAAATCATGGAATACGCCCCTAATAAGGATACACTATACATAGCGGACGCTACACATGTACAATGACACTATAATACATGCTTAATATTGATGATGTGGTATCGCGCAGTAGGGAATAATAGTCTTCTTTACTCATCGACACCCTCCTCCCATCTGAGGGACCGCTCCACAGCGCGCTTCCAGCCCAGCCACTTCTTCTCGCGCAGAGGCTCGTCGACGACCGGGTTGAACTCACGGGTGCCCTTCGTGTTGACCTCCGATAGGGTCTCCGGCTCGCTGATGTTCCACCCGAACAGGCGGATCGCGGAGCCCGCCAGGAGCGCGGATCCGAGCGCGGTCGATCTGATAAGGGGGCGCAGCGCGATCAGGTCAGGGGTGAATGAACAGGAGCGGGAACGCGGGAGGGACGCACTCTCTCATCTCGGGCCGGACGACGGTGAAGCCGCCGACATCGGCGAGCACCTGCATCGCGGTGTCGCCGTTCGTCATGCCGCCGTCGACCATGAGGAGCTTCAGTTCCGTCTTCGAGTCGAGCTTCATGCTTTCGAGGATCTCGCGCGTCTGGAAGGCGTTCGCGTCCAAGGTCGCCCGGCAGATGTGACTCGGAGTGGTGTACGCAGACAGGCCTGAGACAAAGCTTAGCCGGATGGATCGTGTGGAGGTGGGGTCGACTAACCGATGAGCAGGCCACCTGCTCCGGGGTCCCAGTAGGGTGCGAGCAGGCCGGAGAAGGCAGGAACGAAGTAGACGCCACCGGTGTGCTTTACCGAGTCTGCGAGGGTGTTGATATCGGCCGCCGTCTTGATCAACCCCATGGAGTCACGCAGCCTGGTGCGGAACGATGGTCAGCGCGAAAGTATGATCGGGCATGATTGTACGAACCACTTGATAGCGCTTCCAGCGACAGCGACTGCGCAACGGTTGTCAACATCGTAACGAAGGGTAGAGGGACGCCATAGGACTTACTGGAACCCTCCAAAGCGTACACAGGCTTGCCGTTCTTACCGTCTTGGTAGGCAACCTTTTGAGCACCATCAATGGGCCATCCTGTCGAAGGGAATTGTGCGACTCACCGTGCTCAAGAGACCATGCGCGCTCGACACGATGTCCTCGCCCGTGCAGAACAGGAGGAACGCGCCTGTGCCATACGTGCACTTGGCTTCACCCTGCTTCAGGCACTTGTTGCCGACTAGCGCGCCCTGCTGGTCGCCGACGAGCCCACCAATCTTTACACCCTTCAAAGCGCCGTAGAGATTTCGCCATAGACCTCAGAAGACGACGCGATTTTGGGAAGAACGGAAGGCTTGATCTCCAAGAAGTTCAGCATGATAGGCTCCCACTCAAGTGTGCGCAGGTTCATGAGAAGAGTTCGGGACGCGTTCGTCACCTCCGTGACATGGAGACCACCAGTCAAACGCTGGGCGTAAAGTATTAGCCGTGTATTACGGGAGATGCGCGAGGAATACCCACGTAGACAAGCCACGACTCGACCGTGCCGAACAGGAGGTCATCCTCTTCGTGAGCCTTCCTGACATGCTCGTGGTGTTCAATCATCCAGCGCAGCTTGATGGCAGAGAAATAAGTGGAAAGCTGAAGGCCAGTCCTATGACAGGTAATTATTAGTTGCTGTGTGCACTCTATTCAGAGAGCACGCTCACAAGTCCTTGAGCGCCTTCTCGCCCTCCTTGCCCTTCTTGCGAATGCCGGGCGCAACCTCGAGACCGACATAGCTCAGCTTGTTCGCAAAGTGGGCGACGGTGTTCTTCGTGCGGGAGTCAGTCCAGACGATTGCACGACAGAGCGGCTTGCCGGTCTTGCGGCTCCAGGCGACCGCGGTTTCGCGCTGGTTTGTGATGCCTGCAAACGCGTCGGATCAGTATCACATGACCAGCACTAGGAAGCAGAAGGCCTGACCGATGACCTTCACGCTCTCCTTGGCCCAGCCCGAAGTCTCCAGGGCTTTGCAGGCCTCGGTGATGCATGTGTCGCAGCTCTCCACGATCTCGTCCGGATCCTGTTCGTGCCAGCTGAGAGCGTCGTGTGAGCAAATGTCCGAGACTCGTCACAGACAGGCGAACTCACCCAGGCTCGGGGTAATATTGTGGGTATTCGAGCTGGTGCTGGGCAACAATGTTCGCATACTGGTCGAAGATCAGGAAACGCGTAGACCTAGTGAGGCATAGCGGTGAGACGCGACTTCGTCAGCATGGCAGAGCACGTACGTGGTACCGCAGTCGAGCGAGCCGACGAACTCTCCTTGCTTGAGCGAAGACATGGCGGAATAACTGCGGCGGAGGGGGGCGAGACGAGGGGAATATCGGAGGACATGTCGGAGGAGGCTCATATTCATATGCGGCGCGAGCGGGCTCCTGTCGCTGGAGGAGGGGCGCGGTCCGGGGTGCCCCGCAGTGTCATCTGATGCCGAGATCACGATCATCTGTGCCCCTCCGCCCAGCCGCCCAGGGCGCCCCCGCCGCTGCGGCACCGGCCTCCTATCTACCCGAGCTCGTTGTGGAGTTAGCGCACTCTCCTTGTGCTACCCGCCAATACAGAACGCCCGCCGGGTAAACCCACCCACTTTGTGCTTCCCCGTAAGGATGCTCAGCTCAGACATGGCGTCGACGATGAGTTCAGGATGAGCTCGCGGCGCAGAAACATGACCACAGATGACCACCGGCGACTCACAATAAGTACGGCAGTCTTATATGATTACGATCAGTCCGCGAACAGTGTGTTCTAGATTTCTATACAGTCCTACCCCGCACTAAACATCAGGCCGCCCCGCGCAGCGGGCACACGTGAATTCCCCCGGAGTTGCGCTCAACTCGGGACGGCATACCGCATGTCCGCCGGCTCATCTCGCTGGCACCGACCACCGCGCGGCCACTGCTGCCGAAATGAACTGTCGGACGATCGAGACGAAGGGACAGGCACACACCGCTACAGTCGTCCGAGGGGACCTCCTCATCACGGAGACGGCTCCGGAATGCCGAACTTGTTCCTCTCCCAGGACGACCAGGCGAACACGGGCAGTGGGTGCGCTTCCGTGTTGAAGACCCACCGGTCGAGGGGCACGAGATCTTCGTCGTGGAAGAGCAGATACAGGTACTTCAACCTAGAGCGGGGTTAGGGGCGGGCCAGCAGCACACGGGATGAGAGAGCACGCACGTCTCGGCCAGGAAATAGCTGCGCAAATGAACAGCCGACAGTCAGCAGTGTTACTATCAGCTTACGAGCGAGGGTGCCGCTCACCTCGGCATATCATCGTCCAGCAGCGTCGGCGATAGCAAAATGTTCTTCGACGAAGCGTACCCGGACTGTGTCTTCGTCTCTCGTTCGATCGACTCGAAAATCGACCACCCCCGCTCTCTCCAGATGGGGTCACCCGTCGTCTTCCACAAGAAGTAGACGGACTCGAGCGTCTGCAGGGAAACGATCAGAACATCGCACAGGTCGCAGTCGAACCCCACGCACCTCAGGTCTCAGGAAGTACTCAGACCGCGACAGGACGTAATCGCGCTCGGGGACCCGCAGAGCCCGCAGCTTCGCGCTGCCGATCTCATCACGGGTGAATCTCACAGGCTTCTTCTCCCCCAGACCAGGTGGGTAGCTCTGCGCCCCGCCCTTGCGCCACTTCTCCATCCCGTCGATCCAGAGCTTGCCCGTGTGCTCCGGGGGCGCTCCCCGGGCTGGCCACTCGCCCGTATTCGGCTGGAAGTGCACGACGTCGGGGCCAAGGCCGGACGGCTGCTCCTCGTACAAGAGCCAGCACGTCGTCCCGAGCCCCTCCGCCGCCCAGCGGTGCAGCGCTCGCAGATCGTAGTTCCGCAGGAGGTCGTACGAACGCTGGCCCACCGGCCCGAGCGTCTCGTAGTCGAGGTCGTCGAGGGAGAGATCAATCTGATCGGCGCCGAGCGCGAGGAGGCCCGGCAGGAAGCACGACAAATGCTCGAAGTTGTGGCTGGGTATGAAATTGCGGTTGGTATCCGTCACGTAGAGGAGGTCGCGCGACTCGGAGAGGTATATCATGTGCGTGAGGATGTGATTAGTTGCTCGAAGGTCTGTCGGGGTTCAGTATAGGACAGCATCTGCCTGTCGAGAGCACGTACATAATGTTAATGCTTGCTTGTCTTGTTTGCCGGTCAGAAGGAACTGCTTCAATAAGTATTCGTGCGCGCTGTCTGCTGCAGCGCCTACGCTGAGGAACTCTGCGATACAACGTCAATGCGCAGACGCGTCACTAGGACTGAGCCGACATACCATCTGCGGGGTTTCCGGTGGCGAGATTCCACCGCCTCGGAAGCATGCCCCCAAGTCTGGTCAGATTTGCCCGGTAGAGGCCCTTCATAACCACGTCCGACTGAGGGGGATACAACGTCAGCGCAGAGCCCAATGGGTGATGACCGAGACTGACATTCTCCCAATACACCTTGTTGCCTGTAACCAATGCGAGGTAGGTGTACTCGACTTGGCAGCTAGCGATCTCCGCAAGGACACCCGAGGATCCCCCGATGGTCTCACCACTATGGAACTTGTCAGTATGTGAAATGACTACTTCGACTGTGCCGATTGCGCACGGTGAACAGAAAGTTCGCCCACATCCAAACAATATGAACCTTCAGAACGCGACACAGCCCAGGTATTGTGGTGAGGTCTCGGTATCATGTCATGAGGTGCTCTCGCCCATCGCTCGCGCGCGTTATGCGAGTGTGAGTATCGGCTCGGAAGTCAAATCCTCGACTGCACCCCACCAAAGATCAGCCACATCTCCACCGTCAGATTCGACTTGAAACCCCCCATGCCGAAGCTCTCTTGCAGGTCGGTCCGCGTACAACACTATCTGGCTGGCGACCCTGAAGGCGAGCGCCTTACAGACGCGAGATACTAGAGAGCGCGAAACTCGGGTCACCGGTGAACGGCGGCATGACAAACTGCGACACGGCAAACCAGTTATGAATGGCTCCTGGGGCTTGCACTTTGATGTGCGCCTGAGCCCGCCCCACTGTCAGCTTGCTGACCGGTCGCCTCTGGACCACCAAGCCTGAAGGCATTTCTGAAGGTCCCTATAGGGACTGAAGTAATCTGGGACCTACGTGACAGTGTCGACACCGAAAGCCGGGAACCCGCTCTGCGTATCGAAAGCAGGAGAGAGCATGCGCCCCAGATCGTCGGCTCGTTGAAGCAACAACGGTTCGCGCGAGAGAGCGTATGCCGAAAGGAGCCCTCCGAGGTAGCGGATGACAGTCTCGAAGAATGGAGCATAGCCCACATGTCGGTTTGTCACAGGCTGATACCCACGTGAGTAAGCCAGGAGCAGTAGTAGAAATGACTGCCACACTCACGGCGTTCGTCTCGAAAGTAGCTCTCGACACGACGGGCAAGGCCCGTGCAAATTCATCATTCAGCCCCATCATTATCATAGTGTCCAGGGAGTCGAATAATGACACGCCCCATCCGTTGAAGCTGCGTCGCGGATAAGTGAACTGTTTCGCGCAGGTACAATAACCGCTCACTTGTCTTTCGTCCCATTAGTGAGAGGCCGCAATTCGTCGTGGGGTTTGGCGTGTCTCTCGTAGCCACTGTACGCATGGCGGAATGCGTTCTTGACCGCTTCGGCTCTCTCCTTCCATACATGAGGCGGGGTCGTAGGCACTGGCTGGACAGTCCGCCATATCTCGCTGCTAGATACTGTGTTTGAGAGGGCGGAATAGTAGAGGGTTACCACCAGGACACAGCCAATGACTGCGAAGAGAAGGTGACGGCCTGTGAAACGTCTTGCCCTGCAATACTCCACGCAGGCCTGGAACATCCTGATGAGCATCGTCAAAAGGCCAGCTCAGACTGGAGAGTAGTGTCGTGGCTCCGGGCGAAGGAGCGAACTATAGAAATGTGTGCGGGTTCAATGTCATCGGTCGTGCGCAGCAAACGGCCAGTGGAGAATGCGATGCGCAGTGAGTTAACAAGATTGTTGCCCCAGAAATAAGTAAGGTCGCAGAAACGAGGTCTTGCCTTGGGCACTCGAAGACAGAGCAGACGGACGTGATAGTAACAGTGAAAGTAGGAGGACTCGATGGCCGCGACTACGAGGAGGAGGGAGTGACTTACCATTTCTGGAATTCTTCTCATGACTGCATTTGGCTCTCGCACCAGCAGCGCCGGCCAGGCTGCCGACTTGCGCTCTACCCGTCTCCCACCGCGTCTCTATCCCTCTTACCGTCAGTCATGACCAGTTTCGAGAAGGCGATCAAGGGGGCGTGCAAGCCCAAGCCAAATCCACCAAAGGCCAAGTACCTGACCCCATCCTTGCGGCGACGTGGTCGGAGGATGGCGCGGTACACGACGTCTGCCGGGCTCTCATCCCTCGCTTCCGGGAGCCGAACACGATTGTGGTCTTCAAAGCTTTGATTGTGCTCCATATGATGATACGTAACGGCTCGACCGACAACGTCTTGTCGTATCTGTCGTCGTCGGATGTTTTGAAGCTGAAGAACATATCGTCGGTGAACTGGGAAGGTGCGTCCACCCGTGTCTTCTGATTGCACTCGTGTCCTCACGGTCCACAGGATATAATGCCCCACAGAATCTCCTGAACTACGCTACGTATCTCGACGCGCGTATACGAGCTTACGCCCAACTGAAGCATGACGCGATCCGAGTCCAGTCTGAGACCAATCGGGACATGAGGAACTCGGCTGCGATTGAGGAAGAGCTAGGCCCGAGGCGAGCACGACCGAGGGCGCGACCAAGAGAACCACCAAGCACTGGCGTGCAACGGAGCAAGACGCTCGCGGGGCGGAAACTACGAGTGATGACGGTTGAGAAGGGTCTCCTGCGTGAGACCAAGATCGTTCAGAAGATGATTGACGCACTCCTCGAGTGTCGGGTGCGTGCGCTCTCTGCGTAATTGGCTCTGTTTTGACAGGTATCGTAGTTCTACCTTGATGACTTGGACAACGAGCTAAACATCACGGCTCTGCGGATGCTGGTGAAAGACCTATTGATCCTCTTCCAGGCATGCAACGAGGGTGTGATCAATGTCCTAGGTGTGTTATTCCAGTCTGCAGAGGCGACAGTCAATCTGAACATAAGCAGAACATTATTTGAGATGTTTCGTAGTGATGCGGAGGAGGCACTCAACCTCTATCGCCATTTCTGCCAGGAAACCGAACGCGTGGTTGAGTATCTTGGCGTCGCGAAGAAGCTGCAAAACATCCTCAATGTACCAATACCCAACCTCCGCCATGTAGGTCGAACACTCTCCCCTTTTGACGAGTGCTGACTTGGTGGTAGGCCCGGTGTCCCTAGCAGGCGCTCTGGAGGAGTATTTACGAGATCCAACTTTGAGCAAAACCGGATCGAGTACAAGGCGAACAAAGAAGCTGCAGAGCGGGCGGAAAGGAATGGCACCGTGCCACCTGTGCCAAAGTCGAAGACGCCAGAGAAAGGTATGTCATATCCTATGATTTGTCCTAGACCGTCATGTTGACGAATCTTCTTTGTCCAGCGCCCGAGGCAGCACCGTCGACTCCAATGATCCCACAACCGCTCAAAGTCCAGGGGCCAAGGCTCCGCAGGACATGATCGACTTCTTCTCCGCCATTGAGAGTGAACAGCAGACCATGTTCAACCCTCAGACTAACAGGTGCGCGGATAGCTTTAGTCGCCGAAGAATCACGCTGACGCGATTGCCCCAGTCCATCCACTGCGTACTTCCAACATCATGCTCTGCACAATCCTTTCGCGCAGCAACAGATGCAGATGATGACCGGCGCGCCCTCCTTCGGTGGTGCACAACCATTCACCCAGCCGCAGATGCAGCCCCAACCTACCGGATTCGTCATGCCGCAGCACACTACGAACCCGTTCGGCCTCCTCCAGCAACAACAGCAGCAGCAGCAACAGCCTCAACAGCCGGCACCCTTCCTTCAGCCACAGCACACGGCATTCCTCCAGCCACAAGCTACCGGCGTGAACCCGTTTCGGCAGAGTATGTTGATGCCGCACACGACAGGAATGGCCGCGTTCGGCCAGCAGCAGCCTCCAAGTACGAACCCATTCCCGGCTCAGAACACTGGACAGCCTTTCGGTGGTAATCCGACGATGCCTCAGTTCAACAACGCCTTCTCGTCGCAAATCGTGGCACCATCCGCTCAGCAGCCGAATGCTGTCGCGACAAATACTGGTCCGGCCCGTCCAGCATCTGCGCCACTCACATCGATTCCTTCTGCATCGACGGGTCCGCCGCTGTGCAGCAGGTGAAGACCACCAGACGGGTTCGAGGAATCCGTTCGGCGTGCCCGTATCGACGCCACCACCCATGCCGAAACAGCCTACTTTGTTCGAGCTGGCCTTGGGCGAATCACAGCCCAATCATGGAATGGCCAGCAGCCGCAACAACAAACGTCGCCGAGTTCCTCTGGGTTCAGTGCGAACGGTTTCGGGTCTCAGCTGAGCTCCCAGCCTACCGGCTTCGGTTCGCAGCTGAATTCTCAGCCCACTGGCTCGGTGATGACGAACGTTGCTTCGTCGTTCACGTTCAGCAAGCCGGGCGATAACTCCTCCACAACGACTCGTCCTTGAACCCGCAGCAGACGGCGTCTACGACGACCGGCTCCACCTTCTCTGATTCCCTTTTCTCCTCCTCGTCATTATTCAGTCAACCCACGGGCGCGACGGTCACGTCGTCGGCGCCGTCCATCGCCGTCTCCCCCGCTAACCCCCTGCAACCGCAGAAGACGGGCTTCAGCAGCGGGCTCAAGGCGTTCAAGCCGTCGTCTACGTTTGGCGCTGCGCTCCTTGAATCACTCCCGCCTATACCGCAGTCCGCCCCAACCACACCCGGGGAGTCGCCCAGACGAATTCCCCCTTCCCAACGCAGAACGGGAATGCGAGCGCAAGTCAAGGTTCGTCTGGCTCAACGTCGGGCCTGGGCACACAACCAACGGGCTTCTCGTCAGGTCTTAGTGGGGTGAATTCTCAGCCCACCGGGGCATTCAGCTCATCCTTCGCAGGCCTGGGCTCCCAGCCCACTGGTGCGCTGAACTCACAACCGACGGGTGCGTTCGGCGCCCTGGCTAAGTCTCCGGGTGCTGGCCTCCGTCCACAGATGACAGGTGGTGCTGGCGGAGCAAACCCATTCCGCGCATCGATGTTTCCTATGACCACTGGTCTGCCAAATGGGAACTTCGGTTCCGGGAACGGTACAGCTCAGACACCTTCTTTCTTGGCTCGTCGACAACGGGCGTCGGGAGCTCTCAGTTCGGGATGAGCACATCGTCGAGCGCACCGTCATTTGGGAACTCTCAGTTTGGGTTTGGGCAGGATGCTTCGAAACTGCAGCAACAACAACAACAACAGCAGCAGCAGCAGCAGCAGCAGAATGGCAGTGCTTCTTGATTAATTGGCGACATCTCTTGGTTTTCTACGTTTGTGCACCCCCGCATCCACACTCCTTCTTTAGGTAGCCCATCGTGTTTGGCGTCGTCGCCGTACCACTTAGTCGATCTACTCTAGTCACGATGTTTTCCGAGAACATACCCGGTGTAATTGTATCCGCGGACATGATTCGATGCTGATTTTCTTCGCGTGCTACAGACCTTTCCGAGACACGAACGCGGAAAGGGCATAGACTGTGAAGCGCAAAAATGACACGTAGCTACCAAGACTAGAAGCGAAGAAGGGCGGCCAGGACACGGACTTCACTTGAAAGAGTAGCCAGATGTGAGAAAGAATGCTCACTCATACAGTGACTGACACGCGAGCACGGAACATGAGCGCGTGAGCCCTGGAGCAGCAGCTGGCAGGCCATCCTAAGACGATCCATAAGTAAGTTACTTCGCGTTGGCATTCGTGATACTCAGTCCTGCTCAGTCGGAGGAGTTGCTCGAGGCAGAGTATGTCCAAATTGGGCCAGAACGACCGGGGTGGCGTGAGAGTGCTGGTCGACTGGCCACAACGCCTTCCGAATTCGATGTCTGCACCTCCATTACCTCAGTTAGGTTAACGCGTCCTTGAACCGGTTCTTGCAATGAAGTGGACGGATGCGGTCTACAGATATGTACATGCTAACGGGAAGACCACAGAACGAGATATATAGGCTACAATAGCCATCGACGAGCTGCACCCCAGCCGTCACGGTCATGATGTTCTCCGCCGCATCATCGGACACGCCCAGCGGAGTTCTCCTCTCCGTCGTCGCCATAATCGTTGGCCTGGCTTCATACGCCGCTTACCGCACGCTCTCCCCAGGTCGCCCTCTCGCCTCGCTCCCTCCGGGCCCGAGACCTCTTCCGCTGATCGGTAACCTCCTTGATCTCCCTCGCTCACATCCATGGGTGAAGTTCTCTGAATGGGGTGATATCTACGGTGCGCGTGCCTTCTGCCTCTAATACGTGCTCTCCGTGCCAGCTATCGCCGGCGAGTTGCATCAATAGCCCAGGCCCGCTGACAGGCGCATGACAAAGTCCTATATTGCCTGTACATGGACCCTCACTTATGTAACGGATGGCACATCGTTTGCATATCTACCTCTCCAACTAATGTGGCCATAGTCAGCCAGCTAAGTGGCCGTCAGATTCTTCGGCTTTTGCTCCTGCAGTCCCAGTCTGGCAGTGATACCTAACAATGTGGTTTTCGTCTTCAATGCATCACTCACTCACTGCGCAACCTATCGTCCTGACCTCCCCTTACAGGCGGTATCGTACATGTTAGCTCTCTCGGTCAAAGCATCATCATCCTCAATGAGCCCAAGTATGCCATCGACATGCTCGACAAGAAGGGCGCCCTATACGGCGACCGTCCGACGCTCGTCATGGGCGGCCAGCTCGTTGGCTGGGACCAGAGCCCCGCCCTCATACCATTCGGTGACCAATGGTCGGAATACCGCCGCCTCTTCAGCCACTTCATGGGCACAAAGGCGAAGGTCGACGCTTACAACCCCATTCTCCACGAAGAGACGAACGTCTACCTGAAGCATATCCTCGCCACCCCCATGACTGGATCGAGCACACGAGACAGTATGCCGTCCGACTTACTGCACACGCACACGCTCACGCTCACGCCTTGCAGTTTCGCCGGCGGGCTCATCTTACAGCTGGCGTACGGCTATAGAGCCTCTGATCCAGGTGGCAAGGGACTTATCAAGCTCGCGGACGACGCGATGGAAGGCTTCTCAGAGGCGATAACGCCGAACGCGTTCCTCGTTGACGTCCTTCCCATTCGTCAGTCTCCCTCTTACTGCGAGGTCGTCGTAGTTCCGATTATGACTCCAATAGTGCGCTACGTGCCTTACTGGTTCCCGGGCGCCGCATGGAAGCATAAGGCCAAACTGTACCATGACTCTCTCCAGGAGATGCTGCGAGCTCCGTTCGAACTCGTGAAGCGACAAATGGTGTGCTTGCGCCGGACAGCCGGTGGATGGTGTCATTACTAATTCTCGTCCCTCCATAGGCTGCAGGTGTCGCGCGGCCCTCCTTCACCCAGAACCATCTCGATGGACCACCGCTGACTCCAGATCAAGAGCGCGTAGTTCAATGGGCAGCCGCAGGAATTTACGGCGGTGCGTAGCACATCCTAAGGTTCACAGAGCTCCGTTATGGGTTGACTCATTGCATGATACCGTGCAGGCGGCGCGGACACCGTCAGTCCCCTCACCTCCTCTCATCCACCTGTACGATCCGAGATGTCGGGTTCCTGATCAACGTATTGGCAGACTGTAGCAGGCATAGAATGCCTTTTCTTGGGACTCACGCGACACACAGCTGAGCAGGGCATAGCTCAGGCCGAGCTTGATGCCGTACTTGGGCATGACTGCCTCCCGACGCTCGCCGACCGCGAGCGTCTGCCCTATTGCGAGGCGCTCTATCTCGAGATCATGCGCCGCTACACCTTCAATCCTCTCGGTGCGCTATACTTGTCTACGTCTATTAGCAAGCCTTTCGGTTGATTACATGCAGGACTGGCACATGTGGCGCGCGAGGACGACGTGCATGATGGGGTTTTTATCCCCAAGGGTTCTATTATCGTGCCCAATAATTGGTGTGCATGCCTCTCCGCTCGACGGCTCCAAGCCCCCCTAACGACCGCCCCGCAGGCGGTTCTTCAACGACGCGAAGACTTACGCCCAACCGGAGACCTTCACACCCGAGCGTTTCCTGGGCACGGCAAAGCAGTATGACCCGCGCAAATACCTCTTCGGGTATGGACGTCGGTGCGTGTCCCTCTTCTCGCTCTGACCACCTCTTTCTTAACGTGATACTCTAGGACTTGTCCTGGCATGTATCATGCGCCCCATCCAGACTCCGCGTGCTGACACTATTCGTGCATCAGGTGTCCACCTCGCAGACGCATCCATGTGGCTCGCGTGCTTGTCGATCCTCGCCGTGTTTAACGTCGCGCCGCCGATGAAGGACGGCGAACGCGTCGTTCCCCCAGCAAATTTCACGAACAGCGGGATCAGGTGCGTCCGGCTTGCCCTGCGCCACACGTCTCCCCACTCCTACATCTCGGCACGTTCGCATTCTGTCGGCTCCTATGTTTCGCATCCCGAGTGCTGACACTTGCGTTGTTGTGCACTGGCAGTCATCCCGAACCATTTGAGTGCGTGGTCAGGCCGCGGAACACGGGCTCAGAGAAGCTTGTGCACGGGCTCCCGGGCAATTTCTAGTTTCTTGTGTCTCGGTATGTGGTCCTTCGGGTTATTACTCATACTTGGAGGTGCTCACGACTCGCCTGTATGTTGTGTTGTATTGCAGTCGCGGTGGAGGTCCCTCATTTTCTCTGGAAAGTCTAGAAAGGCCGTTACCTGCAGTTCGGCGGTGTCTCAGGCTGTGGATGTGCGAGACTTTTGCGTGTTGTGATGAAGCGATGTGAAGAGCTCGTGGACTGCATTTGTCCCGAATACGTACGGCAAAGATCGAGTTACAGCCGCAATGCGGGCACTCCTTCCTCACCACAATTTGAAATCCGTGTTGGGTTCATCTGGGGGAGGGAGGGAGGTTGCCTCTTCAAAGCAGCAGCATGATCGAACAGTTTGCTTCCGCTTGCGTTCGACGGATCTTGTCCACACCACCGTATCTGAACTCTGATATCATCATCGGATGTACAGCCTTCGAGTCGCCGAGCCTGTAGGTTGCTCAACGAAGTGCCAAATTCTGGCTTGCGACTGGGTACCCGAGTCGTTAACGCAGATGATTGTGTGTAACAGGCCCCTGGCAATGCGATATTGTCGCGATCCGAGGCTGGGTACAAGTCGTGGCGCGCTCACCACTTACTTTCTCGGTATGTTCCTCATCTTGTTCAAGGTTCTCTGTCCTCGTGCGACATGGAAGCTGATGATGTATAAATAGGAACATTCATCAACGCCATTTTTTGCGAATCCCTCTGTGTTTGACCTACACGAAATCGCAATCCGATGCCGTCATGTGGCATGATATACCGAAACAGCTTCAGTGAGTGTTCAAACGTTCAACGTTCAACGTCAACTGTCAGGTATCCCAAAATCCAACCAGCGCATCCTGGAGAACATACATACACAGACGCCGACGGATATGAGCATCAGCAAAAGTGCCGGATAATTATCTCACAAGCGGCGAGTTGTGTTACTTACCTCGTAAGATTTGACATTCGCTCCAGATATAACTAGAGAGAACGGGAAGACTGCAAGAGGTGGTGTTGGATGTAGATAGCTTTCTGAGATGCCATTGTAAGTCGACAACGTACCAGACTTGTGAAGACATGCGCAGAGAATTGGCACCGCTTGGTGCCGCTTTTAAGATGAGCGCAGACGGCGAGAGCGGACGCGTAATCTGTCTAGAGACTATGAGTATCGTCGAGTCAGCATGTCAGCGCGATCTCCGGAATAAATTGAATTAGGACCATTCAAGTTTCAGGCTGCGCGGCATGTACCCATCATGTATGACACAGTTCCTGAGGTATATGCTGACCTATCAATATAGATTTCGATCGGAAACGGGGAAGTTGCAGGCACGTACGGGCCTATGCAGCGCGGGTAGGCTCAGAGCGGCGACGAGGCGCATACTACAGGCTGTTCAGGTCATCCTTCGGGCACAAAAGTCGCCTTTGGGGCCTATGCAGGCAGTTGCGAACGAGGGCATGAAAACAGCGTAAAGGATGGGGAGGTACACCCTCAAGGCCTCATGGCACGGTGTGACTTAGCAGCACATCGAAGTCCGCGTCCTGGACCTCAGCCGCAGTGCTCGACTGCACGCGGTCACGTGGGCGCATATAGCCAGTCTTGAGATCTTGAGACGCTGTGTCGTCTCTCAAATTCTTCTTCCACAACCACCATCCTCTCACTTGCACACTCCGACATTGTCCTCCAAGTACCTCGCTCTCGCCATCCCCTTTACTGATTGTGAACCAACTCTATTGTCGCCGCTGTTATCCCCGCCCGCCGGTTCCACCTGCCCGATCTCACGCGCCCACCCGCCCTTGCATGCCTGCCCAACCATCGATCTCTCTTGATTGTTCTCATCACACTTCTATCCCGCTCGCCTCGTCCTTTAACTCGTTTGCGCTGGGGGTGCTGCTCCTGGTGCATATACACATTGTGCTGTCGTCAATGAAGTCGACGATGGCCGCGACCCCAGCCCCGGCCCTCAGGAAGAGCATCAGTATATGCATGGGTATCCCGTACTCTACCCGGGCCCGTACCCGCCCGGGTACAAACCCGCCGCAGCGGGTACGGGTGTGCGCGGTTGGCGCGGTTGGCATGGACAAGGCAAGGTCGAGCGGGTGAGCAGGCTACGGGCAAGCATTCGAGAAAGCGAGTACTTATGGGTGAGCGGATAAGAACAGGCGGGCGAGGAGCCGCGAGGAAGCGAGCCGAGGCGAGCGGACGAGAGGGTAGGCAAGTAGGCGAGGAGGCGGGTGAGTAGACGAGGTGGCAGGAGAACCAGCAAGAAGGTGAGCGCGGGCGGGCAACAACAATCCAGCGGCGAGTGGACGAGCGGGCGGGAAAGGGCGAGCGAGTGCGTAATGAGCCGAGCGCAGGCTGGCGAGAAGCCGAGGGTAGGCAGGTGAGTGGGCGAACCAGCAGACCGGCGGGCTACTAGCTAACAAGAGGGCGAGCTAAAGCCGACAAGACTAGTGAACACGCTCTTGAACTCCACTGAGCTGTCCCCGCCGAGGGACTACAGCCGCCGCGACCACGAGCAGCTCGACAAACTCACCGTCATCGACATTCCGGGCCTCGGCTTCAATGACTATGTCAACAAGCGCGACTCGCGAAGTTCAACCTCAGGACTTCACCACTTCCGCCACTGGAATCTCGGTGAGTACCTACCCTCTTCTGTTCGCATTTAGTGATGCTTATTTAGCTGCTCGATCTGCGTCGTTGCGCGTGACCATTCAAGGGCTTCTGCCCACAGTATTGTCGGTATTTCTCGACTCGGACCCTCATTCTGCTCATATACTTTGCACCAGAGTTCATTCGCCACGTCTGGCGCTCAGCTCGTATCATCCCATTCCTCTCTTCCAGTTTTGATCTCGCGGTCTCGCCTCGTCAGCATCGCGCCGGTAGTACGTTCAGCGAGTGTGTACGTTATTTGACGGTGTGTAAAGGCTGTATTATATTTTTTGTACCTGCATATGTGGGTATGAATCTCTGTCAGCGATGTGCGATGTATGGTGAAGCCGAACGCGTTGAAAGGTAAAGACAGTGACTGGAACCGAAATGCGGTGGACATTGTCTGGTCGAGACAGTACGTATTTCTTGTGTTCTCTCGGTGATATCTTACCTTCGCTGACACATCTCTTTCCGGCCATTAGCACCGCTGCACGATGCGGCGAGGGAACTGAAGATGACAAATACATGGTAAGTCATCGCAACCCAACACGAAAGTAGTGCAAGAAAAAGGGCAACTAATACAGATAAGCAAGACAGGACAGATTTCACATACAATGTGCGATAATGTGAGATCTGCGTCGTGCACTTTTGGCGATGAGGTTGCAAGAACTTGACACTATTGAATTCGGGAATATTCGAGGTCAGGTAAGAAAACAGACGTTCAAAACCGATTATGAAAGGGGACGGCCCGGTCGCGGGCGACCACGGGCAGTGAGGTGCGCCGTGAAACCCTGATGCATCTGCTGCTGAGGACGGCCACTAAGCCAACGTTCTTCGTTGACCTATCTACCTGTTCATGATTCAACTTTGTGTGCATGTGGACGATAGGAATCCAAGGAGACCTCACATCGACGCCGCGATATCGGTATTTATCACCGCTGGGTCCGGTGATATCATGCTGATAATTGTATATAGTCTTGAGGGACGTAGCCCACCCGACCGGCCTACTCGAGACCACTGGCACTCGGCCTACTACGACGTGACAATAAGCAACCGCCTCAAGGTCCAACGACTATGACGACTCCGAGTGGGCAGCTCAACCTTGATCCTAGCATGGGATGCTTACTCATCGGGGCTGGAATATTTGCATCGATGTGAGTCATACTATTGAATGCCTTCAACACCATTCATGAAGTGTTGCAGGCTCTATGGCTCTTCGTGCGCTCAACTTGTATACTATCTTTGGCACTACTGGAATCGAGACAGACTACCTACGAGGTTCCTTGTATGTTCTTAGTTGTCGTCGTGGTAATAAGTCTATTGATTGCAGTATCTAGATTATCTTTGTATGGTCAGTAAATCCAACGGGCCGCACTGCGTGTTAGCTGAAGACTGACGGTGAATACAAGGCTGCTTGACACGATTGTTACTGCCTCCGACATCGGTGTACGTCTACCTCTCACTGTATCTTGGGTCTATTGATTGACTCGTGGTTGCTAGCTTCTATGGTCCTTCCTTATCACGAATCATGGCTGCCCATCTGGCCTTCTCATTGTCCCGAAGTAATCGACTCTATATGTTCCTCTCCGCGTGAACTGACCGTCACGTGTGTCTTATCTAGAGTGTACGAGGTAAGAATTAAATGTTTCCTACAAGGGAATCAAGTTCTTGCTCACTTGTTTTCAATTGATCGTAGCTGGAGTACGCAACCACAGTGCGTCGCACTTGATTTGGTTGTATAGCTTCAAGGCTGACGCCGAAGCTGCCGAACGTTCAGGTTGTAACGACTTGCGCCGTGCAGATGTGCGTATATCGATCATAAATCCGGACATTTATTGAGAAGCATCTGATCTAGGTTCTATATCTCTCAAATATGGCAATGTGGGTCTGTTGTGGTCTGATGGTCACATAAAACACTCAGATCTCCCGAGTGCTCTATGGACCTCCTGTATAATGAAGATAGTAATGTCGTGGCACCAGTGAGTGACATTCAGATAACCATCTCAAAGTAGTAATGCAGTTCTGACTTTGAGGTCAGGCAGTGCTTTCCTTGCTTCCTGTCGGTACGTTTACCGGCCATTCATAGCATCGGAGGGCACTCAGAGCCACTCCATGTAGCCTTCACCCTCAGTAAAGTGTAATCCTCGCTGGCATGAGATAATACACTGATGTAGTATTTACTCTCCAGAGACCGTATATAGTGTTGCGTAGGTTTGGGGTGGACTACGAGAATAGCTGTACTGACTTGCTAATGCAATGACAGTACGATGAGTGACTGGATTCTCTCAGAATCCATGACAGATGCAATTGTAGGTCTTGTGCATCTGGAACGCGAATGTGAATTGACTCATGTCTACTAGCCTTGGACATCAAGTCGTGTCTTGACTGACGTAGTGGCAGATGTCTACATTTGTGTTGCCCTTTCGTGGACATTGCATAAAAGAAAGACAGGCATCAAAAAGTAGGTTGTTCTCGCTTCGTCTGGGCTTGACTGTATTCAATGCAAGCCGCCTTATTTAGAACCGACAACATAATCAGCAAACTTACCACATATACTATCAATCGCGGAATCCTCTCGATGTAAGTCCACTGACTTGGAAGCTCCATGGGCCAGATTGCTCAGGAGATGACGGATGGGCACTATAGGCTAGTACAAATTGTGCTCTGTGGGACGGTTCGTCGTAGCTTGCATGGCAGATAGTCATCGTGATGCTCATAGCAGTGATAGTATGTAGGATTCACCAAGCAGAGTGCTCTCATATGGATGATACCCCACTGCGCAGGATGCAAGAGTAAGTACACAGCGAGTCCGCTCGGCCCGTCACTAACTGATTAATTTTACCTCACACTGCCGGCAGTCTACGTCAACTCTATGATGGCTGTGTAAGTGATTGTCCATACCTCCCTAATAACTATTCCTACACTAAGTTGTATCCCGTAGTCTGAATGCTCGTCATCACGTCAAGAAGCATTTGGGTCAGCATATGGTCCCGCTCACCAGAGGCGCCATGTCCTGAACCCAGAATATCACGACGCAGGACTAACTTGAACGGTGATACGTGTCTTTATACTATCGACTTCTTGGTGCATACGAGTGACGAATATATGTCTTTCAATGGAGTTTCTGTACTGACGCGGATATCCGATGGCCTCGGAGGAGTCTACAGATGGATCAAGTCGCCATCGCAGATCACACCGCCCACGTCTACCGCGACGAGTACTACGGCTGGCGAAAACTGCGATGATTACATCTGCCATCCGCGAGTCTACAACTACTTATGTGGCTGTAAGTCCGTGACAGGTGCTAATGGTGTGCGGCGCGGACTCGGACTGGAGCAATCTACTAGTCGAAGATCTGGTGAAAGCGCAGTTTCCGGGAGGGGGTCTAAGGTTTGCGAAACCTTGATCAGGCTGTGTGGTTTGTCAAGCGAGTGGGGCATAGCCCGGTCCTCAATCGTCCTGACAGTATGTATGGCGATACATATGTCAATTTGAATGCCTGATCTGTAATGTTCAACAGATTCTTCAACGTTTCAACAACCGACAAGTGCTCTGTATTGCCATAGTAGGGGACTACCGGGGCAATACTACTGCTTCAACCGGACCGTGGTTCGACAGCAGTAATTTTGACTCGGAGCTCATCACTACTGGCAGGCCGAAACAACAAACCCGGTTCCCCGGCATGGAGATGATCCTGAACTCTCTGACTTGCAAGATAAGTAGTCTGAACTTCTAGTTTGTTTTGCGCAGCCTTCAAATCACAATTGAGCATCGGAAGCCCTGGAACTATGGCTAGCCCATCTGTCGATGCAGCCTACTACATAGCACGAGAGGCATCTTCCCCGGAATGTTCGTCCCACGATGTATTATCCATGATCAGCGTTGCGCTTGACGCGGTTATCCCAGGTATGAGTCCGCTGTGCCGTGATATCAGCAGTATCTGAATAGTGTTGTAGGGCTTCCAACTGCTTCGTGCAGAGCGTTTACCACTTTGTGCAGAAACGGGACTTGAAGAGAAGAAACCTGACTATCTGAAGCGTCGTTCGGGACCGGCCCATAGCTTTCCGTATACGACGCAGTCTGCGCTAGGCGATGTGTCGTCGACCGCCAATAGATGATGCCTCCGGTTTCCGGATCATCCAGTGCGTGTACATGTAAGTAGTAGGCAGGCAATGCACTCGATAAATCATAACAAGAGCCTGTATTGAAAGCCATGCATATGCATACCTCATGTAGCATCGGTGACGCCTATTATGCAATTGTATTGGGGCCCTCTAACTCCTACAGAGATTCAGAGGGTCCGAGCACACGCTTTCGAACTGATTTGCGATTGTTGTCAATAGATTAAATCGAACGAGTCCCGCAATCGCAGTCGCCTCCATGTTGCCTCCATTAGTAGCTGCTCGCGCCCGTCATCATTGAGCGACATCCACTGAGTGGCGCTGTACTGGCCGCACTGGTCCCTCTGCAAACTCCGCGAACACACTTGCATAATGGTACAGCATTAGCCGGAGCTGTACTGTTGATTAGGTTGCAGTGTCAGTTGATTGACAATCGGTCCATGTATAGAACGTGAACTGACAAGAGCGAATTCCAGGGGGCCGTCCTCGCCATTGTCCGCCGGGTCGTCCGTGAACCCGGATACATACGATATTCCGCTCCTCAGGTGTTGACGAGCATTTAAGCTGTGTGACATCGTATAACAGTGACCCTTTAGAAAACCACAACAACGGAGCTGCTGCTTACACGGCCATCATGGAGTTGACATAGACTGCGAGGTAAGTGCCATTAGGTGTCGCTGATGACGTCCCAGCGACTGCGAGGACGTACTTTTGCATCCTACACAGTGGAAGACGGTCCATACCATTGTGTCTTGGTTGAGTGAACCCAAATACTACATGCCGTCATAGTCATGAGCACGGAGGCTGGCTGACGGTATTCGAACTGACGACGAACCGCTCCCAATAGCCCTATCTGCACAACGCTGCGGGGAAGCGTCAGTCTGGGGGGACGCCCCGTAGATACTAGAAGGGCTTACGTCGTAAGGACACCGCGATTCAAAATATACATTCTCAGCGTGCGGGTCATGCTGTCCGTGCTAGATGGGTGTCATATGAGTGCGCCATATCGAAGCAAAGTATAAGGGCGGTTTACTGTGTGAAACCGGTCTTCCTCCTGTGCAGTTCCCATGTAAGGCTGATACAGATGCATATGTCTGCTAGCGCTGCGGTGCTGGCCCTCACCATTGTCGGCATCTCGAGCAGCTGTCAATAGTCGGTTGTTTGCAAAGTGTCAGCGAGGCGTACCGTATCCGATGCAAGAATCTTCGTAAAAATCCAGTCGTGGTCTCTGTGGTACTGTAAGAAGTGCACTCATCTCTCTCCGATCATTGCTTACGCAGTGACATGCACGCCCACTTGTAATCAGCTACATATCAGCGTGGCAAATCAGCAGGGCGCGGATGCTCTTCTCACCGAAGGTGAAAGCTAAGCACGCAGTCGTCAACTATTACAGAAGCATGCCGTCTCGAAGACTTACATAGGGATAACAGAGCAAGCACTGCCTGATTTGGTGAAGTTTGGTTTGATTATGCAAGGAGATGGGCTACTCGTGCGCACCGACGGTACTGTAATTGCTAGCCTCACTTTATTAGGTCTTCCTTGGAGCACTATAAACGAAGTGTGCGCATTGAGCGCTAGAAGAGAGGAGATTTTGGAAGATGCGTACAACGGAATATCCCGTAGATGTAAAAGCTGAAGAAACCCATCTTCAACATGGCCCATAGTCTTCACTGTCGGAAGGAAAATGCAGGTACATACAACTGAACGATCCAAATGGTTGTACCCTTATGAATGTAAGTCTCAGGAGCTATGACTTGACACGGAGGCGACTTACAACACTTGCATATTCAAGCTGTAGTCAGACAGAGCTCAATTGAGAAAAATACTGCATTAAGTCAGGAAGCCTAGTGGGATGCGTACCTCGTATATCCTAGATGAAGGGGGCCATGAATTTGGTACAAACCCTCAAAAATTGGAACAGTGTCATACCTTGGAATTAGCCCAATGCGCGACGGGTCCGCGTGGCATGTAATAACATAGTACCACAGAAACTGTCATATATGACGTATAGTGGATCCACTCCGAGTCTAGCCTTCACTGGCAGTAGGTATGAAAGGCACGTACACAAATGTCCGATATAGACACAACAGTGTCTAGCATCCTTGTCGGCAGCATCAAATCTCAGTGAAACAGCGAGCTACACAGGTTTACTGGCACTGCTGACCACATGATGAAAACCTATGGGTAGGGTCAGTGCTTGTTCTGCAGAGCTAGACGTAGACGCATAGACGCACAAGACCTCGCACGAAACCTCGGTCATGCCGCGTGTAGTGATTGTGATAATATATCATTTGAGCGCAAGTCGCACCGTAAAGGCTAAAACGTCAGTTCACAGTATGTTCAGACCCCCAGTCAGGGAGACTTGCGTCATTGATAGTATAATCGCTATTGTCAGAGTACCTAGAGTGGTATTGAGATTGAGATGCGGAAGCGGAGCGGCCATGCTCTTCAAAGTCAGGATTTGATGGGCACGTCCACAGAGCTTGAAGGAGGTGCAGAAAGCTGGGTCGCATGCGAGGAAAGCTTATATCAGTATCTGAGTACATCACGGTGTCACCGGTGTCTTTCGTCTCCCACATTATAGCACATGCGTGGCATAAATGGCATAATTTTTTTTTGAAATCATGCAGAGCCTCCCGTTTAACAAGTTGACGAGCGTCGTGTCAATGACGACAAGACCAATTTGACATTTCTGAGACTAGAGTTTGACTGGAATTAGATCTGAAGAATGGTGAACATCAGTGCATTTATCTGCGCGGCCTGACGTACACCATGATCCTGTACTCATGTGTTCTTGCTGCAGGACAAGCCATCGGCTACGGCTATCCGCTATGTAGTCCGACGACAGAGCTTCTGTCACCGGCCGCAAGACAAATACATCGGAGACGCCATGTGTGCAGGCCTATGGAGAGCAGTGTCAACAGCAACTAATTACAGCACACCGGCACGTACCCAATCAAACTTTGTGACCGCACACTCTCTGTCGACGTCTATCCTCCCAATTCACAGTCGCCACTGTCACAGTGGATATACATGACGGCTTATGAATTCCGTCACTCGTAGCCTAGTTTTCTTCGCTCCTCGTAATCTCGTTCGAGCCTCGTAGCTTGGTCCTCCGAGGATCGTAGGCCTCGTCCCAAGCGAGGAATAACTCGGACAGCGTTCGACCTAGAGAATGGCTGCGTTCAAGTCCGACCATGTATGCGACGAACGATAACTTACTCTGGAGGCATATCGATCCATGAGTCCTGCTATGCGCCTCTCGAGCTGAGAAGCCATCTGCGCGTCTTCCTCATGCGCCTTCAACAGTGCATCCAGACGCGGTTGTAGGGTCTTGTATTCAGGCAGACGACCAGCCGCGGTCACGCCCTTCTCTTCTAGGCTGCGATCTCCCGTAGGTCCCTCTCCGCGGCGCGAATGTCTGGCTCCATCTCGGTCAGAAACGCTTCGAGCTCACTCGAAGACATGTTCTCGTATGCAGGAGGGTTGATGGTATTGAGCCCGAGAGCGCAAAGACGGTGTGAGATACTGCGCATGCTGGTCGTCTGCAGCAAGGTTATAGATGTATCTTCGGAAGAAAGTCTGCGGCACTCACAGTGTTCCATGAATTTGCGGAGGCTATCGTTGGCCTGCAATACCTCGTCGACCTTGTGCTCCAGCTCCTCTGCACTGCGCGCCAAGGTCTCTCCGTTCTTTGACTCTACATGCTTGCGCTCCGCGCCGTATAAGATTGTCTCCAGCCATCGTATTCGAAGGTCCAGAGAGAGAGCAGGTGGTATGGAGGGCGGCTTCGCCACCTCCTTTGGCCTCTCGACGACCTCGTAGTCGACGTCGTGCACGCTCATCTGTGGCTTGATCTGAGGCGAGATGTGTGGCGGAGGCGACGAAGGGGGCGTGGAGGTTGAGAGGATTCTGTGTCGCTGGACGTCGCCGAGGAAGACGCTGCCTATGGGGCTCTGCATTGGACGCGGGACCGAGTGGAATGTGTCCACCGGCTGTGGCGGGCTCGCGCTGCCGTGCAAGTAGGCGGACGACGGTCGAGGCGGCCCTCGCTACGGTCGTGGGAACAAACTGCCGTGTCTGGCAGACGGTACTGGTCGCACAAATGGCGCTCGTCGGTCGTGCTCGGGCTGTCGTGTTCTGCGTTCACCACCACATTCGCGCCGACGCCGGCTGCCGTTTTGCACTGCGTTCACGTTGACCACAGCCCGCTTCGGACCTAAGCAGGCTGTATTGGGTTCCTTCAAACCAGTCGAACGCGCTTCTTGTGTCGTTTGTCGCCGCTAGACCGGCTTGCGCAGGCGCTCCTACAACACCTCGCTGACCAACCCCTCCCTTCATAACCGTTTCCCGCCTCTCCGACTTCCTCCTCTTCTTTCCTGGGTTTTTATCACTACTATGGCTATCTCTGGTATCTCGGCCGCCGTTTCTACCCTCTTGGGGTCCAACACTTCTGTTCCCGTCCCTTCCGGCAAGGTCGAACTCCCGATGGAGGAGGATGAGCCGTTGACGGCGAAAGGCCTCGCGTCAGAGAAATGCGACATTCGCATAGAAGGCATGACGTGCTCTGCATGCGTAGAGGTACGGCGACGATCGTTCTGTGCTATGCATAATGCCTACTGAGCGATTTACAGTCTATCGAGGGCATGCTCAGGACGCAGCCCGGAATACATTCCATCAAAGTCGCATTATTAGCCGAGCGCGGTGTCGTCGAGTACGATCCCAATGTCTGGGACACAACCAAGATCATGAGTGTGCGTACATAATATATATCTGCATTCTGCCCAGATATTCATGGGACCACAGGAAATTGGTGATATTGGATTCGACGCGACACTCATCCCGGTCTCACGCGATGACGCCGTCACACTCCGTGTGTATGGCATGACATGCTCGTCGTGCACATCCACCGTCGAGAAGGAACTTTCCGCTATGCCTGGAGTCAACAGCGTGGCTGTGTCTCTGGCTACAGAGACATGCAAAGTGGAGTTCGACCGTACGCTTGTTGGCGTACGCGAACTAGTAGAGCGGGTCGAGGAAATGGGTTTCGACGCTATGTTGTCCGATCACGAAGACGCGACTCAGGCGCGCTCACTCGCCCGAACGAAGGAGATCCAGGAATGGCACCAGCGATTCCAGTGGAGTCTCGCTTTCGCCGTCCCCGTCTTCTTCATCAGCATGGTCGCGCCGCATATACCTGGTGTACGCATGATCGTAGAAGCCTGCCTCGTGCCGGGCCTCTACTTCGGTGACCTACTGGTCCTACTATTGACCATGCCCGCGCAATTTTGGATAGGCGCGCGGTTCTACCGCAACGCTTGGAAGGCCCTTAAACACGGCGGTGCGACCATGGACGTCTTGGTCATGCTCGGCACGTCCGCCGCGTTCTTCTACTCCTTGGGAGCCATCATCGCGGCTGTAATGAAGGCCGACCCTCTTTACCACCCGTTCGTGTTCTTCGACACGAGCACGATGTTGATCATGTTCGTCTCACTCGGCCGCTACCTCGAGAACAAGGCGAAAGGCCGCACGAGTGCGGCTCTGACTGATCTGATGTCCCTCGCGCCATCTATGGCGACGATCTACACGGATGTGGCCTGCACGCAGGAGAAGAGAATTGCGACAGAACTCGTCCAGGTGGGGGACACCGTCAAGCTCGTGCCCGGTGACAAGGTACCGGCCGATGGAACCGTTGTGAATGGTTCATCCTCTATCGACGAGAGTGCCGTCACGGGCGAACCTGTCCCGGTGCACAAGCAGGTTGGCGATAACGTCATCGGTGGGACGGTGAACGGCCTCGGAACGTTCGACATGCTCGTCACCCGTGCCGGCAAGGACACCGCACTCGCCCAGATCGTGAAACTGGTTGAGGACGCCCAGACGAGCAAGGCGCCCATCCAGGCGTTCGCGGACAAGGTCGCGGGCTACTTTGTGCCCGCGGTCATCACCCTCGCCATCGGCACGTTCTCCGCGTGGATGGTCATCTCGCACATCATGAGCGAGGACCAGCTCCCCCCGATGTTCCACATGCCGGGCGCGAGCAAGCTCGCGGTCTGCCTCCAGATGTGTATCTCCGTCGTCGTCGTCGCGTGTCCGTGCGCGCTCGGCCTGAGTACGCCCACTGCGATCATGGTCGGCACTGGAGTAGGCGCGCAGAACGGTATCCTGATCAAGGGCGGCCGCGCGCTCGAGGCGAGCAAGTCGATCAAGCGCATCGTGCTGGACAAGACGGGCACGGTGACCGAGGGGAAGCTGACGGTAGTCGCTTCTGCGTGGGCATCTCAGGACGGACAGCGGGAACGCATGCCGCAGGACTACGACGAGTCGTTCCTGCGTGCGAAGTGTGTGCACGGTCTCACGCACGCAGATGTCATCGCTATGGTCGCCGCCACCGAGGCGCGCTCTGAGCATCCCCTCGCGAAGGCGGTGGCGGTATACGGCAAGGACATGCTCGGCAAGTCGCTCACTGTCATCCCCCAAGTCACCATCGACGGGTTTGAGGGTGTCCCTGGTGCGGGTGTGAAGGCCACCGTCACCCTGTCGAGCAACAAGGGTGTCTACGTCATATACGTCGGGACCGCGCGCTTCGTCAGTCAGTCGGACGCCGCGGACCTGCCGTCGGCGTTGTCCGTCTTCGACAGCCAGGAGGCCGAGCAGGGGCTCACTACGATTTTCGTGTCAGTGGCCACGTCGTCGTCCGCGCCCAGCCCGATTTTGGCTATCGCGCTTTCGGATGTACCCAGGCCGTCGTCTGTCCACGCTATCAAGGCGCTGCAGGACATGGGTATCGAGGTCAACATGATGACGGGTGATGGTAGGGCTACTGCCCTCGCTGTCGCGAAGCGTGTGGGGATCAAACCTGAAGGCGTGTGGGCGAATATGAGCCCTAAGGGGAAGGCCTCTGTTGTCACCGAGCTTATGCAGAAAGACAAAGGTGGTGTCGCGATGGTATGTCGTTACTCTTGTTTGATCGGTTGATCGTCGCTGATCCCTCTTGCCAGGTGGGTGACGGTATCAACGACTCTCCGTCGCTGGTGGCCGCCTCCGTCGGGATCGCTCTCTCCTCCGGGACCTCCGTCGCCATCGAGGCCGCCGACATCGTGCTTATGCGCTCAGACCTCCTGGACGTCGTCGCAGCCCTGCACCTGTCCCGCTCCATCTTCGGCACCATCAGGCGGAACCTTGTATGGGCCTGCATATACAACATGCTCGGCATCCCTCTGGCCATGGGCATCTTCCTGCCGCTTGGTATTCGTCTTCACCCTATGATGGCCGGCGCCGCGATGGCGTTCTCGTCTGTCAGTGTCGTCACCAGCTCTTTGATGCTGAAGTGGTGGACTCGCCCTCAATGCAGCGTCATGCCCGGCGAGGTCGTTCAGAAGCAGACCATCCGGGGCAGTGTACAGTTGGTTCTCTCAGATGCGTGGAGCGGTGTCCGCAGCGTCGTCCGTGACCGGAGAGATTTGTCTGGATATAGTCAGTTGCCTGTAGAGATGAGTGAAGCAGTGTAATGGATGGTACCACCGACCATTTTTTCGGTGATATCTGGTTTCTGGGGTATGCATATTGTACTATACTTTCGACATGCTTTGTGTTGAACTGTACTATATTGGCTCTTGTTTTGCGTATGGCTGACACATTCGTTCCTCTTTGTATCCTCACGTTGTTTCCACGTACTAGAGCATACCACTCGTACACTAATTGTTGATGTGTTAGCGAATGCATGTTGGTACCAGTACTTATTGCTTGTGCGTCGTGGTTCATGCTCTCCCTGTGCCCATAGTATGTTCGGTGAGGACGAATCAGTTTGCTTGATCATGCACATAGCCTAAGTCGCTTCCGCTGGGTGTCGGATGCTTCGTATCGTTGTGCTTCGTATCGTTGTGCTTCGTATCGTTGGCACCTACAAGCCTCCAGCATGGCTTGTGCATTGGCGGCCAGGCTTACGTTGAGCCTGCTTTGAGCGATAGACACAGCTCATGCATATTGTCTTTGGCTACATCTCTGAACATAGTCCTGCTCATTCGTGTCGCGTTCAGTCCTGCGGCCACGCTGCGATATCTGGACTTATGATGTGACGTCAACGGTACATGCTATTTTGTACTACAAACTTGCGAGGCGGACTGCCATGGATATGAATATGACCCAGACTACGCCACTTCAAATCCGGACAGCTCATCCTCACGATGTAACAAATCGTCTCTCAAGTGGTTACGAGCATTTAGACTGTAATTCCTGAAGTCAGCGAATATTTGCGCTTGCGATGGTCTTGATCGCTGCTTACACTGCCATCATGGAATTGACGTAGACTGTGAATCGTGACTGATGAGATAGGGCTCTGCGAGATCGTTATGGCGAGCGCACCTTTACTCCCAGCGCAGTAGGGAATCGCCCATATTAACTTGGTTTGGTTGATGGAGCCCAGATACTGGTTTCGAGGGTATGAGCATGACACGATCCATAAGTGACTTTTCGAGACTGGAGACGAACCATTCCGAGGAATACAACCTGCAGCACGCTGACATAACAGTACGCATCGAGGAAACCTTCAACAGTACCAGAAGCACTCACGCCGTGAGAAACCCCCTGTTGATTATATACACGGTCAGTGTATTGATCATACTATCCGTTCTAGATTCACGGTGCTTCCTATCAGCTAAAGTCGAAGAGAATGGGGGGAAGAAGCACTGCACCGTCTGAATCCAGTCTTCCTCATACGCAGCACCCAAGAGATGGCGATAGAGATGTATACGTCTACGACCGCGGCGGCACAGACCCGGATGGTCAGCGGTACCTTATCGGCGTGCGATGAATAGTCGTCTGAGTGAATTTTCAATAAACGTACTCTCACTGCGCCAAGGGACCTGGTGATAATCCAATCGGATGCACTAGACTCGTGTCCCAGTTAGAGGCTTGTGTCTTTCCGCTTTTGAATCTACTGGTGCTTACGCAGTGTCATATATAGCCGCTTGTGACAATGTCTAGTGGTCAGCGCACTCAGTCGTACATTCAAATGTCCAGCCTCACCGAATCCGAGAGCTGATCCGTGGACGTCATTTGGCGCTTAGAAACAATGTGCTTAAAGACATACCAAGACATATAATGGACAACACCATCTGTATAGGAGCATTGGAATCAAACGTGGACAAGGACACGCAGCACGGCGAACTCACTGGAAGTGCACTGATTGCCAATTTATATTTGCGAGATGATGTCTCGGACACTAAAGTATCTTCAGTACTTGAGGCCATGAGTGGCCAATAATACAATCTACGTTGCCAGATTCCATGGATATAGAAGCTAACAACAGTGCAGCTCAGTACAGCATGTGTGAATGAAACAGATCAGCTTGCTTACATCTGCACGACACAAGTGGTGACAGACTGTCTTGACATCAGCTTTGGTCTATCCCTTGTTCGGACGACGCACGATAGTTGCATAATCCAGCTATGAAGTGACATGGTCGATGTATACATCAGTTCTACCGCGCCAGACCGAGGATGATGTCTCACTTCGTATAGCCTGAATGCGAGGAACATTGCGCTTAGCGTGCAAACACACATCGAAGGCAAAATCTTACTTCGAGAATGTGAGAAGGTCGAACCAGTTGGCATGGCCTCGTATGGCAAAGCACCAAAATATCTGTCATTAGCATATTTCAGCCAATGCACCGAGAATTCGCGAGATGGGCGAGAAGAAAACACCAACGTATAATTCCGAGACAGTAGTAACAGTGTCAAGTATCCTTGTGCAAGTGGAGAATTTTAGAGTCGATTCAGACGCAAGCAATTTTGGCCAACCATATCAAGAAAACCTAAACGACACAGTGAGTGCGATGTTATTGACGTTACCTGGAACCCGTAATCCATCATACATGTACTCACAAGACCCTTCACGAGTGATTTGTCATGATGAAAATAATGACGAGTGTAGAACATGAACTGGGCACATGATGCACCATAGAGTCTGCAGACTCAACCCGTCAAGTGTTCAAGTCTGAGTGGCTCCGAGTCGAAATTACTCACATTGTAGAGAAGAATCCCGCGATGAATAGACTCCCTAGTGTGGGGTCGAGATCGAGTTGCGTCTGCATTGTCTGAGTAGTCACAGGTCGCAGCAGAAAGTTCTATAGCCCGAGCAAGGATGACAAGAGTCACTGAGGCTGAAAGGCTTATATAGTACTTAGATCATAACCACGATATAGCGCCTCAAAGTCGCATCACCCAGCAGTTGACGCAGCTGTCCTACCTGTCATCTGTTCCTGCGCATAGTTCAGTCATGTCAGTGGGTTATAAGGCAGTCGAAAGCCCTACTAGATCGTTCTGGAGGTTCTGCCGCGTATACATTTCATAACTGTCGTTGACAGATGATACGTATATTTCCGCGCACCTTGTAAAGACTTGGAGACTCGTCGGAATGACTAGAGAGCTCCGGGGCCGTTTCCCATTTCGCTAGCGATGTTCCATACCAAGGGAGATCCACGATTATCCATGGCATTGGTAGCGGTACGTGCGTAGTATCCACCGTCAACTTGAAAGCGGCGCTGAATCAGCGACTGGGCGCTACACGGCTCGGACCACATCTTGCACAGACTCTGGCTTTCCAGTCAAGACCAGGTCGTATGTGTCTGGTATCAGATACACCGACACAGGAGATGAACGTTGTGCATGGGCCGACACCGTCGCAGTCTTCGTCACACCAACAGCGATATTGGTGATGGTACCCGAGATCAACTGTCTTCCGGTTGAACGTTGAACATTAGAAGCCGCGTACAAAGATGGCGAGCACTTACTTAAGGCTTATTAAAGGTGGTCCTTTTGCCTTGTTGGAGTGCGTTGACTTGACACGAACGTATGCAACCTGGCAGTAGTTAACACTACTGTTGAGTTCGAATGTGCGGCTTCCATTGATTTGTTACTCAATCCTGCGTCCTGGCTGCTGAAGCGCTGATGATTGTACTGTCGCGGTCAAAAAGAATGAGACTATCAGTATCGTGATTATTATAGGACCAATATGGACTCGTCAGATAATCCAGCCAATCTAGCCTGTTGCACGACCGGAGAACACAGCAAGACACCCACCGTTTGAATTTATAACAGCTCGCGGTCGAAGCGACCCGTACATTTCCGTTTGGCAGAAGGGTGTCATAGCCAATGCTGCAGATAGGCACCCCTTCAAGGTCTCAAGGCCTCACCATTGACGTACTGTCTGTCAACAGTACCAATCAAGGTTCAACGTTCAACGTTCAAACGTTCAGGGCCGGGGAGCAGTCCAAATATCGACAAGAACTGAGGAAGACCGTCAGCATTTCACTTATTTCATACCCAACTCATCACGCACCCGACTAAGAGACTCTACGGCGAGACTGCCAATCTGGACTTGCCAGTGAACGCGTGATGCAACCATTGGGCGAGAGATGGGCCGGAAATCGCGGAAGCCTGAAGGGGCCCGGGCAACATCATGGATGTTCGGATAACGTAAAAACAACCCATACTCACGACGTCAAGGAGCTATGGCATAAGTATCATGATACTGCGAGCAGCGACATGTTAGTCCCGCAGGTGTAAGCCCCATCGTGTATCGACTGCCCCGTAGTCTGTGCCTACAGATTGGCCAGCTGCTTCTTCTAGTTGCATCATTGAAAGAAAAGAAAAGCTGGACAGAGCGTGCCCACCCAAAGAGATTGTACGTCTGCTGTGAAACGCAAGGGATATCATTTATTGAAGCCTGGACCTGAGGTCTTGAGGTAGTACAAACAGCCTCCACGCAGCCTTGGTGTGAGCAATCTTCTAAGTGCGCTTGTTGGAACGACTCCGAAGCTAGCCTTGTCACATAAAAAGAGCCGATCCAAGGCTGGCGAGCTATCTTTGTACGCGTACGACTCATTGCGAGCGTCGATAGTCTTCGGCGAGTTGGCCTTGCCACAGTAGGTTTTCGCTGGCACGGCGCCCTATGGTCAGAGCAAGGGCTCCAATGAACCGTTGTATGATGCACAAGTAGACAGGGACTGGATGTCGGATATCGAAGGGGGGACACCACACAGACTCGGAGGACGGAGAACTAGCCGCGAGTCGAACATTTTGGCCTCTTCCTAAAATGGATACGTCGCTTCTCACTGTTTCAAACTCGCTAACTCGACCTCTCGTAAGTCTGACTCCTCTCGCAGACCACATATGTATACCACTGGTAGCTCGGATGCTGAAAGCCTGGAACTTGAGCAAGAGCAAGAGGGCGATTTATTATAAACGGCGTTTGCGCAGTGTGACAATGGTGTTTACTGCATACTGACGCTATCCGCCTGTACGATGTGAGGTACGCGGTACTATGTGATGTTGATGTCGCTGGGACGTTGGCTATATGTACTGTGATGATGATACAAATGAAGAATGTCCCCAGTAGATGGTATCTTCCCGACGTTGGTATAATGCGAATGCATGGGTATAGCGGGCGGCAGCGCGAGATGTACGAGCCGGGTCTACTGGTATATGATGCTAAGAGGAAGTGCGTAGTGTTGTAAGACGAGCTTTAGATGATGCTGAAGAGTCGCAGGCCGACGTCCGTGACGCGACGTCCAGACGACGACGCTTGGATGCAAAGTGAGAAAGAGGGAAACAGTGCCTTCCGGCACCTCAGGACATACCTGGCCGCTCGGTGAACTGCCCTGTAGGATGTCTGTAGCCTGTACCCGATCCGCCACCACCGTAGTGGGCCTGCGTATCAACGTCAGTGACCAGGCATCGATCGGGCAGTATCGCTATGCTCACTTGTGACCCAGTGTGATGAGGGCCCTGCGGCTGTAGTCCATTACGGTTTTGATAGCCACCACTGTTTTGATAGCCACCATGAGGCCTTTGAGGGGTGTGTCCGTGTTGCTGAGTCGGAGGCTGACTGGCTGGGACATCTACCCTGGCCCAATCACTGTCCTGCAACCCTCTCCCTCGCTGTTGGCTCCTCGGAGGCTGGCTGTCCTCTGGTCTGTTCTTGCCCACCTACTGGCATGCAGGCCTCCGCTGGTAGGGAAGAATGGAGCTGGGTCGGCCACGGAGACGGAAGGAGTGGTGCTAGAAGACGCGGAGGCCCGCGTACTATCCTGCAAGCCTCCGCTTGTAGGGAAGAATGGAGCTGGGTCGGCCACGGAGACGGAAGGAGTGGTGCTAGAAGACGCGGAGGCCCGCGTACTATCCTGCAAGCCTCCGCTTGTAGGGAAGAATGGAGCTGGGTCGGCCACGGAGACGGAAGGGGTGCTGCTAGAAGACGTGGAGGGCAGCTCAGGTGATGTCGGCGAGCTCTGTGAACAATACATCGATTTGTTAGCACAGTACGACGGGTCAATGGGCGCAACTCACGGGATGCGGCGCACTCTCAAGGCTAGTGTAAGTGTCTATATCTGATGACAACGGTGCCCGAGGAGTCGGCATAGGCGAACTCTCCCGCCTGATGCGCTTTGGACAGGGATCAATGTCGTCCTCAAAGAGAGTGCGTCCGTGTCCAAGCGCAGGCGTAGATGGAGCCGACGAACAGAAGCCCTTGCCCCGCGTGTCACGAGTACCCGAAGAGCTGCTTCCCCGGGAAGGGGGGCGGTATGAAGGTAAGCTGCCGAAGTCAAAATTTAAGTCAAAAAACGGAGACGCGGGTGTCGGTTCTGCGGGTTCGGGTTCTGCGGGCTCGAATTCTGCGGGCTCGGGTTCCGTGAGTTCGGGTTCCATCGGTTCGGGCTCCGCATAGATGTTACTATCCCAGTGACGTTTCCGGCGGTTTCCTGTCTCGTAGATCAAGGTCCGAGTGTACTTCGGTTGCACTTCGCGCTTGGTACCAGGTGAATCTGTGTCGTTTGCGTCAGGCTTTTGGGGTGCCCACATGCTGGTCGCCAGACTACGTGCGTGAAGAGTCTCAGGAGAGGGCTTGGTGAGGAGGTTGATCGGGGGAGGGGATGCTTGCTTCAGGTCGTCTTTGACCCCGGAGTCCTGCGTTGTCATTCCCCGTTCGTCATTGCCGCCATATGAGACCGATGACGCTGGTGTCAGCACAGATGACGACGACGACGACGAAGCCGGTGACCAGCTCGGGGTGAAAACCGATGCCTGTGCATTGAGTGTGGAACCAGACGACGAGACAGGCGTAGACTGTTCAGACATGGATGGCATCGAGCGGTCCGAAAGCATCACTTGGTCCTCAACAGCAGGGTCAGAGTCAGAGACAGAGTCATCGTCGGAGTCCTCCGGCTGTTCTTGCGACGTATAGACGAACTCGTCGTCCGAGCCCGCTTCCTCCGGGAGAGCACCATTGTCGACGGTCGATGTAGCAGTGTTGTCGGTCGGGACGGACATGTCAGCGGCGTCGACATCGACCGTCGAACCAGACGCGGGTGGCGGGGCACGGAATCGGGATAGCCAGAAGGCGTACCAGGGGAGCCCGCGGGGAAGTCATACGCGTGAGACTGCTCGGTTGCAGGAGGGCGCGCGAGCAGGGCCACTAAGTAGGGAGGCAGGAAACCGATTTGACCGTTCGGGAATCTGTGAGGAGCGACCTGTACGAAGGCCCCGGACGGGGTGCGCATATACCAGGTTGTAGAGGCATCCGGTGGCAGCGAGCCTTGCACATTCATGTCAGACGTCGAGATGGATTCGATGGGTTCGTCTTCGGATTCGGTGGGCTCGTCTTGGGATTCGGTGGGCGCGTCTTGGGAATCGGTGGGCTCGTTTTGGGAATCGGTGGCGGGGGACGGGGGCGCGTTTGAGCCGGGCTATCAAGCGGAGCGAGTCAGTGTCATTAAGCCTCGACGCCGAGTCGTGTTCGAACACTTACCTCCATGCTGACGTCGAGACTATCCAATACCTCACAGATGGTTTGCGCAGGCACCGGACGCTCTTTGCGAGGGACAGGCGCAGAAACGCCCCTCCGGATAACCTTGGCGAGGACCACAGCACTGATGAGAGATAGAATCACCACAATGGTGGCGAGAATCATAGGGTCCGTGGCGAGGTGGAGGCGGTCGACGGTAGGTGACAGGGTGTGGCGCACCTGCCTGTCCATAGGCTCGGCGGACGTCTTGCAGGGCTCCCAGCTGGCCGTAGGCTTCCAGTCGCCCATATCCGGTTGTCCGACACTGGTGGATTCGTTGTGGTAAGTGTCCGAGGTGTTTGTGTCCATAGCCGGGACCAAGCCTGTGTGGCGTCGAGAGTCGGCGCCGGTCTGCACGCAATGTCAGCCATATTCAAGCACGCAGCCATTCATGAACGCACCGGAACGGTCCCGAGAGGTCTCATAACCGTGTCTGCGCCCGGAGGGTGAAGGTGATTGTTCGTCGCGTGAAGTTCGGGGCCAGAGTCATCATATTCACGATGCTCAGAATGAGCACGATGGTACTCTGTAGAAAGAGTTTGAGCTCGAGCATCTTGACGCGTAGTCGTGTACTCGAGTCGACGGGGATGTGTTGCGTTTGCGAGTGACGGTGGTGGTAGAATGTAGAAGTAGGCTGTGGGTCAGAACAAGAGCGCGGTACTTAGGTAGTACGGCTAGGACAAAGCGAACGCCCGACCGTTCGGACCTGCGATCTGCGATTGAAAGAACAAAGCGGGCTGACGGAAGCACGTGAGCGGTGTGTGCAGCTTGGACCAGCCGCGTACGACGAGCGGCGAGAACGGCGGGCGATCGCAGTGCAATAGGTGCCAGCCTCGAGGCAATTGCCGACAGTGGCGGTTCCCCCAGTAGCACAGCCTAACTGACTGGGTCCGTGCAGGAAGAACCAACGTTCTGTGCGGCAGGACGTCGTAGCTTGTCCATAGTCTGATGTCATGATCATACGGACGATCCTCTAGATGACTTACAACAATACATGATAGACGCCATCGACGCGGATAGAACCCGCTATACGATAACAACTGACAACCGCTATCTGCTATGCAAGTAGTGCGCGTGAGAATGATTGTCTATGAGTGTTGAACACCTCGCACCTATAAAGCTCTTGTTGTTTTCGTTGCTGCTCTTGGCAGTGTTGTTTCACTTTTATTGTCTGCAAGGCTATGGCCATGTAGGCAACTCAAAAACCTATGCAACAATGTGTGCGGAATCAGCTAGACGCAGTGTATGTACGCCGTAGGAATCGAAACTGACCTCGTTCTTGATCGCGATCCGGGCGGACGGCGTAAGCTTCGTACACAGGTATCTGCACCGTCTGTGCGTGTTCCAGTCCCAGCGGAGATGCGACTCGTCCGTACGAACGCAAGAGGGATAGCAAGCCGATACCACGTAGACTCCGCGATCTTGAGCCTGCGTACCGAGCACGGCACGCCCATGCGTCCAAGCGCACCAGAACCACCAGCACCCTGGCTTCTGGAAACCACGAAGCGCCCGTTCGCCTCACAACCAAGGTGCGATGCAAATCATACAATCCCAACGCTGATGCCTTCACGCTCCGGGGTGACACCACCTATCGGCGGGAGCACAACCGTGCGTGACCACCCTCAAGTCGAGCAGAGTGCATAACTTGCTAAGTTCTGAACGTCCGGTCGATAACCGGGATAGAGCGATAGCTGAGACGTGCCTATATGCCTCGAAATTTGATCCCGCGCACAGCGGTCAGCTGGACTGCTTGGGATGATGCGACATTCACGAGGCGTGGGCCCAGAGAGCGACGTGAAAGGGAAGCTCACCAATCCGCTTGCATGCTGGATGTCAATGTAGGCCGCTGGGTGCGGCGGAGATAGCTGGCAGGTGACTAGGAGGGCTGATGGGGTCTTGGAACATACCTCCGAGTACGCTGTAGGTGTCGATGTCCTCGTTCTCCATTTATGTGACAGGGAGGGAGACTCCTTGAACGTGAGAGCGAACAGCACGATACGACACTGGCAATCCTCATGAAACGACATAGAGAGACAAGATGGACAGTGGGTGGATTGGCTCCGTGCGCAAGAAGACGCGAAGGTGGCAGGCGCCGTACTTCGTCTGCCACAACGCTGCCGCAGTCTCTGTTGGACGTCGAGAGTCAGGCACGCCGTATATTCCAATGACCACGGATCATGATCACTGGCACGAACTCACCGAGATACATGTGCCCCAGGGCGGTGCACCCACATTCCGACTTATCATCATCAAGTCACCGGTCTATCACCTGTAAAATGAGTACATGGAACACGTCCTGGCCTACTTACTCCTACACAGCGTCTCCGCTCGATAACGCGCCCGCAAAGCCTTCATGATCCTGCTCTTCCCAGGCTTTTCCTGTCATATTCGCGCAACCGTCTGCCAGTGAGCTAATTGGCCTACGCGTTGCCGTCTGTTGGCGTCCGTGTCACTGTCAATCCGGTCTTCAAGCGTGTACAGATATAGGGTGCGAAGGCGATCAATGCACTAAGCAACAGCAGACGCGGCGATAATCAATGATGAAGAGAGGACAGCACCGGTGCAAGGCGTCCTTAGATCAAAGATGTATTGACGGCCTTGTGGCGCAGAATGACGACAGACGACACGCTCGGTCCTCGTGTGCGTCCATGGACAGAGCTGTACTGCCTCTGGCATGAAAGCTGTGGCGTGAGGGCCCGGAGAGGACACCGGATGGCTTGTCTCAGGTGTAAATCTCACAAAATCAGCGAAAGATGCATCAGCACTAGAAGCCTAGGGTCACCGCTCCCAACTCCAGGAGAGTTATCGGAATATTGATTCGAACTGATGGACGTACGCAAACCGTATGCAAACTGCCATGCATTTGCCCACGTCGACACGGCAGCCGTGTGAGGGAGCTGCATACTCCGCGCGCTCAAGAGTGCGCAGATACATAAGTACAGCTGCCAGGATAACTGATTTGTCGGTGGGCGTGAGTGTCGTCGCTGTACGATGCCCTCTGGCAGTGTGACGGCCGGGGAAACATAGAGCGATAATCGCGCGAGCAGAGCAAGTGAAGGCGTTCTGCAAGGCAGCCGGGATAGGAGCAAGGGGACATTGCGAGTCCAGCCGTGTACCTTACAGACATGTTGACAATCTGAAGAGAAAAGAGCCTGGAAGGATGGTGAAATAAATGCCAGACAGACCTGTTGGGGTCTAGTGCGCCGAGTGGTCGCGTGTGATGCCAGCCTGCGTGGAACGTTCCGAGAGGCGGGAGTCGGGGCGGCGGGTGGCCTGGACGCGGCGTAGGATAAATTGAACTCGCCGACCACAGCGATGGCCTCTGGTCGCTAGCCACGTTCCGCATGCCATGGCCGTTCCTGGGGTGTTCTTTGGTTTCCGGGGCACAGGCCGCTGGGTGGGAAATTGCAGAGGCGCTCAAAGCGATGTTGACATCAAACGCAAGGCAGGGGAACTGTCGGCGGCGATGGCGAAGACACGGATGGCAGCGAGCAGGAGCGGTGCACGTCGATGCGAGACGCGAGCAGAGGCTGATGTCGGCGGCGAGGAGCGCTGCTCGCACTGGCGGAGAGGCGGGACCCGGGGCAAACCCGGGGCGCTGGCAATAATTATCGATAATGCGATCGGTTGCCGGCATCTTCCGCGTATTTGCCAGATGCCAGATTTGGCAGGTGCGGTCTACCACGAGGCACATAACGTACCTCCGAGTACGCTGCCAGTGGGCCAAGGAGGCCTGCGTGCCTCAGGGTAGTGGGCAGCATGCGCGGGGTGGTGCTGTCTGAATGCCAGAGACACAGAGGAGTTGGAGGGCACAGGCAGCCGAGGCTGTTGAGGCGGAGCGCAGGCGGGCGGTAGCGTGTGTACGGTGGCTGGATCTGGATCTGAGAAGGTCGCGACGACAGGCGAGTTTGTTTTCTGGTCGTCGAGGGCGCGCGTCGCGCTCTCTCCTCCATACCACCACCATCCCCGGCCGGTCTGCATGCTATCTTCATGAAACCGGACTCTCCTTCAGGCTGGCGGGCGAAGAATCAGGGCAGCCTCCTAGACCAGCATCAGCATCAGACGTCCAACTTTAATCAGCTTCGTCACAACTCTGCACCCCTCCCCCGCCGCGCTCTTTGGTTCCCAAACCTTCCACGCTCTCTGCCTCCTTTCGCTCTGTCTTCCAGCGCTCGCCCCAGCGCGCCTCATCCAACAACTCTCTCAATTCATCCTACTCGGCGTCTTCCTCTGTCAATCCTCCCTCCACCGCCACCTCAGACGCGCGACTTCTCCATCCTTACGCCGCCATGGTCGCTGCACCACTCCCTGTAGTCTCTAGCCACGACGCTTCCGACGATGAGGCCGAGTGTCCCGTTTGCCTCGAGCCCCTCAGCTTCAGCTTCAGGCTCCCAGGAGAGAAGCCTCACATTGTCCCCGAGTGCGGACATGCACTGCACGAGGTGAGCTCCATCGGCTGCTCTCGCCAGTTCGTATCGTCTACTACGCGCACCATGGTATCCTTCACGGATGGGGATTGACATGATCCTACTCGCTCATTCGACTCGAGCGGAATACACGACGGATAATCGGGACGCGTGGGGGGCTGGGTTTCACCGAGGATGAGCTTACTGCCCGAGACGCATGCTCAGCTGGGGAAAGTCCCGACGGCACTGATGCTTTCACTGGTGAACTGCTGCGATGCGCCGCACCACGGAGGTGGCCGACGATTTCTTGGCGTCGGATATGTGTATGAGCCTGCTGGCACTGCTATACGAAGCGTCTTAGGCACCATAAAAGGGTATATGCTTGCGCATCGCGTTTCATTCTTCGGCAGGGCTTCGTGTCATTATTTTCAATACATGTACTAACGAAAATACAGGCGTGCTTTACTGCGGTCTACGGCCCACCGCCGGGTCCTTCGAAAGCAGGCACCATAATAAGGAAGACCAATCTGGGAGTGTGTGGTGTATGTAGACGGCCTATGAAGGTTGGGGATGGGGATGGTGGTAAATCAAACAGTGAGTGAGCTCGCGTCGCATGTCTTTGATTGACCAATTCAATTGCGTGTGATCGTCCAGAACTCGCGGCTCTGACAGGCATGGGTAACCCGAACGAGCCGTCAGTTTACCCTGGGAGACACACGCCATCATCGCTTCGCTCTTACAATTCGCGGGGACATACTCCCGCGAACAAGCCGTACGACCCCACGGAAGACGACCCGACTGAACATATTTCGGCGAAATGGGGCCAGGGTGACAACGCGCAGGATCACTCCCATTACATCGTGGCGCCATCCATACAAGTGCGCTCGGAATTCGCGTCCATCACTCGCGCGTCGGAGCAGAGCCAGCCACTGACATGCATCGTCGTCGTCGAGCTGCCTGGCAAGCGGCAGAACACACACGTTCCTGGCGCCGTTATGCCCGAGTCGTTCCCTCAACGGAGCGGCAGCGCATTCCAAGACAACAACTCGCTGCGTGAGAACTCGGTGCACGATTATCACCCACAGCATAACCGGTCAGTCGACCAACATTCCCAGACGCGCTCGCAGCAGATGTCGCCGGCCTCCTCGCAGCAAGGGTTACCGCCCGCTCAGCCGTTTGAGGAGAACCACGAGGATTCACCATTCACTGCGATTACGCGCGACCTGGAGGCGCGGATCATCGACTGGAAGGGCCACCCGCTCTCTGGGCTCGGCCCGTTGCAGATGTATGACCTTCTTTCGGTCCGGAGAGACGCGATGGTGCGCGAGTTCTTCGTTTACCTCTTCAGGGAGGCGATCATCTGCGTTGTGGAGGAGAGGAAGCGGACACTTGGCCGGTTGCTTTCCTCTGCATCGGGTGCGGCGTCCGCACTGGGCGACTCAGCAGGGCAAAACGCACCGCAGAAGGGTGTGTTGCGACTGAAGGGCCGCATCTACATCCGGCATATCAAACATGTTACCGATACCAGTGTCGCAGGCGAGCTGAGCCTGACCATTGACATGGAGGACGAGCGGCTAGACTCGTTCATCCTTATATTCAAAGACCGGTCATCACTGGAGACATGGAAGGCCCACATCCAGTCTCTGGTCGCCGTCTACCAGCAGCAGAGCACTGCGGCCCAGGCGCGCGAGCACATGGGATCGCCACCGGCGCCAGACCTGGAAGAGTTCGGCGGGAGCCAGAAAGCGATGCGTATGCTCAGCGGCAGCACAACGGGCACGACGGTGAGCACGACGGACAGCCTCCTCCTCAACGGCTCGGCGCGCTCAACGGTCTCCTCGCACACCTCGTATGGCTCGAACGGCCCTCCGCCTGTCTCGCGTGCACCGGGTATGCCTCCGCAGATGCAGCACAAGCTCAGCACGCTCGAAGAGGACTCCGAGTTTGGCAGGTACGGCTCGCCGACCCCGCTCGTCGCGCCCCACATGTCGTCGGGCCCGAGCAACTCGCTCCAGCCGCTCCCGCATCCCCCGCTCGACCTCATTCTGGTCATATCCGTGCCGTCGCCAAGCGCGACGCCAAGCACGGCCGCGCTCAAGGTTCGCGTCATCCGTGCCTCGCTCGATTTCATTGTCGCTTCGCTGGCGCCGAAGGACCGGCTTAGCCTTGTCACGTTCGAGGTCGGCATCGGAGGCAAGGTGAGGAAGACACCGTTCCTGAGCACGGGAAAGCCTGCCAGCCGTTCTAGGCTCAAGAAGTTCGTGGATGAGATTGGGTACAGGGATGACGGGCTGCCACATGAGGATGAGTTCTTGGTCCGCGCGTCGCAGGATGACAAGACTGATGTGGTCACCGCAGTCAACCATGGTGAGCCCCTTCGTACGCTGACAACATCCGACTCTGACAGTACCTGCTAGGTCTCGATGTGGTCTTGCAGCGGAAGTCGCGGAACCCGGTGACAGGCATGATCCTCGTCAGCGATACCGCCGACACAACACGGCGAGCGCAGATGGACCTTGTGCTCGCCCGTACGGAGGCCGCCAACGTTCCCATCCACTCATTCGGCTACGGCCGCTCGCACGACCCAGCATCCCTCTGGCTCATGTCGAATCACACGAGTGGCACGTACACGTTTGTCAAGGACTGGTATGACCTCCGTGACTGTCTCGCGGGCTGCATCGGGGCATGATGTCGATCGGCTTGCTTCATATGAAGCTGCACATGAAGATCGTCGACGGACAGCGCTTCCGCATTCGGAAGATCTCTGGCGGTCCTGTGGCGATCCTTTCATCCGATGGGCGCGACGTCGACGTCGAGCTCGGCGAGCTGCGGTACGGTGAGCGCAAGGAGATGCTTGTCGAGCTTGAGCTGGACAACAGCGATGTTGCGCAGATGACGCATACGCGGCAGCCGACAGCACAGTCAGCGCCGCGTGCGCTGGATGCAACCGACCAGTTCATGGGTCGGATGGGTCTTGATGCGCTGTCTATCGCGGACCTGCCTGACCTTGCGGACGGGATGATGGACCGCATGATAGATGAGGTCCCTGTCTTCGAGGTCGATGGCTCGTTCTTCGACCCTGCTGCGGCGAAAAACGTCTCGCGACTTGCTCACCCTGTGCTTCTCACCGTCACCCTCCTACCAAACACTGGCAGCCGGCCGCGCACACCCGCGGCGAACGGCTCTGACCCATTCATTGTCCGTCGCAGGATGGAGTTGCTTGCGTCGGATATGATCACGAGGGCCCTTGTGTTGGTGTCTAGGAAGAATCATCCTCAAGCACAAAAACTACTCAATGAGACCCGCCGCATTCTGCACACGGTGCTGCAGAACATCACCCAGTCACTACCGCCGCCTAACAGAGACGGTGGCACGATGAGGAATCGCAAGGAGATCCTTACGTTGAGTGCTGTGCGTGCTATACAGTCAGTCCTTCAAGACATGCAGGTTCTGTCGGAGGCACTTGAGGACAACCCAGACGTCTTCGGGCATGACCAGCGCAACTTCGGCGCTCAGCAGGTATGTAGAGAGCTTCCGGATCGTACGTCGCCATTGCTGATGGATATTCGTAGGCTATGGTTCTTCGTGATCAGAAGAGCTGGAGTGGCCGGAGTGCCATCGAAAGACTGTTCTGGACGATCGACAACTCGATCGAACTCGTCTCCCGAAGTACTGACTGGGTCGCCCGTGATTGATTCGCTCCATCTACAACCTGATCGCCTCTCTTTTGGTCTTGTTCGCTTTCCGACCCTCGTTCTCCGTTGGCATCGTCGCTTCGTAGTATATATTGTGTTTGTCCTTGACGGCTTATCCACATCGTACTCTCTTCGCGGTTCCTCAGCGACATCTTGTGTTCTCTAACCATGCGACGATCTTCCCTTGTCACCCTGTGTTTTGTTGATACCATATGCCCGGCGGTACGGCTGCTCGTAGGAGCGGCTCTCCGTGTTAATTACGCATCCTGACGTGGTTAGTGAGGTCGTTGAGTCTGCTTCCCCGTGTGTAATACTGTAAAGTGAATAGTCGGTAGAAGAAAATATGCACAGTATGTTCTATGTGACATCCAGAAGCACGAGCAACCGTGTAGGGTGTGCGTAGCCGCACTATCCCACATATTGTACTTACTGGGAGCGCACTTGGTGCTGCGCGCAGGAAGTGGCTGTGGCACAAGCGCTCCAATAAGCTACGTACAGTACGCGCTTTGTGCAACGTTAACACGTACATAAGGGATGCGATTTATAGTATTCTCACTACCTCTTGAAGCAATCCTACATCACTTTTAGTTGTCCAGACGACATGCGTGTGTATCCAGCGGAGACGTTGACTGTCATTGCTGTCCGCCACAAAAATGGCACGAACTGCTTGTCTTTAGTCAGTTCCAGCGAGTCTCCTGCCATTAATATTGCCCTGCTTGCGTGCCAGTGAGTGCACTGCGATCGTGTGCGTAGACGTGTTCCCGTGCACACGATGCCACACAAGAAAGCATCGGAAGATAATGCAGATGTACGTGCTCAGCTCAGACATGTTGCTAGCCTAACTTTGGCCTAGGTACCTCAGGAGACGTCGCGCTTCTGTGATATCTGCGAGAGGGTAATTGGTTTTGGCAACGGCGGGATGAGGAACTGGGACCAACATGTTGAAAGCAGGAAACATCGCGAGAGGTCGAAGAGGTTGACAGACAAACTGAAGAATGCCTCTTCAACGCAGAAGATTACATCCTTCTTGTCGACTCGGCTCCCAGCAATACCTCAGCACCTCGCAGGATCGAATATCGTTCCGACCAGCAGTGATGAGTCGCTTCATCGCTTCCCAACTCCACGACGCAGGAGCTGGGTTCTAATCCGCGAGAGCAGCCTATTGACGTGGACGCAATCCCGTCTCCTGGCCTTGTTCCTTTCCCTACCGAGACGCATCGCCTACTCCCTTTCAGTGCAGGTACCAGTTCTTCACCCAAAAGCCTGTGCCCAACAGATCTTGGTCCCAATAACAAGGATTTGGACGTCTCAGCACAGACAGGTACGAGAATGTCATTCTTCATTGCTCTGACCCCTTCGTCACGGCATTTACAGATGCGAGCCCAGTTTCAACAAGGCCGGCCATTCGCATGCCACCAGCAAAACGACTGCGACCTGACGCTACGTCAAGTTCGGAGTCCGACTCAGAGGCGTTGCTTGCGGCAACTGCGGCGAACGCTGGTTCTCATCGCGACCCAAATGACTGCGTCCGGACGAACAAACGTGCACGTTGTGGCTCGGAGTCGCCGTAGCTTAGTTCTAGCAGCACTACGTCGGCACCCATCTGCACCGGCAAATGTACGTTCATCCAGATTTGCCGTGACATCCCTGCCGCTATCGTCGGCTCACCGGTCTCACTTCGCAGTCTCCGTGAACTCGATGGTGGCCGTGTAAGCAGCAATCATTATGCATAGTCTATGATACATTCTCTCCGTGCTCACCCTGAGACATCGTATAGATTGTCAAACGCTCGGCAATCCTTGAGAAGTGGGCTTTCACGAGATGTTTACTTTGCCGTGTTACGGAGCCCTCAGCCCGGGTCTGACGTGGCTCCTAGACCTTATGAATAGAGTCGTGCTCTATGTATACTTAGATCACGTCTGGTCAGTGCAAGAGCCGGAGACTGGGCGAAGTGAGTGGTGAGTTACCATGATCGCTCGCCTGATTGACTCGGAAAGGGCGCGTGACTGGCGCGTAGATGAATTTGATTCAAACGAAGTTCGAATTTGAAGATCACCAGCGATCCTCACTGGGCACAATTGCTGGGCATGTTCTCTAGACTCTACGAGTACTTGCAACTTCTGTATTAATTGTACATCCCCTTGGGGCTGGCGCGTTATCTCGCCAGATAGGACATTGGCATGGACGCCCATGCGCTTTCAATGCGGGCCCGAAATGATCCATAAGTCCCCAGCCCCCACATCGCTTACGTAACACGCTACAGGTTGGGGATGCCGGCAGCAAAATGATATTTAGACGACGTGCAGTGCGCCCATCCACTCGGTCGTCGCACAGCTTCTCTACGGTCTTCTCGATAGCGGCGGAGATGACAGCCTACGATCACTCACGCGTCGCCCAATTCATAGGTGCGTTGCTTGTCCGCTCGGGATGTCTACGCGGCCACATGACACGCGCGACCCAGGTGGTAATGCCCTCGATAAGGCCCCATCCGGCCCCGTCTCTGACTTTGTGAAGAGCCATGGCGGTCACACCGTCATCACGAAAGTGAGTGTCCAATTCAGCCCAGTTCTTACGCGGGAAGAGCAGGAGAGGTAGCTAGCTCAGCGAGATGCGCGAATGGAGGCGAAGAGCGGGAGACCAAGGGGGACGAAAGTAGCGAACAGGCTATTCGAGTGCTGATTTTCTGCTCCCGGTCTTTCGTGTTTACCTCCACTGCGCATCTCGAGACCGAAAGGGTGCTGCCAGTCTATACCCTACGCTTTCGTTGACGAGGCTCTTCGCGCCGAATCTGTCACTCATTCTGACCGACAATCATAGGTCCTCATCGCCAACAACGGCATTGCCGCAGTCAAAGAAATTCGCTCAATCCGCCAATGGAGCTACGAAACCTTCGGCACTGAGCGCGCCGTCGAGTTCACCGTAATGGCGACGCCGGAAGACCTCAAGGTGAACGCAGAATACATCCGCATGGCGGACCGCTACGTCGAGGTGCCAGGCGGGTCCAACAACAACAACTACGCGAACGTCGATCTCATCGTCGACGTCGCAGAGCGCGCGGGCGTGCACGCCGTCTGGGCGGGCTGGGGCCACGCGTCCGAGAACCCGCGCCTCCCCGAGACCCTCGCCGCGAACAAGATTGTGTTCATCGGCCCTCCGGGTAGCGCGATGCGCAGCTTGGGCGACAAGATCTCGAGTACGATCGTCGCGCAGAGCGCGGAGGTGCCCACGATGCCGTGGTCGGGAACTGGCATCTCGGAGACGGCGATGTCGGAGCAGGGGTTCGTCGTTGTGCCGGATGATGTTTACCAGAGGGCGTGCATAAAGAGTGTGGAGGAGGGTCTTGCGCGTGTGGAGGAGATTGGGTACCCCGTTATGATCAAGGCCAGTGAGGGCGGTGGAGGGAAGGGTATCCGAAAGGTCGAGGTGCCTGAAGCCTTCAGGAACGCATACAATGCTGTTGCGGGAGAGATTCCTGGTATGTGGCAATGTCCCAATTGTCCGGCACTCACTGACCGCGTCGATAGGCTCGCCCATCTTCATCATGAAGCTCGCCGGACAAGCGCGCCACCTCGAGGTGCAGCTGCTTGCGGATCAGTATGGCAACGCCATCTCTCTGTTCGGTCGTGATTGTTCCGTTCAGCGACGCCACCAGAAGATCATTGAAGAGGCGCCCGTCACGATCGCGAAGCAAGACACCTTTGAGGAGATGGAACGTGCAGCGGTCAGACTGGCCAAGTTGGTCGGCTATGTCAGCGCCGGCACGGTGGAATGTGAGTTTCACTCCGCTGTGTTTGAGCTTGGATACTGATGAGTTTTCGTTTACTGATAACATTTACCAGACCTTTACAGCCATGCCGACGACGTCTTCCACTTCCTCGAGCTCAACCCCCGTCTCCAAGTCGAGCACCCAACAACCGAGATGGTGTCAGGCGTGAACCTGCCCGCGGCGCAGCTCCAAATCGCTATGGGTATCCCGCTGCACCGCATCCGGCACATCCGCCAGCTCTACGGGATGGCGCCACACGGCACGTCCGAGATCGACTTCGAAATGGTCGATCCCGAGGCTAGCAAGCTGCAGCGGAAGCCGCGCCCCAAGGGCCACGTCGTCGCCGTCCGGATCACCGCGGAGAACCCCGACGCGGGCTTCAAGCCGTCGTCGGGCTCGCTGCAGGAGCTCAACTTCCGCTCGAGCACGAATGTGTGGGGCTACTTCTCGGTCGGCTCTGCAGGCGGGCTACACGAGTTTGCGGACTCGCAATTCGGACACATCTTCGCGTACGGCGAGGACCGCGGCGAGAGCAGGAAGAACATGGTCGTCGCGCTGAAGGAGCTGAGCATTCGCGGTGATTTCCGCACGACTGTGGAATACCTCATCAAACTCCTGGAGCTCCAGGCGTTCGAGGAGAACACGATCACGACGGGCTGGTTGGACTCCCTCATCAGCGACAAGCTCACCGCCGAGAGACCGGATGCCACTCTAGCCGTGATCAGCGGTGCTGTGACCAAGGCGCACCTCGCGTCCGACGCTTGCTGGGCGGAGTACAAGCGCATCCTGGACAAGGGCCAGGTGCCGTCTCGCGACGTGCTGAAGACCGTGTTCGGCATCGACTTTATCTACGACAACGTCCGCTATTCGTTCACCGCTACCCGCTCCTCTCTGACCACCTGGACGCTCTACCTGAACGGCGGTCGCACGCTCGTTGGCGCTCGCCCACTCGCCGATGGTGGTCTGTTGGTCCTGCTCGACGGGCGCAGTCACTCTGTGTATTGGCGCGAGGAGGTCGGCGCCCTCAGGGTGATGATCGACTCGAAGACCTGCTTGATTGAACAGGAGAACGACCCGACACAGCTGCGCAGCCCTAGTCCGGGCAAGCTCATCCGATTCCTTGTCGAGAGCGGCGATCACATCAATGCTGGTGAGCAATACGCTGAGATCGAGGTATGTGTCTTGTCCAAAGCGTAGCAGCGTAAGCTTACATTGTCGTAGGTCATGAAAATGTACATGCCTCTCGTCGCGGCCGAGGATGGAATTGTCCAGTTTGTGAAGCAGCCCGGCGTCAGTCTGGAGCCTGGTGATATTCTCGGTATCCTTGCTCTCGACGATCCTACTCGCGTCAAGCATGCGAAGCCCTTCGAGGGTCTCCTCCCTGCAATGGGCCCACCGAATGTCATCGGTAACAAGTCTCACCAGCGCCTCAACCACTACCTCGGTATCCTGAACGACATCCTGGACGGTTATGATAACCAGGCGATCATGGCTTCGACGTTCAAGGAGTTCCTCGCCGTCCTCAGAAACCCAGACCTGCCCTTCTCCGAGGTCACCGCTATCCTGTCCACGTTGTCGGGGCGCATGCCTGCTAAGCTTGAGGATAGTATCCGCGCGGCCATTGACGCGGCGAAGGGCAAGGACGCCCATGAGTTCCCCGCTACTCGTATCAAGAAATTGATGGACCATTTCATGGAGGACAACGTGCGCCCGCAAGACAGGCCGATGCTACGCTCGCAGCTGGGCACGCTTTTCGACATCGTTGACCGCTACTCGCAAGGCCTCAGAGCTTATAAGATTAACACGATTGCCGGCCTGTTGGCACGCTACGAGGAGACGGAGAAGCTCTTTGGAGGCAGCATTGAGGCCCGGGTGCTCACTCTGCGCGAGCAGCACAAGGACGACCTCGACAAGATTGTCTCTCTCGTACTCAGTCATATCATGGCCCAGCGCAAGGGCAGGCTTGTCACGCTCATCCTTGACCATGTCAAGAACAGTGGTATGACGGTTTCCGACCCTGCCAGCAAGCTCTATCAGGTCTTGCAAGGTTTGGCGTCTCTGGAAGCTAGGTGAGTGTAGTGCAATAGGCCGCGAAGCATGTGCTCACGCGCCTATTCTACAGGTCCTCGACGCAGGTCGCACTGAAGGCGAGAGAGGTCTTGATCTCGTGCCAGATGCCTTCGTACGAAGAACGAAAGGTGCAGATGGAGGGTATCCTCAAGTCGTCAGTGACGAACAACTTCTACGGTGAACAGGGTGGCGACACGAAGTACGTTCCATCCACCACCTATAAGTTGCTTGACATCTCATCGGCTTGCCCTTCACAGGGCGCCATCTGCTGAGGTCTTGAGGGAGCTCATCGATTCGAGGCATACTGTGTACGACGTTCTGCCAACCTTCTTCAACCATTACGATCAGTGGGTCACACTTGGTACGTTTGTCTGTGCTCTGCCATGACCGCAAGGAAGCTCAAGAGACACTCGCAGCTGCTCTGGAAGTCTACGTTCGGCGCGCGTACAGAGCTTACAGCGTTCTTTCTATTGACTACGAGGAAGGCGATGGTATGGACGACGGCGACGCGCCTCACATCGTGACGTGGCGCTTCAACCTCCCCCACACCCACTCTCCTCCTACGACTCCGAGCTTGTGAGTGTTCACGACTACATCGAAATATGCTCCGTGTTGACAAAGTCTCCAGGAGCAACCCCGCTCGTCGCCAGGCGTCAGTCAGTGACCTGACGTACATGATCAATAAGCACCAGAAGCAGCCTCTCCGAACTGGCGCGATTGCTTCCTTCCCCAACTTCACTGCGCTGTCCCGCGGCTTCGATAAGGTCGCCGGCATGCTCCCTCACTTCGATCCCCATGAGTTCACGCAGCGATACGGCTCGAACCAGCCGCCGAACGTACTCAATATGGCGTTGCGCATCTTCGATCCCGCTGATGACACAACGGAGGACGCGTGGTACCAGAAGATTCATGAGCTGGTGAACCAGCGTGGCAACGTTCTAACGGATCGCGGTGTACGCCGCATTTCGATCGTGCTGTGCAGGCCTGGCCTATACCCTCACTACTTCACACTGCGCAACATGGGCAAGTCTTGGGAAGAGGAGCAAGCTATCCGACACATCGAGCCTGCCCTCGCATACCAGCTGGAGCTCAGCCGACTGTCCAATTACAACCTCACGCCTTGTTTCACGGAGAGCAAGCAGCTTCACATCTACCACGCAGTCGCGCGCGAGAACCAGTTGGACAGCAGATTCTTCATCCGAGCATTGGTCCGCCCCGGGCGTATCCTCGGTGACATGAGCACTGCCAAGTATCTCATCTCGGAGACGGATCGTCTGGTAACCAACATCCTGGACACTCTGGAAGTTGTATCTGCTCAGCACCGTAACGCTGATGTCAACCACATCTCCATGAACTTCATCTACAACCTCCCGGTGACGTACGAGGACGTCCTTGAGGCGATTTCCGGATTCATCGAACGTCATGGCAAGCGTCTCTGGCGCCTCCACGTCACTGGTTCGGAAATTCGTATCGTCTTGGAGGATAGCGAGGGCAACGTCACGCCTATCCGCTGTGTCATTGAGAATGTGTCTGGCTTTATCGTGAACTACCACGGATATCAAGAAATCACGACAGACAAGGGTGTCACCATCTTGAAGTCCATTGGCGAGAAGGGTCCTCTGCACCTACAACCCGTCCACCAACCGTACCCAACCAAGGAGTCGCTGCAGCCGAAACGCTACCAAGCTCATCTGATCGGCACGACGTACGTTTACGATTTCCCTGATCTGTTTTCGAAAGCCTTGAGCAACGTCTGGGCGAAGGCGCGTGCGCTGAACTCTCAATTGACTCTGCCGAAGAAGATCCTCGAATCACGTGAATTGGTCCTGGACGAGAACGACCAGCTGCAGGAGGTTGACAGGGCACCAGGGAACAACTCTTGCGGCATGGTTGGCTGGGTCTTCTTCATGCGAACGCCCGAATGCCCTGAAGGTCGCCGCACGGTCGTGATTGCCAACGATATCACCTTCAAGATTGGTTCATTTGGGCCCCAAGAAGACCAGTTCTTCTACTTGGCCTCACAGTACGCTCGCGAGCAGGGTTGCCGAGAATCTATTGTCTGCGAATTCCGGTGCTCGCATCGGTGTTGCGGAAGAGGTCATGGGCCTCTTCTCTTGCGCGTGGAACGACCCCGAGCGTCTTGAAAGGGTGTCGACTATCTGTACCTCTCACACGAGAACTTCCTCAAGTTACAGGAGAAGGCCGCCACTTCAGTGCGCACCGTTGACATCGAAGTCGACGGCGAGATTCGTCACAAGATCACCGACATCATCGGAATGCAAGACGGCTTGGGGGTCGAATGTTTGAAGGGCTCCGGTCTCATTGCCGGAGAGACTTCCCGTGCGTATGACGATATCTTCACGATCACCCTTGTCACCGCTCGTTCCGTTGGCATTGGTGCATACCTTGTTCGCTTGGGCGAGCGTGCAGTCCAAGTGGAAGGACAGCCTATCATCCTAACGGGGGCGCCTGCTCTGAACAAGGTGCTCGGCCGAGAGGTCTACACGTCCAACTTGCAGCTCGGTGGAACTCAGATCATGTACAAGAACGGTGTTTCTCACTTGACCGCCAGCAGTGATCTCGAGGGCGCGATGCATATCCTCGAATGGCTGTCATATGTCCCAGAGGTCAAGGGTGCTCCTTTGCCTGTTCTTCAATCGGTAGATCCTTGGGATCGTGACATTGGATACAACCCGCCGAAGGGTTCGTATGACCCAAGATGGTTCATCGAGGGCAAGGAGGACGAGACGACGCAGGAGTGGATGTCCGGTTTCTTCGATAAGGGCTCATTCCAAGAGACGCTGAGTGGGTGGGCGCAGACCGTCGTGGTGGGTCGCGCGCGTCTCGGTGGCATCCCGATGGGTGTCATCGCGGTCGAGACCCGGACGATTGAGCGTGTCGTCCCCGCCGACCCTGCTAACCCAACGTCCGTCGAGCAACGTATCATGGAGGCTGGTCAAGTGTGGTATCCCAACTCCGCCTACAAGACGGCGCAGGCGATCTTCGACTTCAACCGGGAAGGATTGCCTCTCATCATCTTCGCGAACTGGCGAGGATTCTCCGGTGGCCAACAAGATATGTACGACGAGATTCTCAAGCAAGGCTCCAAGATCGTCGACGGCCTGTCTACCTACAAGCAACCCGTCTTCGTGTACATCGTCCCCAATGGTGAATTACGGGGTGGTGCATGGGTCGTACTTGATCCATCTATCAACGCCTCGCAGATGGAGATGTATGCGGATGTGGACGCAAGAGCCGGAGTCCTGGAGCCGGAGGGTATTGTCGAGATCAAGATGCGTCGTGACAAAATCATCAAGTTAATGGAGCGGATGGACTCAACATATGCGGCCCTTAAGAAGGATAGCGCAGATGCATCAAAGAGCCCAGATGAGCGTGCAACCGCCGCCGATGCATTAGCTCAACGCGAAACAGTTCTGCAGCCGACGTACAAGCAGATCGCATTGCTCTACGCAGATCTTCATGAGTACGTCGTCCTCGTGTCCTCTCCTTACCATAAATTGCTAATGACTCTGTAGCCGCACGGGACGGATGGAGGCGAAGGGTTGCGCGTCCCCCATGGTTTGGAAAGACGCTCGTCGCCGGTTCTACTGGTCGGTCCGCGCGAAGGTTGCATGGTCGATCGCGATGGCCCAACTCGCAGAAGCAAGTCCCGACTCAACCGAGGAGTACCGCTCCACGCTTCTGATGAGATTAACATCTCTCGAGAACCTCAGCGACCGCCGCGTCATGGCTGAGGCTCTCGAAGCCCTTGATCTGACCGCGACGCTCGCACAGCTGAAAGCCGACCACCTCATGCGCCGCATGCTGGCCCTGGCTCACGAAGACCGCAAGGCGACCATCGACGGCCTCGTCCGTCTGGTGGACAACCTTGCTGATGACGAAAAGGCGACGCTTATCACAGCGCTGCAAAACGCGGGACGCTCTCCAGGTGCGTCTTCCCTGCTCGTGTATCCCCACGGCGTGCGCTGACGTCGCTTTGACCAGGACCTCCCTCGTATTCCAATGTGTCTGCTTCATCTTAGATGCCTACAACGGTTTTGCATATGTTCTGCTATCGGATAACGTACTGTAACGCTATACCAACATGTTTGTTTTGCTGTGATCGTGTCTTCCATTGCAATAGATGTATAACGTCTGAATCGTCGGCGTCGAAACGGTCGTCCAGATGGGCCTCAGTAGCTGAGCGCCGAAACCACGATTCAAGAAGACATCTGCAGCTCAAACGTTCAAGCTGAACCCTGTATTCACTCTGTCACTGCCAAAGAATTGAATTTTTTTGGTGTTGGACAACGGTGGGACATCGCGGTGACTGTCATACTAGGCGGGAATGAATATTTCTAATATATATGTATTTGTATTTATGATGCACTGCCCGACCGATTTGGCCGCTGTACACAAGTGGCGGTGGCTAGGCGTCCCGCACCATAGTCGAAACCACCTCATGGAAGCGCGAAGACTCGCGGACTCGTACTCAGGGAGTGGTCAATATTTCCATAACATCAAATTCGAACTTCGTTTAAATCAAATTCATCTACTCACCAGTCACGCGCCCTAGACCTTCTTCGACCAACCATCGCCAGCATCGGTCAAGATCCTCGACCCACTTGCCTTTGGCTCTGCACATCAGCTGCCTTACACTGCGCTCCATCTCGCTCTCCCATTTGCTCCTTTCCTGCCTGTAGATTCATAGGAATCGGTTCACAATGCACGGTCGACGACCAGACTCATGCACTATGCATGACATGATGCGCTATGATCATCCGTACCGTTCTTTATGACTTCGGCCGAGTATGATTGCAACTGATGGACACTCCCCAGTGAGTGGGAGGCGGCACGAACTGAGGGTGCTGTCCGACCTCAGTCTCTCGCAGTGGTCTACCTTTCAATAGAGAAATTATCGCAAGGGTTGCAATTGTCGTGCATCAGCTAAATCTCCTCTGCGTCAACACGTATCTCCACTCCTAGCGAAATGGACGTATGAATATTCCGTGGCCTTCACCGTTGTCTAGTGCTCTCTGAAGCCATGTCGACCTGCAAGCACCAAGCTGAACAAGGACGCTGATGGGTATCTGCACCGTAATGGAGTAGTCATGAAGGCGCAAAAGCGAGGGTTAGTCAGTTTTTCCTGGTGTTCCGTCTCAACTGTAATGTCCGGTTCGAGCAGGTTCGTCGTCGGTCTCGCCCGGGCTTTTGTTGTCTGGACATTCCGGACGCGAGGCGATGACGTAGTGTTGCGCGCTGCGTCGGGATTCCCATATAAGGCGAATGGACGCTCAATGCCCGCGCCACCGTCGGTCGCGATCCTCTGTCCGTCGACCAACTAATGTGAAACCCCTCGGGCCATCATCGCACCCACTTCCTGGCGGCTACAGTCTCAGTAATTGACGCCTCGCAGGATTCCGGTTATGGTGCTCGCGTTCTCGTGCCCTTATGCAAAGTTTGACACCTTGCCTTACGAAGTCAGTCTCTAATACTAACACATCTAGGCGGGTGACCATCCTAGAAAGGACACCGCGTCCACACCTCCTGTGTAATACTCCTTCCTACAGCGTATATTAAGGAGGGCAACGTCGCTGTGGGGATGGTAAGCAATTCTCGTAGGTTCAGTCGATCTCACTCAATGGCTTCCAATGTCAGAGCGTGCTTTAGATGCAGGTGAGCATTGCGTCCATTTTATACAGCCGCCGTTTCATAATGCGTGTGTAGGCACAAGAAAATCGTACGCGACCGCTGTTCCCTCAACACCTATTTCTGCTCAGATGACTTTCAGAAATGTGACATTGCTCGCCCGACTTGCCAGAACTGCCTGAAGGCCAATACTCCGGGAGACTGCATCTACGGCGAAGATGCAGAATATCCGAACATCCGTCTGCTCGAGGAAAAAATAGGCCTTCTTCAGGGACGCATTGCCTTCCTCGAGAGTACACCTGACTCCCAGCCGATCATGCTACACCATCCTTATCCTGCGACTGGCTCGGGCTCGAATGCGACAGAACAGGTGGATGATAGCGGTCGTCGCACTCTTCCGCCTGCCACTGTGCAGGAGCTGTGAGTGACTTTCCGCGATGTATTTTGGACTTGCTAACAGCTGGTAGAATACGGTCCTTCTCCATCGGTGCTACCGGTGTTGGATTATTTCTGTACATGCCCCGTCTTCTGGAGCGCATCGCACTCCCATTGGCCACCCAGACGAAGCACGGACGAGCACTAATGAACGCCATCCGTCTCCTAGGTGCCTACCTCTCCGCCGACGCAAGCCTGCAAAGCCTCCAGCCCCTGCTCCTGTCCTACACTCTGAAGGACCTCTCCGCAGCCCTCGTCGAGCTGGACCCCCCAGCGATCCTGGACGTGCTGCAGACGGAAATCTTCCTCGCGCACTACTTCTTCTCGAGCAACCGCACGGTCGAGGGCGTGTATCACATGGACGCGGCGTCCGCGATCGTGCTCGCACACCGTCTGCACAAGGTCCGCAGCACGCACTACCCGCGGACGCTCCCGAGCAGGGACGACATCGAGGAGTGCGAGCGGATCAACGCGTTCTGGAGCACGTTCATCCTGGACAGGTGTTGGTCACCCATCCTGAGCCGTGCGCCCATCCTGACGGACGCGGAAGTCAGGGGGACGGAGATCGATACGCCTTGGCCGCTGAGCATCGAGGCGTACGAGAATGTCAGCGCACGGGTAGCTTCGTAAGATTCCTTGTATGCTAACGCACTGCTCTATCCTCCAGCACCCGCTCCCAGCCGAATGGCGCGGCTTCCAGACCGTGCAGAGGTTCCTATTCGATGCTCACTTCTCTAACATCGAACAGTCCCCCCTCGCTCTGCACGCCAAGGCAGCAACGCTGTACAGCCAGGCCCGCCGCATCGCCGACCAGTTCAACACCTGTGAGGAGCCCCTCCGAGTCCTCCCTGTTTAATCTCACTGACTCGCTCGCAGACATTACCCCTCTGGGATGGGCAGAGCTCGACAGGCGCATCGGACAGTTCATACAGAGCCTGCCCTCGCTCGAGAGCGTCCAGCCCGGGGACCGCCACCTCCAGAGCACCCTGCTCGTCGTGTACACACTCGCGTGTGGCGCAGTCATCGCGCTGCAGGAGCCCCTCTTGCACCACAGCGTCGGCACCACGAAAGCCGTCTCCGCCGCCTTCGATGCTGTCAACGTGCTGAACCGCGTCGATGTTCGCGGGGTGTGCGTAGACCCGATGGTTGGCGTGCGTCCTCCTCAGAGTTCGTTGGTCGTTGGTGTGCGCTGACGAGCGGTCGTGTGTTGGCGTAGGCCGTACTGGTTGCTGTGGCTAATGTTGTGGTGCGTACGCTGAGGCTCCGCAGGCAGAGCGCTTCCGGGGAAGCCAACGGCATACGGATGGCCTTGGCTCGTATACGCTTTGCGCTGGGAGTGTGGGGCGAACGCAGTGCCTATATCAGTGCGTGTGCCACTGCCGAGTCGCCCCTGAACGTGGTCTGACAACGCGAACATCGCAGAAGATCAGGAGTGTCGTGTTGCTGCCATGCTGGAAGGAGTGTAATCAGTGCCTCTGTTGCGCTCACGATCGTTGGTGGCCCTGGCGCATTACTGTTTACGTCGCGTCGTCCGTATTAATATTCTCATACCTTACAGAATTCTGGCAACTTCAACAGTGTCACGGTGTATTTTCTCCTTCGTCTCTTCGGTCGACGATGGTCGCTTTTCTCTTCCTTGATAAGTAGTGTCTCCCTAATCCCAAACTCGCATAATCACTCCTCTTATACTACCGCTACCTGTATTACTCGGCTATAGGAGGTCAAGCTCCAATCGCGACATCCCATTAACTCCATCGCAAGGTAACATATTGCGACCGACTCTATAAAGCTCTATGTAGCACACGACTCTACAAATATCTCTCATATAACACCGCTGAGATTGCAAGGCATCACCAACCACCCAAACAAGGACAAGGGATAGCGGAATCAGTGTCAGGCGACTAAGGGCGTCTTCGCCATGAGAGCGAGAATGTCCCAGCCTATGTTTCCTGCGGCGATTTGTGTAATCTCGGCTTGTGTGTGATGTTTGTCAGTGTCATATATATAAAGAAATAGGTGCGGTGAGAACCTCCCTACCTTGGGTATCATAGCCTACAACGAGAAAAGACTGTTCAACTAGCTAACCTTGCAATCTGCGCTGCAAACCCACCTGGCGCGACTTCGACGATGTCGGCACCGACGATCTTCAGTCCGTCTAGGCCCTGTAGGATCTTTCTAATCTCCTGCGGTTCACAGTCAGTTTCAGCATGAAAAGTGTGGAAGTCCTGGTCGTCGCTCACTCGTGTTGTGAATCCTCCTATCTCAGGTCTACATGAAGGCGTTGTCTAGGCTGAGCACAAGACGGGATAAATTCATAATCATGGCTTACGTTCCGGTCCTAATGACATCGTTAGCAAGTTCCGCTCTGACAGAGACGAACAAAGCACACGACTCACGCAGGCGCCATGCCAAGGTCTATGACGTCTATGTCAAAAGAGACTACAGCAAACGTCAGCACACTGCTTCCTGATGGTAAGTTACCTGAAGGCATACTGTATACTGGGTTATCGCCGACAGCGTCTCTAATTTTCTTCACGATGCCTTTATATCCGATGTCTTCGATCTCGTCGACCTGGATTATGACGAATCCGGCCTCGTAGTCATCTTCGTAGTCTTGCCAGCTGTCGAGCGCACCGTGTATTCCAACGTGCTGAGGGACAGATTCGCATTGCGGCGAGCATCTACGAGTGAAACTACTCACGATGTTGGAGTGGTTAGCAGCAAGGAGGCCTTCTTCATGTGCGTGCCAGAAGTAGTTGTCATGCGTGACAGGGATTTCCTGTCAGAGTCTTAGCGAACACGAAGCATACGTGATAACAAATCCCACAGATACTGACTTCATCTGGCAGCCAAGGACCATCCGGCTGCAAGGCGTCGTGCAGAGTCTTAAGCTTCCGCAGTACGAATTGGAAAATGAACAAGACGCACTGCTCGGCTCGGCTTCCAAGTATCTAAAGCGGGCGGGACTCGATCAGTCACATACACCAGTGTTTAGTGAAACGCCGCAAACCTATGTGACTATCGAAGTGGACTACGCTACGATAACCTCAGTTCTCAATCACGCATGACCATCAGGGTAACGGAGCAGGCATTACCTGACAGGGCCGTATACCTTCCCAATCCCACGCAGCATTGATAGTGTGATTGTATGATCTCCACCCTGACGAGGTAATCAGCTTTGAGAAAGCGTAAGCCACCAAACCGTGTACACGCGCACCAAAGTCAATATTCGAGGGTGAAACGCGCCGTCTTTTGCGATGCTCGTGCCGTCATAGGATCGGAGGCTCTTTCGAGACAGCAACGCAGACGAGGCTGCCTCCAACTGCCGCAGCGCAACTTTGTTGTCAATGTATACCATGGCTGCAGTATATCCATGAATGATATGGCTACAAGCTCGTTGATCAATCTACGCACGGACATCCCCACAGTCTACGACGTCCAAGTAGTCGCTCACACGAGTCTTCATAGGGACGTTGATCCTAGAGATTCCCAGGCGTCTGGAGCCTTGACGTATGCCATTGGTTCCGAACCGAGCCCTATCATACTTTATGAGCATAGACAAATCCCGAAATGACAATGAACCCGAGGGCGAATACGAACCCTGAACGATATGTGGTGGCTGTATCGAACGGGGCACCTATTCGGCATTCAACGAAGCAGAACCTTGATACACGACTCTGTAGTAATCATACCTAAAACAGCGACGTCGTAGGGAACGTCCACATCTGCGCCAAAACACCTCAGCGGCGTTGCGCCGGCGAAGGTTGTGAGGCCGTTCCAGTCTTGCTGCGCCCACGCCTTCGGAGAAGCCACAGAGGTGAATGACCCTAAGATGGACGCGTACGTGCTATTATCGGCTGGAACATTCGCACTAGTGCTATTGAATGTGACTTGCTCTGCCAGCGTGAGAGCAGCTAATAGCCCTGCGGCAAGAGTTATCTGCAGATACCATGGGATCAGACAGAGGGGGGAGTGCATCGGTAGCTTCTGCTGTGATAGACGAGGGAATTGAACACACCCATCCGTGTTCTTTTATAGTTCTCGAGGTGCCCGGTTGTTTATGTTTCCAGCTGGTTTCAGCGTTCGGAATCCGAGAGTGGACTAGCTGAGGCGCGCAGCAAACGGCCCGATGTGCTCTTGAGCTGTGACTCGACGGCCCAGACCCAGGATGAGGGGATCCGTAATCTGCTTTGATTCCGTCAAAGCGCACTATGGTCGATAGTGGTCTGCAGGCTTGCTCCCTAGCTGGGCGGCAAACACACAGTCCTTTGGGTAATCAGCGATCCAAGGTGCATACGCTTGACCGACTGCAGCGCTTCCTAGTTAGCCACTAGACCTTGAATTCGCCTAGCAAGCACGTCCACTAGGTTTACCGCTCAAATGGGTAAGCACAGTGAGGACATTGCCTCGACATGACTGTTCCATGGAAGTGCCATATTCGGCATGAGGCCTGATAATTTGATAGAGCCTCGGACGGTTATGTGGAGCATTGGTAAGGCGCTTTCGATATGATACTTGGATCCGACATACGAGGACGTTGCCCACGGAACTTCATGCAAAGAGGCATTTACAAGTAACGCCCAGAGGCACTGGCAACAGTGGGCTGATCCGATTCAGATACTTTGAAGTGACGAGTCAAGCCCCCATGACCATGCAGACGCGCACCCGCTGTGACATGAGCCAAGGACGCGAAAATCCAGGTCTCCTGGGCATTGTGTCATAGGAGCATGGCATCCTTGTGGACTGACTATGGCAACCATGCTCGCTGCCCGACGACCTCCTGACCAGACGAAGCAACGCATGAACGCATGGATGGAGCAGTCGTGGTACGCACTTTCAGACATGTGAAGGGCTGGCTGCACTGGCAACGTACAGAATGGGGCTCTCTGCACGGCGGCCAACAATCAAACTTTACCAAAGACAGATGACGAAGACTGAAAATACTCGATTACGCTGGCCTGTGGCCGAGCGGCGAAAGGGCTGAGAGCCGGCTGCATATCGGCAGCGTGCATCCGGTATCGTCTTGGACGTGCGACAGAAAGACTTGGCCTAGCGATAATACGAGTCGAGGAAATGGTGTCTGCGGTCGACGTCGACCTGCGAGTCGTGTACGAAGCGTCGGTGCAGAGAAAGGCGGGTGGCTGAAGATGCGACGGATCTGGAGGAGATTCATTTTCCGCGCGGCCCCGAAAGGCTTGTGAATGGCGGCGCCGGAAAACTTGAAAAGGAAGATGGTTCGGCAGCGAGCGCCCACGCCACCGGCTTCCCCAGCAGCCCGCCGGGCTTGATGAAGCTAGCTTGCTCGCGGCCTCTAACCGTAGCCGCACACTGCTGTAGTCTTGTCTCTCCATCCTCCTCGTCCGGCCGACGTCTGGGGCCTCGCTTCCCCCTCCATAGACAAAGCGGGCTGCAGTGCAGACATTTGAGGTATGCGCAGCCTTCACTGCTGTCAGCTCGGCTCTCATACTACCCTCCAACCAGTCGGCGATGCAACCGTCCGAGCTCGAGATCAGACGGGAAGTAGAGGCCCTCCGGGATATTAGGAGGCGGTCGACTGCAGGCGGACCTGGCTCGCTCATCCTGGACCCGGATTTGCCCAGCGCTACAACCCAGCCCTCGCCGACCACCCCATACTGGTCGCCCGACGAGCTCACCACTACCACCAACAGCGATAGCACTGAAGAAGAGTCTACAGATGGCAATGGTGATCCCTTCCATCTCTTCTGGGTACCTGCTCGCCTTCATCCAGAAATTGCGCCGGCCGAGTTCAGACAATTCCTGAAAGAACATGCCCGCAGTCCCTCAGACGAACCATCCGGCCTCTCGCGCTCGGTGTCTGGTGGTTCTACAGATCTCGGGCGGAAGCGATCTATGCTGAGCCGGCAGTACAAACCGTCTGCGAATGATGGCGTTGAGGAAGAGCAAGTCGTGCCCATTCGGAGGAATCGGTCGAGTATCTACAGCACCGGGCCTCAGCTCACGATTAGCGATCTGCAGAAGCTGGAGGAGCTGGCGGAGGAGGCCTCGCAAAGCGATGACCCCACCAAGTTGAGGAGTGTGTTGCGGAGGAGTCTCAGTCTGAACGTGGCACCCTCAGGTATACTTCCTGTGCATATCCTAAGTGCTGCGTTGATGCGAGTACGTCTTTAGTCATCGACCAGATGGACGACTTGAACGACCCAGGAGATGAAGCCGATTCACCAATCATTGTGCCGCGCTTGGGCGAGGGATTGCGTCGTGCAGCACGCACAAAAATCCGCAAGCCGGGTATGCAAGGCGAGGGTGCGCATCGCTTCACTGCTACTCGCAGCCGACGAAAGTCCGTGAGCCGCTCAGCGACGGTGGGTTCGCCTCGGACATCGAGTGAGATGTCCGTAAGCGATCACGGCCACGCGGAGGCCAGCAGGAAGCCTCGCGCAGAGGACGACGCGCCTCCTGTGCCGCAAGTCCCACCTCTTCCACGGCCCGAATCATACAGCGAAGAAGCTCTGATCTATGACGCATACGTCACCGAGGAACCAGACGAGGTCGATGGCCCTCATAGGGAAACGACTCCTGAACCCTCCGTCGAATCTTCGCTCTCTGGCCCATCCTCTACTACGACACACACCGAGTCGCATGAACTTGCCGTGGAATCTGGGCCGATCCTGCATCATCCTAAACCACAGCGAGCTGTCACGCCAGCAGTCACTGAGCCTCCCGTGGAAACACACACACCCTCCCCTCCGCCCACGACTGCGCCCGCTAACTCGCCTTCTAACGTGCTGCAGCCACGTCCCTCTTTACAAGAAGCACCCCTCTATCACCCACCCTCTCCGAGCCCCTCCGAACAGCGACGGGAGAAAGATAAGAAGGGTGGCTTGTTCAAGTGGGGAAGTGACAAGAGCAGCAAGAAGCAGACCAAGGAGAAGGAGCAGCGCGAGCGCGAGAAGGAGAAGGAGAAGGAGAAAGAGAAAGAGAAGGATACTGGCTTTTTCGGATCGCTGTTCGGAGGCAAGAAGAAGCAGGAGGATGCGCAGCCGTCGACGGCCAATCAATCTGGACGCGAGACCGCTGCTGCCCTGTTGGGGGCGTCCAAGTCGTCCAAGAACTACGTCCCGTCTCCTTCGCCGCAGCTTGCTGGCATGTACGCGCGATACCCGATCCATGTTGAGCGAGCGATCTACCGGCTCAGTCACATCAAGCTTGCTAACCCCCGCCGTCCGCTCTACGAGCAGGTCCTGATCAGTAACCTGATGTTCTGGTACCTGGGCGTGATCAACAAGACCCAGAACCCGCAGAACGCTGCTGCGAATGGCTCAGCGCAACCACAGACGCCAGGACAGGCTCAGCCGGAGCCAGACAAGGAGCAGCAGGAACAAGAGCAGAGGGAGCGGGAGGAGCGGGAGGGGGCGGAGAAAGAACGGATGGAGAGGGAGCAGGAGCAGAGAGAGAAGCAGCGGCGGGGGAGCCTCACGAAACCCGGAGCGGCGAACGCACCTCAGCCAAGCGTCCGGCGAGCTGAGATGCCAGTGCGCGGGCCCCAATATGAGATGCAACACCGCGCTATGGAGCACGAGTATGGCCACGGGTACTCAAACAACATGTCCGGGGCCTCCGGATACGGCTACGGCTCTGGCGGCGGGGCCTCGTATCAATCGCAACCTGCACTACGATCGTCGTCAGCGCCTCCTCAACCATACACGGTCGGCCTCGCGCAACCACAACCTCAAGCTGCCAACGGTGGGTTATACAGTATGGGTAATGTGTCGATGCAACCTCAGCAGTATGCTCCAGTGGTTGCGGGCGGATCGCTGCCCCCGGGGGCCATGCCTCCAGTAGCAGTCGAGCAAACATGGCTAGCAAATCAAGCGACCACGAGCATGCTCAACTCGAGGGGCATACATCTCCATCACCCCCGCGCTCCGCTTCCCCGCCGTCTCCGCCCAACCAGTCAGTCGCTCCGCGCCGGACACGGTCTCCGCCGCCTAACCGCTACACACCCGCGCAGGAGAAGCAGCCATCGTACAGCGCGCCGGGCGCCCGGCTCCCCAGTCGGTCATTGTCTGCCTCTGCTGCGCCGCCCGTCGTGTCTACGATGAACCATTTCAACAACAGTGCCAAGCTAAAGAAGGGTATCAGTGCGCATGCGGTGGTGCAGAGCCGGCGGCGCCCCTCAGAGGACGAGGACGTGCCGCTCGCGCTATGGCAACAAACGCGAAGAAAGTAGCCACCATCTCGACATCGAACGCTTCCTATGTTCTCGTTCGCTCGTCTGTACTTGAAGTCCCTTGCTCGTCGCCGGTCCGTCGCTTCCTCACTTCATCATCTAGATATCCCTGCAATTTATATTGTCTTGGGCTGTTTTATACTATCACCGGGTCTCACGAGTGTTCGCGCTCGCATCTGTAACGGACACCTTGCCTCGCACACTTGTAGCTTCCGTGGCGGGCGTTGTTTGGCTGGGCGACGCATCCCTGAGGACTCTCCGGTGCTACAACTGACTCTGCCTACCGTAGTATTATGCCTTCATAGCAATCTGTCTGTATTTGCATCGAGCGGACTTTTGGCCCTAGCTAGTAATATGAAACACATTGGAGAACTCAGTACACCCCCACCACATCTATCATCATGCTAACTTTCGTCGAGATATGGTCTCTGATCGCAGTCTTCCGTTTCCTTTGGCTCACGGTCGTGCACTGGTCGTGCAGGACCTGGGCGACTCCCCCAGATGTTCGGCCTCGGGGACCCTCGAAATCAGCCTCAAAGATCCTATTTTTCGGCTCTCCGGGATCCAATGTAGGACAAGGGTAGTCACTGGTCACGTCATGTGATTTAATGTCACGGAGTATTGTCACATTCTTTTGACTCAAATTTCGGGGCTTTCTGGCCATATTTTTGTCTCATAACATTCTAGCTATAGTTGTGCTGCCCTATACCACATAATTTACACATGTAGAATGAGGCTGCTGTCTGGTTTGTGAGCGTGAAGTGAGACTCAGATTTGATCACCAATACACCTACCAAATATGGCAACCGTGACAGTGTCAGTCTTGAGCTGCCCCGACACCTCTGCAGAGCAATGTTTTGTGCGATGCGCAAGCAATATATATATATATAACGATGACCTTGGTACCCACCTGTTCACCCAGCCTCTGACCAATTGAACATGGTCATACCAACCACCCCTCAGAGATCCAATCGAGGACGAGGGTAGGGGCGCTTACGGCAGTTCGGCAGCCTCCGGGATCCAATGTAGGCCGGGGATTTGGCCAAAATTTGGCCCTCAGGGATCCTATCCGGGGCCGAACATCTGGGGGAGTCGCCCAGGTCCTGGTCGTGCATCCTTGTCTTGTGACCGACCTGCGCTCGATCAGCACGTGAAGCTGGTCGAATTGAGCCAGATTCCGATCCGAGGATGAGCCCTGGCGGTCCGGCTGGGAAAGTTGTACCAACTATTGGCCGTTTGATCAGCTTGGTCTGCCAGTGGATCGTAGAATCGACTCTACCTGATCGTTGTTAGAGCGAGTAGGCGGTTCAGAGAGTGACCCTACTATTGTCTCGCCAGAGTCGTCAACATGGGACATCTCATAACGGTCGCAACGTGAGTCTCCCAGGAGTTTCTATGGGCGGCCGCAGCTCACAAGATATCAGTTGGTGCGCTCATCGCGTTGTGGGATGGCATTTGGCCAGTAATTATCTGTCTGCAGCTCACTCAATCAGTGGTCACTGGACTTTGGGGTATGCTCGGGCTTGGGCCTGTCTGGTTTGCGTTCTCATCAATCTCGGACTAGGGAAACCTGGAGCGTATCCTCGCCAGCATCCGGATAGCCAAGGAGAGAGGAGCAACTCTGCGCGTCGGTCCTGAGCTCGAGATCACGTACGTCTTCTCTCGGGCACGTAGCGTTCTGAGGGTGTACTAATCCACACCATATCAGAGGTTACGGATGCCAGGATCACTTCCTAGAGGGTACTTCGATCAGAGACGTACACATGGTATAATATCTCACCATTGGTATCATAGGTGACACAGCTCTGCACTCATGGGAAGTTCTGGCCAAGATCCTCGAGTCCGACGAAGCCAAGGGCATCTTGTGTGACATTGGAATGTAGGCGGCCTCCCCAAGGGCGAAGCTCGAGCATACTGATTCACTTCGCTAGGCCTATTACGCACAAGAATGTCATCTATAACTGCAGGGTCATCATATACGACGGGAAGATCCTCCTCATCCGACCTAAGATGTGGATGGCGAATGACGGCAACTACCGCGAGCTGCGGTGGTTCACGCCGTGGATGAAGCACAGGTCTACCGAAGAGCATTACCTACCAAGAATCATACAGAAACTCACTGGCCAGGTATGCCTGTCTTTGGTTTCTCTTGAGCGGTGTTTAACATTCTGCTAGATCAAAGTGCCCTTCGGCGATGCCGTCGTCAGCACCAAAGACACCTGTATCGGCGTTGAGCTGTGCGAAGAGCTCTTCACGCCCGCAAGGTAGCGTCTCCTTGAAGGCTCCCTGTCCCGTTTTCTGAGCGATGATACCACAGTCCTCACATTCTTATGGGCCTCGACGGCGTGGAGATCTTCACGAATTCGAGCGGTAGCCACCATGAGCTTCGCAAGCTGTACAGGCGTGTGGATCTGATTAGAGAGGCCACCTCCAAGGTACCCCTCCGTGGCTTGTTTAATGGTCTCATACTTACTCATCAACTGACACGAACCCGCGCAGGTCGGAGGGATCTACCTCTACGCCAACCAGCAGGGGTGCGACGGCGACCGGCTCTACTACGACGGCTGCGCGATCATCGCTGTTAATGGGCACGTCATCGCGCAGGGCTCGCAGTTCTCCCTCCAGGACGTCGAGGTCGTGACCGCGACGATCGACATCGAGGACGTGCGCGCGCACCGGGCGGCCAGTAGCCGGAGCATGCAGGCTGCGGCTGCGGAGCGTTATCAGCGCATCGAAGTCGATTGGGCGTTGTCTGGAGGCAAGTTCGGCATCAGCGAAGAGGGCGAGCCTGGCGATCTGGCTATGACCGACCGGAGGTTTGAAGTGAGGTTTCACAAACCGGAAGAGGAGATAGCGTATGTGTATCTGATTGTGAGGATTTGTTAATCCGTGGCATGCTCATGCCGATGTGCTAGGCTGGGCCCGGCGTGTTGGCTATGGGACTACCTGAGGCGTTCTAGGACACAGGGATACTTCGTCCCTCTTAGCGGTGGTATCGACAGTTGTGCGACTGCGGTCATCGTCTATTCAATGTGTCGCCTCGTTGCCGACGCCGCCAAGAACGGAGGTTCGCATCTATACACAACTGAATCGCGTGCTTCATTTCATACTATGCTCCGACAGACCAGCAAGTCATCACGGATGCTCGTCGTATTGCAGGAGAGCCCGAGGACTCTTCGTACGTCCCTACTGACGCGCGCGAGTACTGCAATCGGATCTTCCACACGTGCTACATGGGCACGGAGAACTCCAGTATCGACACTAGGCGGAGGGCGAAGGAGCTGTCAGAAGCTATCGGCAGGCAAGTAGTGCACAGTATCCACTCCCGTCGCTTCCATGGCTCACGAGATCCTGACGTAGCTACCACACGGATCTGAACATGGACACGCTCGTTACTGCTGTGCGCAGCCTGTTCTCGTTCGTCACTGGAGTCAAGCCGCAGTTCCGCGCACATGGCGGGTCGCCCGCGGAGAACCTTGCACTGCAGAACATCCAGGTATGTCTGTCTCTCCAGTCGTGAGGTGGAAGAGATATCTCACGATGCCATTGCAGGCACGCCTGCGTATGGTGCTCGCGTACTTGTTCGCCCAACTTCTGCCCTGGGTGCGAGGGCGGACAGGAGGGCTCCTCGTCCTTGGTAGCGCTAACGTCGACGAGAGGTAAGTCCAAGCTGTTGTCAATTGATGCGCGCTCACCACTTGCGCCCCGTAGCTTGAGAGGTTACCTGACCAAGTACGACTGCTCTTCTGGTACGTGATCTGCGTTGGTAGCCTACGTGTTCTGACGTCCCTGCAGCGGATGTCAACCCAATCGGTGCAATCAGTAAGACCGATTTGAAGCGGTTTATCGCTTGGGCGAAGGACGCGTTCGGACTTCCCATCTTGGAACAGTACGCAGCATCACTGGTCCACGTATACTCTTGCTCACCTGCCGTGCCCGACTAGGTTCTTGACTGCCGTCCCCACGGCAGAGCTCGAGCCTATCACCGAGAACTACGTGCAGGCCGATGAGGCGAGTACAACCTTATCAGTGCAGGACTTCCGTTGACGCTCGCCGTTGTGTAACGCGTAGGCTGACATGGGCATGACTTACGACGAGCTGTCTGTCTTCGGTCGCCTGCGTAAGGTCGAGAAGTGTGGGCCGTACAGCATGTTCACAAAGCTTGTCCATGAATGGGGATCCTTCCTGTCTCCGACGCAAGTCAGTATTGCTGTTTCTTGTACTCTGTCTGTCACTCACAAGTACTGCCTGAACTAGATCGCGGACAAGGTCAAGCTATTCTTCTTCGAGTATGCGAGGAACCGCCACAAGATGACGACCCTGACACCGTCCTACCACGCTGTGAGTCATGCGATCAATACGCCTGCCTTTTACGAATGCTGAATTCCTTGCATGCAGGAGCAATACAGCCCCGACGACAACAGTGAGTTCCTAATAGATGTATCTCACCTGTATCTGACTCGCCGCGTCCAGGGTTCGATCTGCGACCGTTCCTGTACCCCTCCCGCTTCCCCTGGCAATTCAAGAAGATCGATGATGTCGCGGCCGGGTTGCCAGACAGATCTCAGTCCAAAGCTAAGACAGAGTAAGAGATGTATTGGCGCATTGATCAGTCGAGAAGCAATAAAGATAGAGGTATGTATGAGACACAAGAGATGTATGTAAAGGTATCTGTGTAGAGAAATGCTACTATACAATCCTTCCGTGACGTGAATTAGCTCCTGTTGAGCAGACGTGAGAGTGCTCCCTGCACCGTGACCTTCTTCATGATCGTTGGTTCTGCCGCTGTACAAGAGGTTCAGCGTGCTATCACATCTGCCCACTTGGAGAAACTTACGATCTGTCAGGTTCTCTTCCTGCACTTTCCGCTTGATACTCTCCATGACTTCGCTGACCCCCGAGCGATCCAGGTCTCCTCTGGCCTTGAGCAGGTTCTCGACGAACGCGATGTTCGGCCCGTAGATCTTCGCGAACGAATAGTACGACAGGAACACGAGGCTCTGCGACGCTTCGAGTATCGAAAGCACCATATCGAGGACTTGCATTCGAGGCTCGAGCTCATCGAGCTTCTTGTACTGGCCGAATAGCTTGTAGGCGTCGTCGATGTCGTTCCGTATCCGCCCCAGCGCCTGCGGGAACTTCATCTTCGGTGCGTTGGCAAGAGCATTGAGATACGCGACCAAGAATGTGTCGATGAGATCCTCGACGAGAAGCTCGACGAGGGTCTGGTTGAGGTAGGAGTTGTAATCGGACATGTAGTCGCGGATGGTCTCGATGATCTGTGCCGTGATCCCGTCGTACCACGACGGTTGGAAGAGCAGCTTGAGCGCAGGCTTGAGATCGTTGAGGACGAGATCGATGAGCGTCTGCTGGCACTTCTTCGCGACGTCGAGGAAGCCGTCGATGGCGTCGTTCAGATGGTCGTGGATCGGTACGCGGTACTTCTCCGAGACGAGGGGCTCGATGCGGGCGGACAGGTTCTCCGTGGAGTCAGCGGACTTGAGCTGGTCATTCGCGAGGGCGATGCAGTACTCGACGAGACCGCCCGGAACCTCCTCTGGCTTTTCCGCAAACTTCTTGAACTCGGTACCGACGAGTTGGATCCATCGCGTCTGCACTCCCCGCATCACGCGGTTGATCTCTTCGACAGTGCGAGCGAGAATCATGCCCTGCCCGCTCTCCATCGCAAGGTCCACCTGCTGGTTCACCATCTGGAAGAGGATGACCACCCCCTGCAAGCCGTACAGCCCGTCACTGTTTATCTCTGGAGGCTCCTCCCGCTGGGTGAACGATGCGATCTCCGTCTTCATCAAGTTCTCCGTCCATTCCTCGAGCTTCTTGATAATGAGCTTCAGGTAGTCCTCGATGAGGTCCTGTTCCTTCCCATCTAGAAGCGGAGGGACGAGAAGCTCAGACGGAATCTCCAGCTCCTTCATCTTCTTCTTATAATCCTTTATCGTGGAGTTCAGGGCAAGAAGAACGCTGGCATCGGGCTCGGATGCTACGATCTTCTTGAGCATCGCATTCAACGCCTTGTGGTACTCCTTGACGTAGTGGTTGTAGATCTCCCAGGATTGAGGGAAACACGGGACGACGTCGGTCTCGATGTGGATTAGATCCTGGTACAACCAGTCAAGGTTGTCCAAGAAAGCAGCAGGATTGCTCCCGTTGCTCGCAAACGCTTCGTCGAACGTCGCCTGGATGGACTCGCCTATGCATTTTCTGATCTTCGACGTGTAGTGCTTGATCACTCGGGCGTCCGCCTGCATTGACCTGAACTTCGCCGCTGCGTCCATCTTCGCGGCTTTCTTGACGAGTTTGATGGCTATGGCCTGATACGGGGTTAGTACAAGGAGAGGAGGTCATTGTAGTTGGATTCACCTTCTGGTCCTCAAGCCCCTCAACCTCTGCGATCTTCACTAGCTTCACCAACGTCTCCGCGTTGCCCTCCATACAGATCATGAGGATGTTCCGCGCCAGCGCGAGAATGTACTGTTCGAACCCTTCAATGAGGCCGTCGAGACGTTCGAATTGTCGCTTCAGCGTATTTCGGACGTCCGCACTGCTTTTCTTCGCCAAATGCATCGTCTCGTTGCGGAAGGCCTCCAGCCTTCGAATCTGGTAGTGGGCGCGGAGCAGATTGGGTGCGGGGCCAAGGATGTCCTGGCTGTCCGCCGTAAGCATGTCTTCCAGCATGTCCAGATGCATGTTCATGTCGACGAGGTTGTTCACCATCTCCTCCACCCGCTCGAAATTGCGATGCACGATGGACACCTACCCCGCGTCGTTAGCGGACTCCGCTGCGTGCATTCGATCTCGCACTCACTCTGCTGATCTGGTCAAACGTAGCGACCTGATTCTGGGGGTCGCTGCACAGTCTGTCCACCGTTTCCAGCTCATCCTTGACGGTCTGTACGTTATTCCGCGTACCGAAGACCTTCCGCAGGCCGTCCCGGGTAGCGTCCAACTGCTCCTTCACACCGCTCTTCAGCCTGGCGTCGATGGACGCCTTCTCCTTCTCGAGCTTCTTTCGGAATGCGGTAATTTTGGCGAGGTCATCTGGGAACTGCAGGTATTCGCCAACAGCCTGCGCGGCAGAAATGGTAGGGGCAGACATGGGCGCGGCCGCGCGCAGCCACCTGAGAATCAGCCGGTGAAGTTGTGATCAAGTTGTTATCGTTGGAGGCTGCTCGAAGAAGGCTTCGGCGATAGTTCTACAGCGTTCGTGGAGAGCAGTCAAACCAACGCGGCGTCGACAGGTGTTCATAAAGTACTGGGTCGTCTGGAGACAATAGACGGCATGGTCGCGACAAGGCGTTATTGTAGTCCCTTTAACGTTGCGGCGAGCGTCATCACACTGATTGTCTGCATTGCGGTTACCGTCCATGATAGCATGTTCACCATGTCCGCAGTCGTATGAATATAGTGCATGGCCATAGTTGTGGTGCATGGAGCATGCAGATGCTATGTCGTGTACCACTCAACGCAGTCAATCGGCAATATTATAGCCAAATGAGCTCTGGTACACCGCTGCCTCTCTTATTCGCTCCAGGGTAGAGAATGCGTTCGATCATCCCAACAAATGCAGAGCCAGCCCTTGGCAAAGAAGATAGAGGGGCATGCGGATCATGGAGCATGTCATATTGCAGTATGTCGACATACATAATGGGATGGCAGAAATGCGAGGAGAGCGATACAGAATCAAATCGTAGACGGGTAGAGCATCTGGGAGATATGTGAGCCCAACCAAGCGAGGGCGAATGTAGTCGTCTGATGCTTACCACACGCACGCTAGCCCCGAAAGCGTGAGGCGGGATGTTCGACCTGAACTTCGCTTTTACGACGCCCGAGTTGCCGTGGGGGCGAGTGACACGGCTACGTGGACCAAGTAAGCGTGAAAGAACGCATATGCAGCAAGATTCTCTTTACGCACCCCCAGATTACCCGCACCTTTGAGCCCTGGATCTCCCGCTTTGCCCGGTAAACGTACGCGACGCGCTATGTAGCCACGTCATCATAAGCAAGGGAAGCACCGCAGGCAATTACGACGTACCTTGCCGAGGTAGAACTGCGCGTCCTCCTTGGTGGCGACACCCTCGATCTGGACGAGGGAGGTGTTCGGGCGAGTGTTGCGCTTGGCGCGCTTGTGGCCGAGAATGCGTCCCTTCGAGTACAATCTAAAGGACCAGAGTAAGGGCCGAGGAGAGACAAGCCAGGCAAGAGGCAGCAGCAGCGGGTATAGTCATAGGTCGTCGCAGAAGAGTGCGTCTGGGGCACGGCGGTGTCATCCAATCCACCGACCATCCATCCACCGATTCTACACCTCATCTCCCAGCCAAACTCTTCAACTCACTCAAGACGACCCGCTACACTCTGTCTCTGATCAGCACGCACCTTGTAGAGCCCATTTTTGTCGTATTCCCGCCCGGTGTCGAGTGTCTTGAGGATGGCTACTGAAGTTTGCGATAGCGCCGGGTCGTACTGGTGGGAATCTCAGCGGCCAAATGAGGAAGGTAAGGGTAAATATGACCGTGGGAATTTCTGTTTGTTACCGCGTCAAAAGACATGTCAGACTGAATTCATTCTTCTCTTCTCAACCACTGATGCAGTAAAGAGCTGCACTCGGTCGTCGTCTTACCCTCGGCGAAAACGAGTAACGGAGCGGTGGGAGAGCAAAGTTCCCCTCGGGTCGCCGTCTGTCTACAGTCTGCTTCTCGCTTCTCGAATCCCCTGTATTCGTCGAAGATCGTCTACTCGAGGGCAATATACCATTGGAGAGCTGAGCGTGGATCCGAGTCTGCTGCGTGAATCACCTATCCCGGTACGAGTCAATTTATAGGAGTCAGTACGACGAACCCAATCTTGCGCCCGTATATATGAAAGCTAAGTTGAGGTGTTCTTCAAGTTCTCTACCCTCATGGCTGCCCGGCTGCCCTCAGTGTGGAAGCGCTTTTCGTCCACCATCACTCCCCGTGCAGCCCCGCCAAAGGCGCACCACCATGCGCCCATACCTGACAGTGCGTTTCCTGCAGGCTACGCGGTGACCGGTCTGCACTGCGGCATCAAGAAGACCGGTGCGCCGGACCTCGCGGTCATCCTGTCGACCTCTCCTCGCCCGACGTCCGCGGCAGCGTGCTTCACCCGCAATGCGTTCAAGGCAGCCCCAGTCGTCGTCTCTGAGGAGGTGCTTAATGCTAACGATGGTCGTGCCCGGGCGATCGTGGTCAACAGCGGCTGCGCCAACGCCGTCACTGGCAAGAAGGGCATGGAGGACGCTTGGTCGATGGTCCGCGCCACGGACGCGCTGCTCGAGTCACCGCCCAAGGAGAAGAGCGAGACCCTCGTCATGTCCACCGGAGTCATTGGCGTGAACCTCCCTATCTCGAAAATCCTCACAGGTATCCAGTCGCAGTCAAAGGAGGGCAAGACCCTCGGGTCGACGTTCGACGCCTGGGAGCGCGCCGCGAAGGCGTTCATGACCACGGACACCTTCCCGAAGCTGCGCGCGCACACGTTCACCGTGAACGGCAAGGAGTACCGGATCGCGGGCATGGACAAGGGCGCGGGCATGATCCACCCCGACATGGGCCCCCCACGGTCCTCCGGCCAGCTGCACGCGACGCTTCTAGGCTGCATCTTGACTGATGCCGCTGTCTCGTCTCGTAGCCTGCAGTCCGCCCTCACGTACGCTGTAGACCGCAGCTTCAACTCCATCAGTGTCGATGGGGACATGTCTACGAACGACACCATCGTGGTCCTCGCCAACGGTGCCGCTACTGGTGGCTCAGACACGCAGGAGATCGACGAGCAGCGCGACCCTACGGCGTATACGACGTTCAGAGATGCGCTGACAACCTTCGCTGCCGAGCTCGCTCAATTGGTCGTCAGGGACGGTGAAGGTGCTACTAAGTTCGTAACAGTATCCGTACAGGTATGTGCTATTCAACAAGGCGCCTGATGAACACCGTGCTGATTGACTGCCAGGGCGCAGCTACATATGAGGATGCTCACCGAATAGCATCGCGCATCTCCACGTCTGCTCTGGTGAAGACTGCTCTTTATGGCGAGGACGCTAAGTACGTAGCCACGCAAAATGCCATGTTAAAGCACTTGCTGATACTCACTACCTAGCTGGGGACGTATCCTGGCCGCTGCGGGAGCCGTACCTCTCTCCAAGCCTTTGGATCCAGCCCGTGTCAACGTCTCGTTCATCCCTACGGATGGCTCACCCGCCCTCCCGCTTCTCATCAACGGCGAACCCGAGACCGTGGACGAAGTGCGCGCAAAACAAATCCTCAGCGTCGAGGACCTCGCGATTCAAGTCGAGCTCGGGCTCGGCTCGCAGAGTGCAAAATACTGGACGTGCGACTTCAGCTATGTAAGTGTCGTTCTGCATTCTATCATGTACGTAGTGCGTGCGCTGACGATGGGGTGATATGATGCAGGACTACGTCAAGATTAATGGTGACTATAGGAGTTAGATATATGCTCGCCCGACCGACTGCACGAACCCAAAGGAGTGTCTGAAACCACATATAGCACGAAAGTACGGTAGATAAGTACAGTATAGGAAACGCGAACCATCCTGGTATATGTCCCTTTCATGAGCCTGGCGTCAAGATAGCCTGTGAATGGATTCGCGAACCCGCGGGTAGCAGGTGTTCACTTCGGGTTGGTCATTTCCAGACTAGCTTGCCGTTCTCGTCCACGTAGGCTGTCATGCCTCCGCTCACATTCTTGCTGCTCGGCTTGCTATACTGCTCTGCAATCTTCGCGCGCTCGAGCTCACGTTTGTGCTGCGCCAGCCGTGCTTGTCGCTCCGCCTCCGCATCTGCCTTTGCAGCCTTCTGATTTTCGCGCTTCGCCGCGTTTTGTCGCTGCTTCTTCGTCACCGCTTCTGGCGTGGTAGGCGCGGTAGCAGGTTTGTGTGTTTCTACATTGCAATTGAGGGTGACGTGTGGACAGAAAGCCTGAACGACGTACTGGAGCGACCTCGGCTTTTCACAACTCCCCAACCACTGTCGTCCTCTCCATCCGCATCATCAGCTGTCCCGCGCGAGTCATCCACGTCCTCGTAGTCAGCCCACGAGAACCCAGCAGCGGGCTTGTCGTTGGGGCCAGGCTGAATACGCATAACCCGAGCGACGGATGGGTAGTCGGGTGTCTCCAACATGCTATAGAAGTAACAAAACACGTCATGAGTCAATATAAAGGCAGATGGACGCGTTGAACGTACTCATCCACCCCTGTTTTCCGTGGCTTCGGCAACATCCTCTCCGCAAGTGTGCGTCGATTGTCCGATGTCGAGGCCTTGGAACCGCCTGCATCTTCCTCGTCCGAAGCGGGAGCGACAGGAGACGAGTTGCCGGTGACTGACGTCGTGGTGACACCAGCATCGCTTGTCCCTGCATCTAACGGAGCAGTCTCCTGCGGGTCCTTCGGCCGCTTGGGCTCAACGCGAGTCCACGAGCCATCCGTATCGACCGGCGGCGCCACAGAGGCAGGCTTTGGCGTCGACGCCTTCCTTGCCCTCGCAGTGGGCCTCGTGGGGGCCGCGGCGGACGATTCAGGTGCGGTCGCAGAGGAGTCGGACATCGCGTCGACCGGACGCGACGCCCCCGCGCCAGACGCGCCCGTTTTCTTGCCTTTCTTCTTCTTCGACTTGGCTGCCTTCGGCGCAGAGTCGGGCGTTGCCTCTGTATCGTGAGGCGCGGAGGATACATCGAAGCCGCCAGGCACTACCGGCGGGAATTGCATGACGGTAGGGTTCGCGGCGGGCTTCTCTGCTGGCGGAACAAGCTCTGCCCCCGCTTTCTTCTTCTTGTTCTTCTTGTTCACGGCAGCGGACGCAGGCACAGGTGCCGGGTCAGGGTGTACCTCGGAGCTGGATGGCTTGTAGCTGTACACGACAGCAGCTCCGGCTACTGCAAGCGTGGCAACAAGGACTTCAGCGACATGGCTCTGAGCAGATCCCATGTTGACGAATACGAATGAATGGAGAGCACAGCAAGGGTGACGGTGTGAGCAACGAGCAACTGCGTGTCAGGTACTAGTGCCGGTGAACGGATGGACAGTTAATGGCTAGTCTGCTCAACAGCAGTAGGCGGATACACAGAACAAGCGACTGACGAGGAGGCAGGGAGGAGAGAGCGGACACGGACACGGCAGAGCGGACGGCGAGTGTGAGTGAGTGAGAATGGGCGGGACTGCCGTTGGCTGTTGCTCCCGGCTCTGCCGCAATCCCAATTGTCCCGTCACGTGCAGCGACAATACGTGTGGGTCCCCGTAGCGTTTGTGTCGCTATGTGCTCGACAATATGTGAGTACTTCCTGTTCGGAACTTCCACCGCGGTATGCATGGATTTGGAATCAAACCATGATCCTCCGGTTCCACTTCATATTCGTACAAACGTACTGATACACATATGCTGTTCTATTCACTTACTCCAATTCCCCCAGTCCGACTCGAACGACGCGCGATTGAAACGGGGTGAGACACATGTCGTCGCGTAACAGTTTGTCTTTCTCCCAATCAGGCATACCAGCCAGAGCGACGAGGCATTTCTTGTTAACAAGACCTGCGCTGATGAACCTCTGCGTAAGATCTTCTAGGGTTGGGTTGAGCGATCGTAAGAATTGGCGGACGGTCTCCTCGCGAAGCTTAAAAGGCGATGTTTTGGGCGGAGGAGGGGGCGCGTTGACTTGAACACCAGATGGTGCTGGAACTGCTGCGGGACTGGCACTAGGAGCTGGCCCCACACGCGCACGGGGGCGCGACTGGCGTTATGGTATGAGCCACTGCATGCCCGCTCTCAACTTCGAGTTACAGTCTTTACTCACCTGCGACAGTGCAATTGACGCGGATGGTGCAGTCGATGTAGCTGATGCACTTGAAGAAATTGTGACCTATCGAGTTGTTCGTCGTCCCATGAGGGATAAGAAGAAACGTGTGCCCAAGTCCTGGCCTACCTGAGACTGTGTGGAAGTGTCGCGCAAGCGGCGAGGTGCATCATTTGCATTGCCATCTCCTCCAACGCCCGCGACCGCCCGATTGGAACGCACACTGTTGGTACTAGTAGCCTTCCGCGTGTGAAGCCACTTCGTCCTCGAAAGGTGTCGCCTCACGTATGCCTCCACTGGCCAGGAGTCCTGAAACTTCGTTACAAACGGGTGGCTTTGTACAACCTTAATGGAGCCTATTGAGCGTTGTCGTGCTATCGACGGCCTCACAACTCATTGCCAAGTAACTGACCTTGCGGAAAAACTTTTGCCACCGCTCCGGGTCTTGACTGTCAAGATTGCGACTTGTGTCGAGGAATTGTTCCGCGAGAGAGCGCATACTATTCTGTGTGGCGACAGAATGACTCGCCTGAGGCAGGCGTTCACCACATGAGACGTACCGAAAATTTCCTGTATATAGGGTCCCTCCGGGAGATACCCATGGCCGGGCAAATAGACCTCGGCATAGACGAAGGTTTCGCCCAGTACTTCCTGTTCCCAAGTTCTGTGCACGAGGAACATTTACACGTCGATGGTTGACCGCTGCCGGACAGGGAATACCCACCTGGCGCCGCCGACATAGCGGGGGTACACTTCTGAGTTTCGTCGCTTCGGGGGGAAGGGGGACAAAGGAACTCGGATCCGCTGGTTCTTTATGTCAGCATTATATATCCAATCTGATTGGTACCGGGACCGGGGGTTGAATCGTTGAGCTGAGTTGGAGACCTACTGCGAGGCAGACATTGTGTCGGACATCGAGCCTTCAATAACCTGCGTTCACACGTGAGCCCGAGATAGCAGGTGCGGATTGACGGGCATTTCAACACCACCGTATGAATTCAAGTCCGCGATAGCGGAGAACGCCTCGAGGCTCTCCACTGGCCACGAGTTGGGACGCATGGCGAATCATGTCCGAATCGCTACGGCTTCGTGTCAATGCCTATCCTGGACTGGTGTACGCCAACTGTTTCGTACCTTGCCATGCCGGTAAGCCGGCTCCGACGTACCTTGAAAACAACCCAATAAATGAGTAGCCCTCGCACACAAAAACCTGGCTGTGACTTACTGAACTTCACGGTGATAACACAACTTGGGATTGCATCATGCGTTGTCACTCCGCGTTGAAATGCAATGATAGATAGACGTCAGACACGGACACGTCTTCTCAAAGCAACGTGTTTTTCTCCCCAAGTGAGCATAGCGGCGAGAGTGACGATACCCGCAATACTTATGACTGAAAAGTTCTAGATGAGAGCTTCCCGATTCTGACTGACTGACTCAGCGGGGGAATGTGCGCGATCTCGGTCACTGGTCTCGGCCGCTGTGACGCCTCCTACTGGCTTCGGTTTTCGAGACTGGTTGAGCCACGATATGGTGTGATAACAACGTAGTTGAGTGCATCGAGAATGCCTTCTTCGACAAGAATGTCACGGTAGCGATCCAGGACGATCACGTGCAGAGATTACTCAGGCCGTAGTCTGTCTCAGTCGAGGTCAGTGCTTCGAGGATCGACACAAGATAGCAGAGAATCTTGAACACGAACATGAGCTTGAATCAAGAACAACCGTAGCACGGTAGCAAACAATCCAGAGGTGTCATGTCTGTCATGGTATAAGTAGCAACGATTGCATACCAACTCAACTTTAGCGCGAGCTGGCAGGCAACGGACGAGTAGAGCTGGAACCGTGACAGGCGGCATCTCTGCTCGATGATCCTCGGCGGTGTGTGTTCTGGGTTTTGCGGTATGGGCACTGGAATCTGTCTACGGAGCTCCAATCAGCCCGACTTCAAGCTTCACACATGGGTTGAAGATAGCACGACTAACGAGGTGAGGATCGAGACAGCCTGGCTACCTTTGTCATTCCTGGGCGGCACGATTGAGATTCGCAAAGAATACACAACGATCTTCACTGCCCACGCACGGGGTACTGGGATGTATTACGTCGGGCTACCGTTGTGGTATCGTCTCAGCACATCTTGTGGGTGCCCGACTACCTGAAGAAGATGTTATTAAAAAGCGACGCCTATACAACGTCAGGAAGCCAAAACACGTACCCGGCCCGACTCACGTACCTTAACGCCACAGCACTCTTCCCGTGGAGATGCACAAACTAGTCTTGCTAACAGCTATGCACATAACGGTAACACAAGGTCGAAGTGCGACAACGCTTATTCCGATTCGTTTCGTACAGCACTCACACACTCATCTACGGTTACATCAGGTCTGCGAGTCCGACGCGAACGACCCGAGACTGGAACGCCGTAAGGGACATATCATCCCGGAGCAGCTTATCCTTTTCCCAGTCGGGCATGCCCGCGAGAGCGACGAGGCAGGTTTTGTTAACAAGACCCGCGCCAATGAACTTTTGCGTGAGGTCTTCTAGATCCGGGTTCAGCGACTGGAGGAAAGCACGGATGACCCCATCATGAGGCTCGCACGGTGCTGTACTGGCGGAGGCGGTGGTTTGGTGGCGGGTCATAGTCGGGGCCTTCCCAGAACGGGCGGTCTGAGTGGTTTGGACCGTTCTCACCTGGGAGAGAATGCGATGAGTGCTCATGCACGCGAGCGGTGGCGGACTCTCACCGATACAGACGGACCCGCTGAAGGCGTGTCACGATATGTGGACTCAGAGTCAGACGCCGTACTAGAGCTCGACGACTCAGCAGGCGACAGGACCTGTGGGAGGTAATTCACATTCAATGAACGAACAAGGTATTTCATCCCCTTGACTTACCCTTCTCGATTGGTAATGATATGGGGTCCGAACCGCGGCATTCCTCGGGCTCCTGCGAAGCCGCTCACTCTTGTCTCGTTGATCCTTATTGGCAAGCTTCATCGCTTGTTGTGCTCCCACCGCGTCTTCTCGAGCCAACGACGGATGTATCCCTCGATAGGCCAGGCATCTTCGTATTCGGTCTTGATGTACGGAAACCGGCTTACGACCTGCGCCCGGGACAAAAGCTGTGTTAGGCACCTGTCAAAGTCGAAGCCATACTGGTCACCTCGTTAGAGAATGCGGTCCACCGCTCGGGGTCTTGATCTCGAAAGTGTTGCGACATATCTAGATGGTCCGACGCAAGCAACCGCATGCAGCTCTTTGTGATTGAAAGGCCAATTCAATTCAAGGAGACTTGACCTCATAAAAGCAACGCACTGTAAACTGAGTGAAGTTTGGGTCCGTACGACCGAGTCCCATCGCCTGAGACAATGAACTCATTTTCGTTATTCTCTGAGGACGTGGCCAAAACTCTCTCCGTGGACCTGCGGATTGCTTCACAGTGAACAGATAATCACGACGTCGCGGAACATACCATGCGTCGCCGAAATGGTTTCTGGAGCAACACTCATCTACTTGCAGTGGTATGCTGGCTGAGTGAAATGGGGGGATATCGTTCAGCGGTGTCCAGGAAGCCCGATTATATCAGTATCCGGGGACATCTGCACGCGTACGTGATAATGACAAGATCGACGGAGTATCGAGATGAACATGACCTGCGTGCAGGATCCCGCGAAGCGGAGTAAGCTTCCTGACCGCCCACGAGCAAGGACACGCGTCAATATCAATTCATCGACGACATTGTACGCCGTCGAGTCCTGATCTCCTGCAATGCCGCCTTATCATGCGACCGTGGCAGTGGTACGGCAGGAGAGTCTAGCCCTGTCACTTGCGATATCAAAGGACCGTAGAACGTCGCGTGGAAACGGGATGCACTGTGAAGCGTGCGGACGGGAGTAATTAGTACGACATTAAGACCCAATCTACAAAGTCATTTGTGTCGCCAAAAGCCCGTTCTGCACGAATGCCCTGGGGTTCCCGTCAGCCTCGGCATACTTAGACATGAACAGCTCGTCGTTTGGCACTACACCACACCAAGATCAATCACAAGAGCCAGTACAAAGAGGACATCACGCACCAGATCGCAGCTCATCGTTGACGCGCACTTCGCCCGTGTGCAGCGCCTTGTCCTGCATCCAGACCTCAAACAGCGACGCGGCTTCGCTGACGCTCATGCGCGGCGACACAGGAAAGTTCTTCAGGCCCCGCGCGAACTCCGTAGTCTCCGGTGAGCGCTTCGTGTATGGCCCTGCAGGACGTGGCGGCGGTAGACCAAGGGCCTCGCACAGCTCGAGTGGCATCTTGAACGCAGTATGCTGGGTGCCTGCTGCTCCCATGACCGCACCACGCGGCTGAGTAGAGCAAAGTATGAGGCGTTAGCAGCCTGCAGGAAAGTAGATGGAACGTACGAAAGCCTTCTTGCCGCTCGCGTACTCAAGGATCATTCGCGGGATCGCCAGGTGCTGCGCCATGATTTGCCGGTAGTGCGCGTCACGGTACAGACTGTAGCCGTACATAGCCTGCATATCGTCTACGGCGAGCAGCACAGGATATCTATCGAGCGATAAGCCGACACCCAGAAATGATAGACGGATACTTACGTTGACTGGTGCGACAACTCATCCATCAGAACAGCCAGAACCACAGGCGCATTGACCGGGTTCTGTACGCCTGCTTTCACAAGCTCGCTAAGAGGGGAGCCAGCGGGTACAGGAGCGTCTTCCAGCGAGACATGCTCCCGAGTCTTGAGCGTTTCGATGAGCCGCTCGTTGACACTAAGGAACCTGCGGAGCAGCTGATCGGAATACGCTGGCTGAGAATATGTCCGCGTTCGCGCGTCATAGGCATAGTCCTTAGACGAGTCAACGAGGTGCAATCCTGAGAAGCATTAGAGGGTGCGTCTGCTCATAGAGAGACATCATACCTCGCGGGATGTACATCACGATCCAGTCACTATGTGCTGCATATTCTACTGTCTGCAGCAGTAGATAGCTCTTGCCACAACCAGTCGGTCCGGCTACGAGGCAGCGTTAGTGGTTTTCGCAGCGAAGAGGTAGCAAGACTCGCTCATGATCAGTCTAGTGTCCCGACTTGACTTGTCGCTAGCACCGTCCAGAACGTTCAGTGCGCTGATAGTGACGTCCCTGACGACAGAGCACGGCCTTGAAAGTATCCGGAACTAGTCTTGTGCGTCAGACAGAGTAGTTGAGGATGAAACAGGGGCTTACGTCGCGAAGTGCGCTGTCCGGAACACCGAACGCACGCATAGCTTCATTCTGCGAAGCCGGGAACGCCAGGGCCTTTCCGACAGAGTAATTCATAGCCTCCTAAAAGACAGACGTGAGACCTTGCACCAGTGCTCCCGTAGTGCGACATACAGGCGAGAACGTGGGCAGCTGCAGCTCCAAGCGCTGATCAGACTGGAAGATGCTCTTCGTAAGCTGGTTGACCGATAAAGGCATATGAGTCTGTGATAGATGTTTGGTGAGCAGTGGCACGAGAAGAATGAACATGACCACACACAGGGCCGGCGTAGGACTTCTTCTTCGCTCCTGGATCGTTCTTTTTACCCTTGAAACTTTGCCCTGTGGAGCGTGTGAGCGATATGCCAAGTCGCCTCGAGGAGATCAGAGGAGTATGAGATAAGTTAGAAGTGCAGTAGTGAGAATAAGTGTTGCGAAGCGTCGAACCCGGCCACTTGATTAGGATTGGAGAGAAGGACTGTCAGATTCAATTCGGCCAGTCAAGGTAGCCCTTAACCAGTGTCGCGAACTCCACAGATCAGCCAGAACTTCTCTATTGAGTCAATCCCCGTGTCATGTAGGCGCGAAGTCAATCAGGCGGGTGCACGCAAGGTCGAAGCATCCGAACATCGACGTCCCGGGCCGGTAAATGAAGCCATGTATTTTGTGTATGCAAGGGCCTTCGTCCCCGGCAATGACAAACGGTACGTCGACAGTGGTGAGTCGCCGCAAACAGTATGCGCACGGTGTAAGTCGCTGCAACACCGTACTCTGGGTTCAGGCCCGCTGTCGCAGTGTGGACAGTGAGGTGAATCAAAAGGTCGCACTCACGCTGCACCGGCCCTGTCGGAATTGTCTTCCGCACCTTGGCAGGCTTTGGCTGAGCATAGCCTCGCGTCTGTCCTCCAAATGATAGGCATGACTTGCTGCTGGGGAATGGCGGAGTGAAGCGGAGGCTACAGCGGGCGGTAGCTAGAGAAGACATCGTGGTTGTCACCAAAGCTAAGACCCTCAAACTCGCCTAAAACCCAGGGGATGGTGCAAGCCAAGAGAGCAAAGAAGGCGACGCAGCAGCAAGACCAGCAGGACCGGCAGCGAGTTGGTTGGTAGTGGCGAGCACTGACACTGGCAGGCCGCAGGACCGATCTAGCTGGTGTTTTCTAGCACGTGACACACGCGTCGCGCGAACGCCCGACGCGTTCACTAGCATATTGAAGCTCCTGTTCGACAGACTCTTAGGCCAGTGCATTTCAATATCTACCATGCTCAAGAAGCTGCATCTGTATACCTATTTACATACTGTAACAATGTATCATTCGTAATGGAACGTGGAATGCGATGTAGGAGGTTGCACAGGAGGCCAGCGGTTTCATTGTCCGTGGAAGATGATACGTAAGTTAAAGGAAAGGAAAGATGTACATACATGCATGCGTTACGATGCGCCTGCATTCCGCGTCTGCTTTTTCGCAGTGCCGATCGTGGTGTTGTTGACCTATGTCGCGAACGGACGTCTATCAGAATAGGCACAGGTAAGCATCTGTAGAGACTGACCTTGGTCGCGAAACGCAAAGAACAAAGAGACTCGTTGAGGTGGGTGGCCAGCGGCGAGAGGTTCAATACCATCTACGAAAGGCCTGTCAGTGGGTATTTCACGGTCAGGAGCAATGCAGACGTACCAGCGTCTTCGAGTTGCCGCTCAGCGAATTTTGAAGCAGGTAGGTCAACTGAAGGTGAAATATTTAGCGCACTTCAATCATCAAAATAGGACAGACCGACCTTCGAGTTCCTGTAGGGAATGTGCTTGTCGTTCTTCCCCTCGCCTTTCTCCCCGAGTGCAGCGACCACGTCACCCAGCGCGCTCAGACTTTTATTGATATTCTGTGTCTCGCGCAAGCGGTCCTTGTCGCCTGCAGCGCCGCTCTTCTCCAGCCGCTCGCTGCCCGCAAGGTCAACGAGGTTCAGACTGCCCTCGCACGCCTCACCCGTCAGCGTGTTATTGCCGCGGATGCGCAACGTGAAGACGGAATGCGAGCGCGACGAGCGCTCGTTCATCAGCGTCGCCGCGACCGTACGCCGGGACTGCGCGAGCGAGAGCAGTGTGCGCACTTGGGCGGCAGTGGCGAGCGGAACGACGTTGACATCCGTCACGGTCGTGCGCCCGGTCTTCGAATCATGCTTGATCTCGTGCCTTTTCTTGTCGAACTCTCCCTTGCCAAGCAAATCGTTGATCGTCTCGTTGTACTGTGGCCAGGGTGAGGATGCGTCAGGCTGACGATCAATGTCACTCACAATTTCGAGGAACTGGCCCTCCATCCTGTACTCCCAGCCCTTGTTTCGGAGTTCCTCGGCCACTCTGAAGACTTGCTCTACAGCCCTTGGGATCATTCCCGCGGTAGCATCCGTCTGGGTCTCGTCAGCGCAGAACTCAGCTAAAACAGATCTCGCTTACCAGTCCACCCTCCATGGTGAAGGACTTGCCAGACCCTGTTTGGCCATATGCAAAAACGCAAACGTTGTACCCGTCTGTACAACTCTGCGCCAGCTGAGAGATCTCCTCGAAGACCTCCGCTTGAGTGGAGTGTGGTTCAAATACCTAGAGAGGCGTCAGGCAACCGTTGCCCCGTGATGAGGGAACATACGCACGCGATCGAATGTGAACGCCCACTCGTCCTTGCGTTCCTGCCCAGTGGCACTCTCGCTGGACGAACTCAGCAAGATCTCTCTGTGGTCCATCTTATCCGGGAACACAACCTGCGCCTTTGCGTCCTCCCTCCGCTTGTCATCTTCCTCAGGATCAGGAGTGCCATCGGGCGTGGACGCTCCGTCCGTAGAGGATGTAGAGGTGATCAAGCCACGCGGAGGCAAGTCGGAGGGAAGCAGCGGGCGCACACGACAGAAGACACGGATGTTCCCCTTCAGCTCTTGCACCATGTTATGCAGCCTCCGCCGCACGCTCTCCGCCTCGCGCGTCTCCTTCTCGAGCTCGGCGATCCGCCTGCGTGCCGCCTCCAGCTCCATAGTCAGCCCAAGGCCGCTCCTCGAGCCCGCATCGATCTGCGCCTGCATCGCGAGCTGTTGTGCCTGGAAGGCCGTGATCTGCGCGGTCAGCGCGACGTGCGCGTCCGACTGGTGCGACAGAGTGGCTTTCAGGCTCTTCACCGTCTCGCGCTCTCTCTCCAGGTCGTCCTGGCACATCCGGAGCTCCTCCTTCAGCTCACGCACCTCGCGCTCCTTCCTGCGCATGTCCGCATCCCGATCCTCGAGTTCGCGCGTGTGCCGCCGCCGCAGCTGATTGATCTCATCGCTCGCGTTGTCCAGCTCCTGCCGTTGAGCGAGCTCTTGCGTCTTTGCCGCAGCGAGCTGCTGGGCCATGGCCGTCTGGTTGGATTGCAGTTCGGCGACCTTGGCACGCTCGGAATCCATCGCGGCCGCGAGTCGTTCGGCATCGGCAGCGCGAGCGGCCTCGATAGAGGACACCTGGTCCTGCAGGGACTGAAACCGCTTGTCTTCAGTGGTCGCTGACCTTGTTGTCCGCGTCGCGGGTCGGGTGGCAGTGGGTCGAGTAGGGGCAGCAGACTTTGGCGGCGCACTCGTCGCACGCTCCGTGCGCCTCGTCGTCGTCAGTGGAGGTGCCCTCGGCTTTGTAAGGGGTGGTGGTCCTTTTGCAAGCCTGGACGCAGCAGGCTTCGGTGGACGCGTGGGTTGATTTGGATCGGCCTCTGCGATGGCTGGGAGCTTCCTCGGTGGCTCCGGAACGTTCGCGTTTTCATCGTGGGCAGCCTTCCGCTTGAGCGAGGCCTGTCTGAGCGCTGTCGTAGACATCGAGGGCGCTATACGAGGGCCGAGTTGGTCGTCCGAAGAGTGCAAGCGTGGGAGGCGGGACATGGTACTTAAGCGAGAAGTTCGAAATGGACGAGCGTCGAGCGCCCACAAACCGAACTAGGTCACGTGATCGCGTATTGTGGCCTCTCAGGACATTGACACCTGGGACAAGCGTTCGACTGCTTCATCGCGTAATGGCCATTCTATAAGACCTATGTAAGTGGCATTCCGATGAGTCATTGTCGCGACAGACTACTGCCTGTCCAATGAAGGAGCGATATGTACAACTGGAAATGCAGGATGTTTCCGCCGTCCACATATAGGTACAGTTGTCCACCGTAGAACATGCAGGTAACGAGATGTTGTTGCCGTGTTATCACATCTTGTCAACGCACCACTTCAATGAAATGGCGAGCCGTTCATCCGCCTAGCCTGCGAGAACCTCCCATATATAGCTGTAGTCCCCACAGGCTACCGTTTGACTGCCTTCAAACCACGACGTTGGCTCAGAAAACGATATATTGTGCCTGACATAATTAACATCGGTCAGTGAGGATACAATGTCATAGATAGCTTCACGACATGAACGTGGCTCACGATAGTGCCCTTCAAGTCGAGCGGTCACAGTCGTTAAGTCACACTGGGTCTTGGCGATTGTCGAGTAAGGGCTTCCTTCTTGACTTCACTCGCCCACTTGAAAAAGTTACACCGGTACTCGTGGTTCACTTCCTCGCGAAGGCGTTCGCCTTTGCCTTTGTCATATCCAGGACCTACGGGTCTGATGCACCACTCGTTAACACCATCAAGATGAACAAGACAGAAAGACGTACCGTGAGCACAGATAGAATTTCTTGCCTTTATTGGGTCCTGGCTTGTTCACCGTCCATAGCTTCGCCGGCTCGCTGTGGACGCTGCAGTTTGGTGGTTTGAGCGGCGCAAAGAGGCCGGCCCACGCGGTTTGTTCTGGGAAGCGGATGGTTCAGTCTCCACCGCAGATGCCTCCGACAGTGATACTCGTGAGCCAAACGATAGTCTGAGTCGAGTTGATCGTCCGCAGTAGCCTCCGCGCTCACAACGTCCGATGACCGGGGTTGCGAGGTTCATCGTCATCCACGACGATGACCTCTTTGGACGGTGACTTGGAAGTGCTGGCGGATGGTTTGCCGAAGAACGACGAGATGTTCGATTGCGATGGATCCTGTTTTCGCTTTTTGCTGGAGTTACCGGACTTGTCCACGGGCTTCCTCTTTGTGGACACAGAAGGGACCTGGCGTGCGGCAGTCGCTTTTGAGCCGCCTTCGATTGTCCTTGTGAAGACGCAGCAGCTGTCACATTGTTTTCGGCAGGAAGTGCTGATGTTGACATTGTCGACGAAGATTGTGACGGCGGCAAGGAAGGTGTAGGAACCATCACAGCGTCGGAAGGAGGTGAGGTCTCTGCGGCAGGCGACTGAGCGCTACGTTTGCCGAAGAAGCTGGAAAGCATCGTCTGTTTCCCGGCTAGCTCCTCCCAGTACTTTGCAGCTATTCTAGGAGGCTGCATACCTTCCGTCTGCTTCATCATGTCTGAGAGCTTGACTGTTTCTCCGGAATCAAGCGCGAGCTCGTCGTGTAGGTCAACGTAGATGGGGCAGTGGTCGGAACCTTTAAGCGAAGCCTGATGTCCCCATGCTTGACCCAGGGAAGCAGGCCGCGCGTGACGAGAACGTAGTCTATGCGAGCGCCATAATTCGTCTCCCGGGCCTGGAGCCTCGTGTTCCAACCTACGCTTGATCAGTGGCCAGTCGTACGGACAAGGGCTGTCTCACACGTGAACATGCCCTTCCTGTCAGGCCAGAATGGTCGTATAGCGTCGACCATAGGTCCGTCGGGTTCCAACCACTTTCGCATCCACTCTCGGGCAGGATGTCGTACCAACTCGCAGCGTTGCTCGGAAGATTTCCATCAGCGTGATCCAAAGGGGTTGCAGAGACGTTGATGTCCCCAAGAACCATGACTTCGCGATGTTCTTCCTCGACGAGTTTCCGCACGCGCTCCTGAAGCATGAGATGAAAGTTCATCTTGAATGGCAACCGCGTCTCGGTCGTCTCAGCCGGGCAGTAGACGTTGATCAGAACAAACAAGCCGAAGTCCAGACTAGAGCACGACCTTCGCTGTCAAGCTCATCGAGACTAGACGGAACATCGGACTGTTCGTCCGAGTAAAAATCAATGTGGTGCGGTTGGGGATACGAAGGTGAGACGCGCTCTTCCTCAGACAGCGGTGGCTTAGGCTGAAGCATACCCGAGAGACCTTCTTCTGCTCTGAGAGGCGTCACTCTCCTCGAGTTGGTGTATACAGCGACGCCGCTATATCCGCCCTTGTTGATCGGGAAGGAGAAGAAGGAGTGATATTGACCTGGTAGGGCGGCGTCTCGTTGCAATGTTGCACGCGAGGACTTCATCTCTGCCCCTCACGTTCAGACACGTACTGAGCACGTTTAGAACGAGATGACACACCCTGAAAGCAGATGATATCCGCATTTAACGCGTCGAGGATCTCTTCGCAGGTTTTGAATGTATTCCATCTGTCGCAAGGTCAACATTGGTACGCGTACGAACGCCCAGAGATACTCACGGATGATACTTTGGCAGGGTCCGTATGCCATTCTGTTTTTTTGATCAGTGAAGTATAGATGATAGCATGTTGGAGATGACTTACTATATTCCACGAAATAATGCGCATCGTTCGAGGTCGCAAGCTCCGAGTCTGCGCTCAACCGGGGCAAGGGGCGATATATTACCTCTTCCAAGGAGTGTGATAAACCAGTGAGAGAGGTGCTGTGTCGCTGTCACTGCAGTAGGGGAGACAACGACGCAATGCTAGTGAGTGGTAGCTGCTAGTGTTACTATGTAGGCGACGCGCTGTCTAAGCGCTCGTACTCAGGAGGAGCGGTTCATCCCGATCGAGGATCGAAGATCCTATTTGCTTATGTCAGCATCCCCAGAGGTCGTGCTCACTGCTCAGTAACATCGCCCCGGCTCCCGACCTCGTTTTGCGAACTTGCATCCTCCACACCAGCCTTCATCACAATATGGGCCGTCTTCGTCGCTCAAGGACGCATCACGCCCAAAGGGATGTCCATCGTGCAGCAAGGACAAGGGTGCGTCGCACGTTTTCTGAATCACGATCGTACTGAAATTTGAGTCTTCAGGCTCGTACAAGAGACATTGATCAGATCCAGTTGATTGATTTGGACCCGAAGGTGAGCTGCTGTATGCGACTATGTTAACATCTTCTCATGCATCCCCAAGAACCGAGCAAAACTCGAGGCACAACCTCTGGACTTAGAAAAACCAGGTCTCGCGCAGCACTATTGTGTAGAATGCGCAAAGTGAGTTCCAGAGCATCATTTGCAACCCATGGTACTTATTACACTGCTCTTTCCTTCCTCAGATACTTCGAGACCGATGCAGCATTGCACTCCCATTGGAAGAGCAAGGTGCACAAGCGGCGGTGTAAAGAGCTAAAGGAGCCAGCTTATACCATCGAGGAGTCAGAACGTGCTGCAGGTCTCGGGAGAGAAGAGAAGCGGACTTCTACGACAGTGGCGCCGATGGTTATTCCTATACAGCAAGATACATGACGGAGTTGTGGTATCAGTGCGTGCCTGTACCGTACGTTTGGTTTGGTTTCTATCCTATGTCTCCCTTTTTTGCTGCCTGAATCACGAGTGTCTTCTGGCGCACCCGCCGGGTATGGTTGATGCTGAGCCCAACACGTACGGTACGGTGGAGAATTGATGAAACTCGGGAATCGGTATTACAACGCACTACATGAAATCCATACGACTAGAGTGAAGCATTTTCGAGACCGGCAACTACGTGAGTATCAGTCCTCCTCGTCCGAGGGATCATTGATCTCTTCTCCAGATCGGTGAAGGTCCTGATTATCCTCTTCGTAGATTCCCTCTGCTCGTAAAGCGTGGACGACGTCGAACACCCACGTCCTGGTGTCGTAGTCTGGATCGTCATTCCTGATGTCGACACCCTGTATGATTTCCTCCACGCGTCCGAGGATCTCGGAGCTGAACTTGGAGACCTCCGTGCTTTCGGAAAAGGTTGCAGACAGTTCGTAGCGGACGCCTTCCTTTTTCTCGTAGCAGTACTCGCCCGTGCTACCATCAAGGCGGTAGACGTTGCCGAATGCTTCCCTGCGCCCGAACTCGGACGTCATGCAGGTGCGTATCGCCAGTTCCCAGTTCATCGAAGGCTCCGACGCGCCACCATGTTGTACAACGAAGACGGTATACGTGTCTGGTAATCAGAGTCGGTTGGTGAGGGAGGCGGCTCGGGATGGTCGTCTCCAAATAAAGTCGATGACTCCGCGTTGGAGAGGCCAGAATCGAGCGTGCCTTCTGAGCTGTTGGACTCAATGGGCGAGGGGAGGGACGTTGAAGATTCCATCTCGAGACTTTTCTGAGAACAAACGACGGTGAGTTTCACGCTAGCCCATGTAGACTTGTTTGTTACCTACAATTTTGCTGATTTTTGTGCGTCTGGTCCGGGGACAGGCTGTTGGAACGTTGCCAGGACGCAGCCTCTTTATAGCCCAGGGGAGAGCCACTTTCCGCCCAAACAAAAGCCTCGTGGCCTGTGAGCGGCGGCCGGTCTAGCCACTCATTGCCGTTGGAGCTCGCTTGCTTTGGTAATTGCCACAAAGCGTCGCCACGAGCTTTGTCCAAACAATAAGGTCCCGGGCCACTCCCGTTCCCGTGGCGATGTGTGGCCTCAAAATGAGGCGACGAAGCTAGTTGGCCACCGCCCAGGCGCCACGCCGTAGGCTCCCGCCTATATAAGAGGTCGATGTCTGGGCAGCGTCGCCACTCGTAAGGCCTAGCAGCGGACAAGGAGGACGGCGGTCCGTCGTCTCTGCTGCAACGGGCCCGCCGTATCTCGCGTCCGGGTGTCGTTGGGCGTTTCGATGCCTACGACCTCGGTTGTGGAGGTTCTGCGCTACGAGGTGAGCCGTTGTCGTTCACGCGCAAAGACGCAGGGCATAGTGAAATGGCATTACAAACAGACGGACACACGGGCGCGTTACAGACCTCAAGACTACAGGATATAACTATCTACTTCGGGACACGACACGACGGGCGGACTTTTGGCGGCGACAGTACTACGAGGACAGGGGTGTGCGTACGACGAGCGGTGAAAACGGTGATAACATGGACAACTCGACAACCCGACGTAGCATGGGAGGGAAACCGACAGCCTAGTCGGAGTCAATCATTTTGTCCCAATTAGCCCTCACGGTCTCCATCGTTAGGAACATCGCCCTGAAGGTAGGCGGGAGCGTGACGTTGTATTTCTCCTGGCGCATCAGGAGCAACGCCTCCCAGATCCAGCTCTGGCAGCTCCAGGTCGGGTGGCCGTGGCGCAGAGGGATGGTGCGCAGCAACCGTTCAAGTTCGTCAAGCTGCGACTCCTCGATCGTGCCGAGAAAGTGACAGCCTGCATAGGCCTCACTCTTCGCGTACTCAACGTTCTTCTTCCGTTCGAAGCCCCACTGGCATCCTACGGCGCCCACGATATGGAATGCCTCCCCTTTGGATAAGGACTTGGGTGGCTTCTTCAACCGAACGGCGATCTCCCAGTGCCGAGGGGGGCGGGGACTGGCTCGGTGAGGGCGTTGCCGTTGGCGGCGTAGTGGCAGAGGTAAACGCGTTGAGGCATGAGGCGATGAAGCTAGAAGGGCAAGGTCGGTCTTATGTCTCTGAAGAACCAACGAGCGAAACTTACATTGGGGTTGTTATCGCCTAGGATGGGCTAGTGAGAGGGGGGCGTTCGAAGAGCCGTGGCTGGAAGCCGAGGCCGCCCCGTCTCCCCGCCTTATATCTCTTTGGGCGTAGCTCGCTTCGCGTGTTCAGACACCGCCGTACGTGGTCACTCGAATTAATGCAATATTGCAGGCGTATGCGGCTACGCGAGCAGGGAAAAGGCCATCGCTTTGATGGCTCGCGACTGGCCCCGATGGCAAAGTCAGATGTGAGGTCGGGAAAGCACGGCGCGGCGGGGGCCCCCGCTTGGCGATGTACTCGGTCGAGGCAGAATTCCCGCGGCGGCTCGTAGGAAATCCAAATTGGGTACAGACGTGGACGTCGCTTCAGACCCCCGGCCGCGGCGGCATTTCCGTGACTCGAGGTACATCACTCCGTTCCGAGGAACAGGCCTTCGGTGAACCGTGCCGATACCGGCTAACTCTGTGAAGACCCAGAACTACGGGATGAGCAGGTCCTCTGCCCACTGGGACGCTCCCAGTGCAGTCACCCGCCGATGTCGCCTCATGGTCCATACTCACGTCCACGGGCAAGTGATTTATCCATGTCTCAGTTGACCGATAGCAGGCTCACGTCCGCCGAGGCCCCCGCTTTCCAGTCCCTGAATCCAGTGGACCGAGACCGTCGGCTATACCTCTATCAACCACCGGACTCAAATCAGACGATCTCGGGGAAGGGGACGAGCAGCAGGGAATAGCCCATGGGGCGGGGGCGCATGGCACCTGGAGATAGGCCGCGATTCGTCCAGGAGCATCCTCGTGTCACCGCGACGGCGGTCGCACAGGACCGGGTGCATCCCCCGCCGCACCAGCTTAGCGCTGTGGCTTGCTCGCCTCGTGTCATGGCCCGCACCCTGGAATACGCGTCGCTCTCACGGGAACATCGACGCCCCCCCCGGGCGAAGAGACCTAGATGCGCCCTCCCCCGGGCTACGCCTCGTCAGCGAGAGTCGACAGGGACCCGCTGTCGCAGGACGAGTTTATACGCCTCGTACTATAGTAGTTAATGAACGGACCATGTACTTCAGAGTGGGCTCGGCGCGCAATTCTAGGAATGTCATCGATATGTCCCTTGGCAAAATAACGCTCGATATAGACATTGTATCCCATGTGAGACAATTGTGCCGTCGGTGACACAAGCAGAACCTCTGCGCCAATATGGACGCGTAGCCCGCTGTCAAGACCGTCGTTCAACGCCTGTCAAGAATGGATTCGTCTGCATATAGGCTCGCCCTCTTCCACCTTTCCCTCATGAAGAGGCTATCGCCTGCACCCCAGCCAAGCTTGCCTCTCCCTTCGTCGTGCACTTGTCGGATGCTCTGTCACTTTCGCCATCGGAATCAGGCTGCAGAAGTTGAACTCTGTCATCGGACTCGGGACTAGTGCGAGTCGCCTTCTGCAAAATTTTCGATGATTATCATTGGCATCCTCCTTTCCCGCGTCCTCCCCGCGGTACCTCGCTAGGTGAGCTGACACGCCTGAGTCTTACAACGCTGCGTTCGCTACACCACGAAGTCTCTGAATCAAACAGGATCGCTCCAATCTCAGACTCAACAGTGGCGGGCTGCTATAATTCCTCTGCTGACGCCGTGCTCCCCCACGGGGGTCAGGTCGCCGGTTCTCAAGGCCTCCCCGTTACCTGCTCAGAGGCTTCTCCCCTGTGGTGGTTTCTGCTCGTCGGCGCCGTTGTGGCAGGCTGCCGCCGCGATGGCGGTTGTGAACCCTACTACGTGTGCTCTGCGGCGATCTGCAGCCCGAGCTGGGCATACGTGCAAGACGCAGCCGCTGCGAGGTGAGCTGACACTACAATGTCGGGGCCAAGTGCTGAGGGACCCAGTTATGAACAGACGACTGTGGCGAGAGGCCTCTGAACCGCACGGGCCCAGTGCCACAGTGCTGCAATTGGCCAACGCCCCGCAGATCGTGCACGAATCTGATCGGCGTGCTCGAGCCGGAACTGCTCGCGGACTGCTCGCAGCCGCGGCACGGCCGGAGAGGTCTATAATGAGGGGCACGTGCTGGCTCATTTTCCGAGCGCATCCCATTCGCCAGAGTCCAGCACTCGTCTCCCGCCAGCACGCCGACCCGCCGCTCGTTGCATCCCCACTGTCGTTTCTGTCTGTCCTTACCCGTCCTCGTCGCCTCTCCAACCTCCTGCGCAGCCCCGTCTTCACCCGACCAGCGACCGTCGACGCGTCTCTTTGATTATCCTGCCTAGGCCACCCGGCGCCCCCAGTCTCCATACCTACGGCCTCCAGTCCCCTCCATATCCACACGTGTTGATTTCTGACGACATACGGCCCGCGTTTCATTTTACAAGATCTGTGGCGGCCAACGTTCATTTTGTCCGACCACACTCTTTGATCGCTGGAATGTAAGCCCTTCCTCAACCACTCCTCGTCGACCCGTCTTCCGACTCACGACCTCTCGTCATATAGGCTTTGCTAGTGCTTCGTGCAGTCCTATATGTTTGCTGCTTACGGCTCCGCACGACCTCTTTGATAATTGTGTATTGTGAGTGTCCGTCAGCCTGAGCGGTCGAGTCGTATGATGGACCTTGCACACAAGTGGAAACATAATGGTCTTCTCTACCTCTGACAAGCCTGGAGCAGCAATGCAACGCTCTCTCAACTCAACGCCCCGCCTCAATGGCTCAGCGCGTGGAACGCCGCTTGGGCCCCGCAAAGCACCTGACAAGCCCACCAGGCACCACACCATTGACGCATCATCACTCAGCACTTCATCGACAGTCAGATCGGCGTCGAATGCGAACAAATCGCAAACTGAAGGCGCGCGCGACGTACGTGAATGTCCATCTCCCGCTGCCGCAGGCCCGTCCACGGTATACAGCGCCTCTCAGCCATCGGACTCGCCGCTATCGACCGTCTCCGATACGCATTTCCCCAGCGTCAGCCACAGTGGGAGTTCGGGCTCCATGTCGCTTCTATCAAGCAGATCGCACTCACACGTGCCGGGTATGACTCTTCCAGCGCGGCTAGGCCCAGGGCGCTCGCCTCACCAGTTTCGTAAGGTGTCTGGCGCAAGCACCGATGGCAACCTCAGTGATGCGGGCGCGCACCTTGACTTCAAGCGACTCATGAGCAAGCCAGCCGTCCACACTACGTCGGGCTCGTCGATCATCTCCCTTTTCTCTGACTCCGAGCTGTCCACGTCGTCTCGCCAGTTTGCACAGGCTACAGCGTTATCGTTTGGCCTACATCCCGGCCAGCAGGACCGACTAGCCTTCAGGCCACAGTCCCGGAATTCGGTATCGCCCAACAATTCGCCCTCGCGTGAACCACCCCGGTCTAGCTCACGGACCTCACAGGCCATGTCGCCACCTCAAGTCAAGGAACCCCCGAGGAAGCCCAACGTCCTCAGGCGGCGACCCTCAACTGTGGACACGCTGAATACCACATCCCGCACATTTCACCCCAGACGGAAAATGCGCTCCATTGACGGCCTCCGATCACTAGCTACTGAAACAAGCGCAGTGCAACCTGGCACCTCGCGGAAGAACATGCCGTCCTCTGCCTCCGCCCTCACCCCAGCCAGTCAGGTCGCCCTTGCGTATAAACAGCAGGAGCTACGGCGCTCCGCGTTGGAGCAGATGTCGGGATACAATGACGACGTTGGACCAGAACTGGGTGAGGCATCGTCGAGCGCCAACATGGAACGACGGGAAGTCCGGCGAGGGGTGTCTCTGGAGGTTGCGGAGGAAGAGGAGACGACCGGACCGTACTATACGGTTTTCGGCAGTGGTACCGGACAAGTCGTCGCTGCGAGAAGCGCGTTCGTAGGTGACCTCGATTCCCCGGCGCGTGTCCCAGTGGACAAAGCTGGTGGCGAGCATGTCAAGAAGTCGAAACGCACGCTGTCGAGGAAAATGAGCGGGAGTTTCAAGAAGGTTGCCGATATCGTAAAAGGTGACCGTGAGCACCTTGGTCATTCCCGGGAGGATAGCTGGCGTCCGTATGGCGCAAAGCCGCCGAGGTCACCGAGGCCACCCTCTATCTTGGACGGACACGGGTCGTCTCCAAACTCTCCGACACATCCGTCGATACGCACCGCACGAAATAGCCCTCCCAGTTCGCATAGCCCTCGAAGTCTTCAGGACAAGGAGTGGCCAACAGGGCACGACAAATCCTTGGATACGGGTGCGGTGCGGGCCGGACCTAGCAGACTCGGCCATAACAAGGGCATGCAGAGTGAGCGGGAAGACGAAGGCGCCGACGAGGGCAAATGGTGGAAGCTCGTCAAGCGTATCAGTACTGGCGGGCTGCGGGACAAGTACCGTGAACGTCCGCGAACATCGACCCCGCCGCCTGTGCCTCCCTTGCCGTTGGACATGCAGAAGCTCGCGGAGTACCGTTCAACCTTCGATATCGGCCCTTCACCTAAGGAAGGCGTGACAGACGATCTCCCATTTCCGAAGCCGATCTCCGTGCAGGCGCGGTCTTCGGGCAGTGGTCGTCCGAGTACTGCGTCAAGCCAGAAGCGGTCGTCCCGGCATACGATAGCTTCGAGGCCTTCGTCAGCCAGCAAACATTCGTCGTCTCCATCAGTACAGAGGCCGGGCACGGCTACGCGCTCGTCTTCCCCCATCTCCTCTGAACCCGCCTCTTCAGGCTTCTTCCCGAAGACGCACTCGACACGGTCATCGACCTCGTCATATGGCGAACACGTTCCTCCTTTACCTGTCACTCAGGCGTCGACCGTTGGGCAACATATCGTGGCGCCTAGCGAGTTAGGGCGGCTTGACACCAGTCGGGTTGCGTCGAAGGTGTCGTCGAAGCGCAAGCCTGTCCGGTCAGCGTCTGAACCAAAGGTTGAAACCGAGCCGTACGCGAGCTCTGGGGACGAGAAGCCGCAGTCCCTGCGGCCACCACCACGGCGGTCGGGCACACCTCTACGCGACACATCATCACAGGAACGCTCCGCTTCGCCCACCCTACCGTCATTCAGCACAGAAGGCTGTGTAAACAACTTCTCTCCCGCTCCCATCTCCCCGAGTACTCTCCCGCTGCCCGAGTTTGGGCCGCCACCCCGACCGGCGCGCAGCTCGCGCAGAAAACCGGCGAGCATCGAAGTGCCGTCCCTTGCTGCTTTCGCAAATGCGCCGCAATCTGCACGGTTACCGAGCACCCCGCGGACTCCTAGGCCGCTGGTGAAGACCTCGTTGGGCAGATTCGCTTCTGGGCGAGAGTCGACGATTACGGTGAACGCGTCCGACTCCATCAAGCGGTCGGCGCCGTCTGTTTCCTCGTCCCCTGTGTCGTCGTCGACCTCGCCATCCTCGAGTTCCTCGCTGCGCTCGCCGCCACTGTTCCGAGAACTCGAGTCGTCACGGCAGGCATGGACGGAGCAGGAGAAGCAGGACAAGTGGGAGGCGTTACTGGAGCGCAGTGCGCGTGCAGGCGGGACCCTGCACATTGGTGAGACAGGCTTGCTCTCGGATAGCATGCATATGTCGAACTTTGGACTCTGAAGCTCATGCTTTGAGAAGGGGCGAGAACATGCGGATGTTGCGCCCCGAACGGTGTTCGTTGATGCTGGTAAAATGTCAATGCTCCTCGCACGCAGGAGCGCCACTCGTTTGCGTCGTGCTGCTAAGTTAGCTAGGTTAATCTACGATCCCCTGAATCTTGTGTATCCAATGACTTTCCATTCTATACCCGACGCATATATTATCGTCGTCGTCGTTGTTGTTGTCGTGCGGCAGTACTGCCCCACTATATAGTTTATTCATCCTGTCTCATGGTTGTTGAACCTGAATGACGTTCAGTGGCAGACTCGGAACCGGCCTCAAAAAGTTAACACATAAACCATTATGTAGCACATAGCTGTCATCGATTCGTCCTTGGGCACGCTACTGGACGCACGCGCAGAATTCGCATCCAGGTTTCTGCAGTCTGCATCATGGGTCTGCCAGACTCCGGGAAGTTAAGCTGTGCTTCGTACTAGGCCAGGCCCGGAGTCGCGACGCCTTGAGACCAGTACGCCGAACTTCCTGCCCGCGCGCGGACCCGTCGTAGGAGCGGTGTCTTCGACTAGTTCGTCAATTGCTGGCACCGGCGGAAGTGGCGAGCCCGGCGCGAGAGGGGAGGGCGTGTCGTGGGTGGTCTTCTCGTCAGCTGGACGGGGCATCGGGTATGGGAGAGGGGCGAAAATCACTGGTGATTGTGCGCCCTCGGAAGTGGCCGAGCGCGGTGGTGATGAGGTTGGGAGGCGCACTGGAGTCGGAGGGCTCTGCGGAGGCGAGGGTGGCGCTCTGCGGAGGCGATCAATGTCGGTGCGCAAGTTGGTCTCGATGTCTCGAACACGATCCAGAGTCCCATCCATCGCTTGGAATATCCCCTCCTTAAAAAGGTGTATGTCGGTTTTCAGATTGCACGCCTGCTCGACTCCACTGCTCGTCGTCGCAACGTCAGCTGAAATGTCGGCAATGAAGCCCTCCAGCCGCGCATTCTTCTCGCGAAGCTGGCTGACTTGCTGCTCCATATCCTGCAGTCGGCCCGTTGTGAGAGCCAGCTCTTCGCGTATCTTCTCCACCTCCGACCAAGTGGGACCAATGCTCGGCGCTGGGCGGTTGGCCATTTCTTCGACCCTCGCCTGGAGCGCAGCGAACGCTGCATCCTTCTCACTCTCCTGCTTACTTAATTGGAGGAAGACGGTTGACCACGTGTGGCTGAAGCCATCTGAGGCCCCCATCGTATCTCCCACCTGCTTCGCTGGGAACCCAATGTGAGCCTCCGCCTCCTGCGCTGCCTTTGAGCTCAATGGTGCGGGAACCGACGGCGTCGCCAACGTCTGGGGCGCAGACAGGGAGGGGCCCGCGTGGGCTGGGATTGGAGACGATGGCACGGGCGACGTTCTGATCAGCCCAGCAAATGCGTCGGTCTCCACCTCGCTGTCTGGGTTCGAGATGACATCATCCTCCTGACTCGGATGCGCCTGAGCTGCCTTTGGAGGAGACACCGGTCTCTTCCCAGCAGCGCGGGATGAGGGGTGTTGCGGCTACAGAGAGGCATGAGCATCAGTTCAAAAAGAGGTTGGGGCAAACTCACCACCTCGAGAGCAGGCTCGGTACAGTCGTCACCCGTTTCGTCCCCGGGTGTTTCAATACAATTGCTCACATCAGCCTCCTCATCGAGATCAAACGGCTTGTCGGGCAAAATGCCTGGGCCGACTAGCTTCACTTTCTTCCGGGCACGACGCTTCTTCGAATTTTGTGTGGCCTTGTGGCCCTCCTCATCACTCTCCGGCTCACTCTCCATGTTGCCTTTCTTGTCCAGTTTGGGAGGCTCTACAAGTTGGCCGTGTGATAAAGCGAGCTGACGCAAGGCAACCCAGTCCTTCAACCTGTCACCTACCCGTTTATCCGTGTTGTCCCAGGTATCTAGGTCAACGACCCACGAACCGGGTTTCCCCTGTATCCCGTTCCAAATCGGCAGGTCCGGGTATGGTAGGCGCTCGGCCTTCCGGCCGGCGACCCAAATTCGCCATTCGGCGGCAGCGGTCCCTGCGATGCTGTTTTTAAAGACGCGCCCGTCATGCATGAATCGCGGGACGAGCGAACAGGCCGACTTAGCCGTCTGGCAGCCCGTGCAGCGGGCCATCACGACCTTTTGTGTCGGCTTCTTCTTGTGCGCCCCGATGACGTAGACACACGGTTTGCCCAAGTGGAGGCAGCGGTCACATTCCACGGGCTAACTCGTTAGGGTCCACTGGTGGACTGAGTGCGACACAACTCACCGGTTGGATTTCGTCCCCAACCCTCGCCTTCGATTCGGCCAACTCGTAAGCAGTGGTTTGCGCTGTCACAGGCGCCGTACGCCCGCTGACGTCGGCCCGCACCGCCTCTTCCTCTCGGTTGGGCGCTGTTGAGGGTCCAGCCTCTGTGTGATCCGCGGCCCCGCTCGCCTGCGCCGCCTCTGCCTGGCGGCCGCGAAACCCCCCGGAGTCAGCCTTCGACTTGAGCTCCGCCCAGTTGCCTTTCCTCGACCTCTGCTCCCTCTTCATGACTGTCGTCGCATGGGGAGGCTTCCGCTTCTTCGCCCGCTCACCCTCGGCCGCCTCGTCACCCAGCACTGAGTCAGTCGGCCGCGTCCGCTTCTTGCTAGTGGTGGCGCCGATGTCTGCAGAGTCAGCCCTAGTAAACTTGTAGCAAATTTGAGCAATTGATTCCAGATTCTTACCGTCCGAGGGTCCCGTGGGGGGCCTGGCAGGTGCAATGGCCGCCTCTGAAGATCTTGCAAGCGAGTGAATGAACATGCTAAGGCTGTACTAGTAGAGTCACGGCGAAGGGGTGGAATTGAGGAGTCAATGTTTCAACGGGTAGTATGTATGTAAGCCGCGGACTTTTGCAGCCCTGTTTGACAGCGCATAGCATTCACGTGGTCGCTTCCCAGTCGACCGACGCCCACGTCGCGTTGAAGCTTCGTCGTCGGTCCTTGCCAGCCACGCACGACGTCGAGTGACGTTCATTGACTGTCAGCCTGCGCCACCGACGCGTCGCGAGTTCGACCAGCCACGATACTTAAGGCGCCTATTCTCTGGACTGCGTGCGTTTCTCTTGTTTGTCTTGTCTCTGTCTGCGCCTGCTCCGCCTGTCCGACCTGTTGCGTCCGAGTAAAATAAACTCGGCGGCAATATCTACCGGGGGGATGGTACGTCTGCACGCTGATCGTTACGCATGTGCCCTACTCACTACCATTCGTACTTCAAGTGCCCAATGGGTCGTAAAGGAAGATATCACACACAGCAACGGAGTTGCGTCAACATGTGTGTGATTAGTCAAACGCCGGAAGCGGGGGCTGCGTCAAGAGCCCGATGTCGGGCGAAGGGTCCAGCGCCGCAAGGTAAAGGAGGCTAGCCTCAAGGGTGCTCGAACGAGCGAAGGGTCAAGCGCCGCAAGGACTCAGGGGGGCTAGCTTCCAGGCCTCTGACACGAGCGAAGGGTGAAGCGTCGCAAGGACATGGCTGCGAAGAGCAGCAAGTTGGGCCACCCAAGAGCGGGCGCGCGGACGCGGTGCTCGTCCGGGCGCGGACCTTTACGTGATCCTCGGGATAAGTACCCTCGCATTCGTGCGAGGGGAAACTCACTCGCGCCGAATCCAAATTTGAGGTAAGAGGTATGTCGTCTCTGCAACCCCATGGATCTTAGTACCAGAATCTGCTCCTATCTGCCAATATAATTCTCTTTCGTGCGGACTGTCGATGCATATGTGATCGTGAGGAAGCCCGCAAGGCGATCGGGCAAGAGCTGAACTTGGGCGAACTGAACCATCCACGGTTACCCGCGCTGTTCTTCTGTGCAATATGATGGATCATTTTCTTCAATTAGTATCGTTTCAACGTCGGCGCATTGGTCTGCATACGCCTAACGGCAACGGATGTCACTCGATATCACGCACTCGTTGAACGACGTCTATACTGTGTTCCAATTACTCGTCGTCGGCTGTAAGCAACTGCGCTGAGACGTACGAGACAGATGGATTATCTGTGCGTTCTGTCGGGAAGTCCGAATCGGTCGCTGATACTAGATGTACACTGTGGTGTAGTATTGTATGAAACGACATGAGAGCAGCAAGTTCAGTGCTTGAGTCGTCTACAATACGGATACTGCGCGGGACCGGCGAGGATTCGAACTTTTTACTGGTAAGTTGTGAAGCAGAGATACAACCATGCTGCTCCCAGCAGGGTGGAAATCTGCGCGCAGTGCGACACGTCTCGGGTGTGATCCTTGGTTCGGGGCCGTCAACTGCGTATCAGACTTCATGTCCACTAGTCAGCCCTGACCAAGTGCATGGAGATGCGATTACGCATATACAAGGCCTTTGGGGTTACACGAAGCGTTGGGATTGAGTTTATTATCCGAATACACTGAGCGCTACGACAGTAGGCGCTGCGCTAGAGCCTTTGGTCCATTCCCCAGTGAAGACATACCGCATGAGCCGAATGAAAGGTCCAGGTTTCCCACTCGACATCCATGCTAGGAGCGTGAAGGCCCGAGAACATATCCTGTTGGGTCAAGCCGTCAACAGAGCCACGGCAGCCGGATACGACACATCGTACCTACCCTTGGATCGCACGATTCGAGACACGAGTCGGTGCTCAAACACACGCACAATATATCTCTATCCTCACGTTCCCCACAGAAACCATTCCTCCACCACCTTCCATTGTGGTACAAATGGACAGCTCGTCGCCGGGTGGAAGGCTATTCAACCACTCCTGTAGTTCCGCATCCGCGCAATCGTCATCTGTACGGAAACCGTCCCATTGCACCAGATGAATTGCGGATATGCGAGCAGTTGCTATATCATCGCGTACGATCAAACGGCGCTGGCTCGGCTTGCTTTTGGCTTGAACCTCGAACCATATCTGTGACGGGGAGTCACTATCCATGGACCCGGGTGACGACGGGACTGAGGAATTACGTGAACTCTCACACGGATGTCTCGCAGTAATTGAAACACTCACCGATTGTGCGTGACTCGAGAGTGATTACGATTCTACGTACCGGTCTGTGCGCTTTCGCAGACTCCGGAATCCGTGCACTGGCGTACTAGTAGCAGACCACGTGTGGGCTGTAATCGGGATGTGGCACTGAAATGTGTTGTGCGTTGTGAGTCCCTGCTTTGCCGACCGCCCGGACCCAATACTCCGCATAATCCAAGATATCGCATACAACGGTATGCGGCAATCTCAAATGGAGGGTGAGTAGCCTCTCCGTTTCAAAGACATCATTGGCATGTCTTGGAATGTATCCATATCTTTATCCACCTAAGTCAGAATACCGCGAAGACAAGATTATTGGGAGAGACGCACGGTGATTGTGCCTGCAATTCATTTACAATCCTTGCAAGTGGCTGATCCAAGAGATCTTCCTGCTCTACCGAAAGCCAGTTTGGTATCCCCCCATTTCGTCCGACTCCAAACAGCCGCAGGAGCCGCTTGCGTAGACCTATCGGGGCAACTGGCCGTGCACATGCGAGCACCGCGTCGTGGAGATGAAGGAGTGGATGTACGATTGCTGCGGTATGTGAGTTGAACTCTAGGAGTGGATCCGTGACTGGGAGATGTTGCGCAAGCTTCATGATCTCGTAGAGGCGTTTACCGTGCACTGAGGTATTGATCTTGTCATAGGGCGCGACAAGGAACAGAGTCGTCAACAAAGATCTTGCCACCGCTTCGACCTCCATTCCGTCTATCCCAGGAGCGTGGAACGAGTACGACTCGCCATGGATACGTAGTCGCCCACTATGCCAAATCGTTCCCCAACACACCTCGTGGTTGTGCTGCATCTCGACAGTATGGAAAGGCATGGCTGGGTCGCGAATACTATCCATCGCCGGCCCATCGCACCTGGTATCGACCTCGGTGGTTCCAGAGTCGCACGCTTTGAGTTTGATGTCAATGCTCGTGCCATATTTGAGCAGACGCGCGAGAGCGCCTCTATACCGCCACAACACTTCGGAGACCCTCAAGCTCAAGTCTGGGTGTGCCACGAGTAAGTACTCAGAACCACTGGGCTATCCCATATCAACTCCATGCTCAATGAACCATGAGTAGAATGCATCACCATCCAGACCACTAGCGGGCCGGCCCCTCAGCGATCCATGACATCTACCGCTGTGTTTTCGATAAGTCGGATGTCTTTTCTCCCGACTCACCAGACTTACTGACTGCAACAATTCACCGAATGAGAAAGTGAGCTCGAAAGGTATAGAATCCTTACCTTCCGCACCCAGCAACTCAATCAGACGCCACAGCAGTTTAGGATCCTCAGCGCTGTTGCACAGAGTCAGGACCGAGGATGACTTCAACCGCCCAAGAGGTTCCGGAATCCTGGTCAGGAAACATAGGTCAGTGTCAGAAAATCATGCGATGTGCCGCACCTTATGCAGAGCCGGAGGTCTCAGCTATCCGATCCCGATGACTAGGCGATGGAAAACGCGCGGACTGGTTTCTGTATGAAGCCTTGTGGTCGTCAGACCGCCAGGTTTGGTACCAAGTCGACGCTATTCATCTCCTTCATGCCGCGGTACGATAGTTCAAAGGGTTCTTAAGGCAATGCCAGCCCGAACGGCATTCCACTTTACCCTTCTGGGCGTGGTCGCGTATATGACCCATCGCTCGAGTACGCCACCGATGCCGACGCCGAAGGACGACGAAGTGAGGGACGATGTCAAGCCAAGGGAGCTGTTATTTGGCAGGGTTGCGAGACGGATGGGAGACACTGTCAAGTCGAGTGTAGCGACGCTCGGGTACGCCGTAATTGTGACGATGCTGACATTGTGATGAACGCTGGCAGTACATGACGTGATCGAGTGCCGGGTGCAACACCGCCGTGCTCATCGCGCGCGAGTTCAGCACGACCGTCCTCCGAAAGCTGATTCTCGTCGGAAGCGGTGCAGCTGCACGGATATAACCCACGTCCATCTTCCTCGCTGGAAGCGCGTTAACCGTCTTCTGCGCGGCGGTCCGTGTCGCATGTTTCCGGACGCCGGACAGGTTCTTCACGTTCGAGGTGACGGTGAAGGAAGGCCACCAGCTGCGCACGCGCGGGCCGGACTCTGTTGTGCGTCACCCGGGTGGTGCGTGCAGACCGTCGGCGTTGCGCTGTGGAACTGGCGTGCAGGCTCGTGGGCGAGGGAAGTGGGGTGGTTTGACCGGCCGGTAGGTGTGGTCGCAGCGTGCGTCTTCGTGGGGGTCAGGGCGTACGCCGGGCTGAGTGCGATCATGCGGTTTAGTCAGGAGGATACTTTGATGAAGGAGCAGTTGGGGAGAGCTGGGATGAGTGGGCAAGAAGAGATCTGTACCGGCTCGTACCTTTCTTTTACTGAACTGACGACTTGTTGCATTCGCGTGAAAATAACAGGGGATCTGTGTCATATGTCACTTTGATTCAGGGAGAGTGACGTTGTCTGAGGACGACCAGAAGCCTGAACTCGACGTTGCAAGCTCTGACAGCTCAGTCGGATTTACTGGTGTCTAATCAAGAGGTTCTGCAGTGTGCCTTGAATGTAGTAGCTCGCAGGTATAATGATTAGACTCAGGAGTGTGCCCTGCCAGGCGTTTTGTTTGCATCGTGCGACGTGCATCCGAAGAAGAGAGCAGCCTTAATTGCCGCTGCAGAACCGTGACGATCGACGCGGTGGCACGGTGGCGCGACAGCCACCAGTGATCGAGTGGCACCTACTAGCCTCAGCCTCAGCCTGACTTACTGGACTCCAGGCCTACGGGACGTCTGCCATCATCACATATAGCGCCTGCTTGTCTGTTACTCCATTGAATAACCTAGAACTCATGGCACCTTGCCAGTGGGTGACAACGTGGCCCTATGAGTTTCGGCGACTGCCAGTACTAGCTAGTGTGTATATCGTTATCCTCGACTCTCGCTGCCAACCCGATAGCTTACAGTGGAAGAAAGCATCAATGTGCTTGCTGAAACTTGCACTGATTGTACGAAGCGGGTCGAAGTCTCTGCTTGAACGCATGCACTCACTTCACCAGACTAATAGCTAAAGTCCCTCAGGCTGAGTCCGAGTCGGCTCCCAGCGTCGCCGCTGTATCTCTGGAATTTTGTCGCCTCCTCCTATCCCCAGTTCTTGCAGTACGTCGCGCAACCTTGTCCGATACATCACGCTGCCGTCTCGCTCGCCGTGATGCGGAGTCCTTGACTCACTGTGTTACCAGGCTATCCAGGGATGCTTTGTCCTAGAATCGCTTCCGCCTTCGCGCCCCGTTTTATACTCGTGCCCGCCGCGGAGTACACCAATCGGGCATATCGTGCGCATCAGGTATTACTTATCATGCCCGTCGTCCGCATGGCGCTGACCATCGCCTCGCCCTTTCCAGCGACTGCTTTGTCTTCGAGGTGGACCCACAAACACCCAAATCCGGGAACCGCCCTCGAATCGCGGTCCACGCTGCGGGCCGGACTGGGCTCGTGGATGTGACACCCACGTGTTCGCGGCCTTTGTGCCAAACGTATAAATGGACCTCGATATGTGGCCCTCTTGTGCCCAACCGCGACTCCTCCGACTCCTCCGACTCCTCTCTCCCCACCTCCAGGTGACCTCCCGCCCGTGCTTCTTGGTCGCTCACTATCTGGCTCTGCTCTCAAGTGATTCTCCTCGTCAGCCGCTCCGGGTTCTGGATGCCGACGCCACAACGACGCCACTCGTCGACAAAGGGAGCGCGTCGTCGCCCAAAGGTACGTCTACAATGCCTTCCCAGCGGACGCCCTCAATCTTATCCGACGCGTAGACCGACGCCCACGTCGCGTTGAGGCTTCGACGTCGGTCCCTGCCAGCCACACGCGACGTCGAGTGGCATTCATCGACTGTCAGCCTGCGCCACCGACGCGTCGCGAGTTCGACCAGCCGCCGGTCAGCCGCCGTGATACTTAAGGCGCCTGCCCTCTGGACTGCGTGCGTTTCTCTTGTCTGTCTTGTCCCTGTCTGCGCCTGCTCCGCCTATTCGACCTGTTGCGTCCGAGTAAAGTAAACTCGGCGGCGATATCCATTGGGAGAATGGTACGTCTGCACGCTCGTCGTCTCGTACATCCCCTCCTCACTACCATACGTACGTCAAGTGCCCAATGGATCGTAAGAGAAGATATGATCACACACAGCAACATGTGTGTGATTCGTCAAACGCCGGAAGCGGGGGCTGCGTCAAGAGCCCGACATCGGGCGAAGGGTCAAGCGCCGCAAGGTAAAGGAGGCTGGCGTCAAGGGTGCTCGAACGAGCGAAGGGTCAAGCGCCGACTGGCTAGCCTCAAGAGCTCGGGTTTGAGTGAAGGGTCAAGCGCCGCAAGAAAGTCATTGGAGCTAGCTTCCAGAGCTCTGGCATGAGCGAAGGGTCAAGCGCCGCAAGGACATGGCTGCGTCAAGTCCTCCCGAGGGCGGGCGGGCATCGCGGGACGCGGTGTCTGTCCGGGCGCGGACCTTTACGTGGTCCTCGGGATAAGTACCCTCGCATTCGTGCGAGGGGAAACTAACTCGCGCCGAATTCAAACCCGAGGTGGGAGGTATGTTTGCGCAACCACATGTATCTTTGTACCAGATCGCGCTTCTGTTTGCACGTATATATTTCTGTTCTTGTGGCCTGTCGATACGTATGTGATCGTAAGGGAGTTCGCCACGCGATGCAAGAGCTGAACTTGTCGAACCATCTTCGACTACGTGTCGGATTCTGCTATGGAAAAAGACGCGTCGTTGTTGTGATTGCGGTGACCTCGACGTTTCGAGATCGCGTGAAGGCAACGATGGCATGAAACCGACGCGCCTTGGAGCGCGTCGTGCACGTGAGCGCGGTGTGTTGAAACGCCGCTGGGGAGGCCGCGCGGTCTATTTCGGGCAGACGCGCTCGCGATGCCGCTATTCTCGCAACGAGCCCACTCGTCCTCGTCCCCGTCCTCTGCACTCCCCTCGACGTCCGCCGCGTGCTGGAGACCAGGCTGAACACCATCCAAGGTTTGTTCCTCGTCGCGTGGAGTCAAGCCATACAGAGCAAGGGTCAGCAGGCGGCGCATGGCGGCAAGTGCCTGTGAAGTCATCGACCTCGTTCCCGCCTTCCTGATCCTCTCGCACGACCACTTAACACCGCAGCCCTTCTCTCTTCTCGGGGCCGAGCACCCATCCCTGCCGCTATGCCACCCCAAGTCGACCTCATCTTCGTCTTTCGCTCCTCCCCAGCAAGAGTACTGTCTAGACGCGACGCGCGCGAGAATGCAAGGCAGGCAGAGCGCCAATACACAAAGCTCCTCGATGTCCTCAAGACGGGCGGCTTGCGTGCTGTCGGGAAGCGCGGGGAGAACGACGGGCAGCTGCTAGTCCTTGTATCATGTCCGCAGAGCACGTTAGCACGGTTAGCACAGCGTGAACGGTGAGTCGATATCATGTTGGTGTGGCGTGCGCACTCATGGCCCAACAGACATTCAGATTTCATCTGCGGCCTCCCTACTACAAATCCTACTGCCGCTCTGGATCTAACCTCTCTATCATTATCTTCTGCCGACCGACTACGACTCATTCACGCATATGTAACATCGACCGTAACGGACGGTGGCCTGGGTGTGGCGCCAGGCTCGAGTAACTGGGACCGCATCGAGTCGGTCATGATGCTTCATGACAACCAATTCAACGAAGAATGGATTCGCTCCTGGACCCGCAAGGAGCTGGGCTTCGTGACGCTGACGGAGATCCGTAAGCAGGTACGTTCTGGAGTTCGCTAGACCAACGCTCGTACTTTACTCACTAGGGGGACTGTAGTTTGGCGAGGCCATCGCGCTCTATTTCGCCTTCCTCTCGTACTACACAAAATCCCTCATCTTCATCTCCATCGCCGGCGCGTACTTCTACTTCTTTCACGAGGCCTACTCAGCGGTCTACTCGTCCATCCTTCTCCTATGGTCAACAACATTTGTCGAGTCTTGGCGGATCCGACAAAGGATTCTCTCCGTGCGGTGGAGGACGCGCGGGTCCTTCCGAGTCGAGAAAAGGCGCGCCCAATACGTGCCCATCTCATGGTGGAAGAAAGACCTCCGGATGCTCGCTGGGCTACCGGTCATCATGCTCTTCGCTGCTGTCCTCGCCGCGCTACTGATGGTTGTGTTCGTATTCGAGGCGTTTATCACAATGCTCTACACAGGGCCTGGAAACCGCTTCGTCGTATGTCTCTCCCCCTCACTGAACTGCGCCCCTCTGACCCGCCTCACAGTCCTTCGCACCAACCATCATCGTCTCCGTCCTCGTCCCGCGCTTCCTCAGCATTTACCACCGGTATGCCGTCTCGTTCACGAACTGGGAAAACCACGGGCACCAGTCGAGCCATGACGCATCGCTCACGCTCAAGTCGTTCACACTCGCAGGCATCGTCGACTACCTCGGTCTCGCGCTCTCCGCGTTCGTGTATGTGCCCTTCGGCGAGGAGACGATGGCATTCATCCAGCGCATGATCGAGAAGGATTCTGCGACGCACCGCAACCTGACGTCCACACTCTACTCCGCGACCGCCAAATTCGCGTCTGCGTCCGCGAGTGCGGGTGCAGATGCAGACGGGACGGCGGGCAAGGCACGGAGCTTCTGGGAGATGGACGTTATGAGTGCGCGGAATAAGCTCAGCCCGACGCGTCTGCAAGACCAGATGTTCGCGATCACGGTCACGAACCAGGCCGTGAATGCGTTCCTTGAGATCGGCCTGCCGTACGTTCTCCGCGCTGTCGCTGTGCTCCGCCGCCGCGGACTCCGCGCTGGAGCATCCGCGAATGGGTCCGCGAACTCGGGCAAGAAAAAGCGCGTGTCGTTCGAGGACGAGGCGGATGGGAAGGGGACAGCGCCAGAGAGGGAAAGGGAGAAAGGGGAGGAGAGGGTGTTCATGGAGGAGGTGTGGAGGCAGGTCGCATTGCCGCCGTACGAACTGTTCACAGACTACAACGAGATGGTCACCCAATTCGGGTACGTCGCGCTGTGGTCGACGATCTGGCCGCTTGCCCCACGTGAGTTCCCCGTCAAATCCTGCCTTTACTGAGATCGATCTGACGTACGTGTGTAGTGATGGCGCTGACGAACAACTGGTTCGAGCTGCGCTCCGACGCGTTCAAGATCTCGAAGCACGTCCGCCGCCCGATCCCCGCGCGCACGGACACGATCGGCCCCTGGCTCGACACGCTGCAGTTCCTCGCCTGGCTCGCGTTCCTCACCAACTCCGCGCTCGTCTACCTCTTCCGCCCGCTCGACCACTGCAAGGCGCTCGGCACGTCGCTCGACCGCCACCACACCCACCTCGCGGGGCGCAATGCGGGCCCGCGCGAGATCCTCGGCGCGGCGCTGCTCGTTGCGCTGGGCGCATCGCATGGATACATCCTCGTTAGAGTCGTCGTGCGCCATGTGCTCGAGAGACTGATGTGGCGCGGGACGAAGGAGGAGTGCGAGGTGGAGGCGGTTGAGACGGCGGTGAAAGAGGAGTACTTGAGGGGCTTGGGCGTCGCGGACGTGGCGAGCGCGGGCGCAGGCGAGATTGCAGAGGCGGATGCGAAGGACGGCGAGACAGATCCTTTTTGGACGTACGATGAGGGGCTGGACGAGCTCTCGAGAGAGACCAAGGAGTCATGAAGCTGAGAGGCATCTACTGAGTAGAGTAGACGTGATTTCCTTTGGCTTTACATGCTGTTCGCGTTTGTGCTTGTTTTCGGACCGCTGAGTGTATGCTACGACAACATAATGTATCGTGAACTCGGAGAGCAGGACACTGCATGATAGACGACGTCGCGCTCGCAGTCCAGGTACTTACAAGTCTCGCGCGGTTTGCATTCCACACTGGACCGATCAGCAAACAACACGCACTCGGAGCAATTGGACATGAAAACGGCGATACATAAATAGTACTACAGAACAGCATACTACATACACTTCGAAGTATATCCAATTGTTCCATAACTATTCCCAAACACGTTCAATATCGTGCTCAAGCAGGCGCGCCGACGCCCTGCGGGCCAGAATGTGGGGCCTGCGCGTTCTCACCGGACACCTGCATCCCCGCGAGCTGGTTTGGCAAGCCCTGGTATTGCGCCTGCCACGCACCCTGCTGGGGTTCTCCGTGCGCAGGCTGAGAGAGCCCTGGAGCAGGCGAAGTGGAGTAACCTGCCGGTGTGATGCCATAGGGCGACGTATCGTACGCAGGTTGCTGGTGGTACGTACTTGATGTCGGACTACCGGGTGCTTGCTGCTGCACACCAGGGACCTCCGAACCCGCGTGGGCCGCAGCGATCTCGCCAGCAGGTTGTCCCGAAGGTGTCGTTGCGCTCAAGTCCGTAGTTGACACCTGCGCCTGCTGGGCCACAACGGTCTGCGCAGTGTCCTGCGAGCTGCTGCGTGAGACTGATTGCTGCTGCTGAGTCTGTGTTGGATGGCCCCCCTTGACCCCAGGCACGGAGACGAAGTAGACAGAGCCTGTTGGGTCCGTTCCGCCCTGAGCATAGTACTGCGCCCAGGCCTGCACATTCGGGTCGGGATACGTTGCATTGGGGTCATACACGAAGGGCGGGCCACTCTGCTGCCGCTCGGGCTCGGGCCGGGGCTCCGCTTGAGCTTGAGCTTGAGGCTGCGGTTGGGCTTGTAGCTGCACCTGCGGCTGCGGCTGCGGTTGTGCATGCGGCTGGGGCTGGGCCTGCGGTTGTGGGACTTGGGGCGTCGGCGTGAGCTGGGTCGAAACGGGAGCGCCAGCTTGTTGGAAAGGCGTAGCTTGCACCTGTGGGTGCGCTTGAAGCTGAGGCTGAAGCTGAGGCTGAGGCTGAGGCTGAGGCTGAGGCTGAGGCTGCGCTTGCTGAGCAGGCTGACCGGCAGGATAGATCTGGGACTCGGGCTGGCTGCCATAAGGTGTAGGGGCGCCGTAGACTTGCGGTTGACCGTACACAGTCTGTGGCCTCTGAGTATACGGGTTGGAGTCATATGCGGGCTGGGGGCGAGCGGCGGGAGAGTAGGCACGCTCAGGGCCTTGCGCGTAACCCGGCTGGGAAGCAGGATAGGCGTTGTAGCCTTGATCATAGCCTGCTGTACCGTAACCGTAAGGCTGAGGGCCTGGCGGCATGCCGTATTCTTGACGAGCACGGGAGTCGGGGCGGGCGATGTACGATGAGTGAGTCTGAGCGTACGAGGGACGTGCATCATACACTGCGGCGGGGTAAACGGCCTACCCTCTCACTTCAGAAAGGATGGGAGACGTACTAGCACTGTTTCGAGCAAGGCTTTCCTCCATCATTCGGTCGAATATGGTCCTCGCCTTCACAAACGTCTCATTCATCGAGACGAGGTCAGCTACAGTCACGTTAGCATGCAGATGGTATATATGTGTACAAACGTGTTACAGACCTCGTTTCTGACTATACTTGTCAATCAGCTTGACGATCTTGGGACGCAGAGTCATGCAGTTCCTGTACACTTCCTACGACGGCCGTGAGCAAACGACTCGCTGACGGATGCGTTTATCAACCAACCTGAATCTCCTCATTATCCGCGAGATTGTCCTTTGCGGGATCCATACCACGGAGCAACGTCAGCAGACGATCCACATTCGCAGCTTGCGAGAACACAGCAGCCTCCTGCTCCGCCTCTCGGGCGAGTTCAGCCGCCGTAAGCTCGGGCAAAGGCTCCACATAGTTCACAGGGAAGATGCCCGTCCTGCCCTTCAACTGGCCACGCCACCAATCCTTGTATCCTCGGTCGACGACCTTGATGATGTCGCCCTTCTCGAAGGCCAGCTCTCCGGCCTCAGTGGGCTCGAAGGTGTGTAGCGCCCGGACCCTGGTGACTATAGAGACACTGTCCTGGCCCGATGCACTAGGCGTTGAGGACGGCGTAATTGAGGCCACCGTGGACGGTGAAGAAGTGTTCGCGGCAGAAACCGCCGGGCTGGCTGAGGGCACGTAGCCGCCATAGCTTGTTTGCTGCTGGCGGGGCGGCTGCGTGGTGTTGGTTGCCGGTAGGTTTACGTTCGAGCCGGATCCGCCTGCACCGCTTGACGATGCAAGCGAGTAATTAGCCCATTGAGGTCGTCCACCCTTGTCGTGCATGGACATCTCCAGGACGCGTTGTAGTTCCTCCTCTTCCCGGCGACGAACTTCATCATCCACATCCGGCGGCGGAGGCTCATCTGGCGTCTCAAACTTGTATCCTTGGGTCGCGCATGCTCAGCATATCCTACCATAGTTGTAGAGTGAATCGACATACCCTTGCTCTTTAGAGACTCGAAGCATTCCTCCATAATCCCGAGCGTGGGGTCCTTCTCGAACTCCGATGTCCACTGAGCAATCAATGATAGGGCTCGCCGCCGAACTTTGTCGTGCGTGGTCTGACATCGACAGCATATGAGTGAGGCACAACACAGACGGGAAGTAGGTTATGAATCGTACCCGATCGGTAACCAGCTTCTCTAGTCCCTGGGTGAATGCGCGCGATGCGATCTCCCTATGCACCTCAATTCCGCAGTTCTTCGTCAACGACTCCGCAAGAGTCAACGTATATAGTTGTACGTTAGGATTGCGATGCGCCAGACGTTTGAGGACGGCGGCGACAATATTGCGCGCGCTGAAACGGTACCGGGGTGCATGTGAGATACATGGTTACACGCCCTCGGCCTCACGCACCCTTGTTCACCTTCATCGAGGACCTTGTCGCATAGATTCAGAATCAACTCCCAGTTCTCATTCGTCAGGTTTTCATCAGTCGTTTTAGCTGAAGACGACCCATTAGCCGAAGCACCCCGGAGCCCGTAGAAGGATTTCACTCACCAACGATTTCGTCGTAACTGTTGGTCTGACCGCCCCTGAACATAGTTGTCGTCCGGTGGTGTTGAAGGTATCAGGGCAAGGGCTGCGTGCGCGACTACGCGTCGTCGGGAATAAATAGCAGTCTGGCACTGGGACGACTGCGCTAAGTACCGTTGGCGCAGCGAGCACGGTGATGCAGCGCCCCAGCAACAGACGCGGGTGGTCTCCGGGCCGCGGGACTTCCACGAGAGGAAGCGTCTGGACCTCGGCATCGTCGTCGGCCACATCCTGGAGATGCTATTGGCTAGCTGGCCGTTCCGGAGACCCCTCTCCGGCAAGCTTCCCAAAGTGGCCTGCCCGAGGCCAGACCGATTGCACTCGATTAGGAAGTATATGCTAGACACACTCGCGCTTGTCGCGCTCATCCCATCTACCTTTGTCTCTTCATCCTTTCGATATCCATCATTATGGCCAAGGGTGTGTCCTAGAATATTGGACTGCATGGTCGGCTCTCTGATACACCTGTAGTGCCGCGGAACTTCCGCCTTTTGGAGGAGCTCGAGAAAGGCGAGAAAGGCATCGGAGACGGGTCGTGCTCGTATGGTCTCGAGGATGGCGACGATATCATGATGAGCCATTGGAATGGCACGATCATTGGTCCAGGACATGTGAGTGCTATCGGTGTATTTCACGGCCCATGGGTCTTGGAAGTGGCCCGCTGAAGCGATTGACAGACCGTGCACGAGAACCGCATCTACAGTCTCAAGATCACTTGTGGCGATCACTACCCCGAGGAACCACCTAACATCCAATTCATCTCTCGAGTCAACCTGCCTTTTGTCAGTCAATTTGATGGAAAGGTAGACACGTCGAAACTGCCCGTGCTCGCCCATTGGAACAGGAACAGCAGTATTGAGACAGTCCTAGTAGAGATCCGAAGGTGCGTCACACACTTCACCGCCTGCTCTCTCTCTCCATCCTCATGTTAATTTTACGATACAGGGAGATGGCATCCTTTAACAACAGGAAATTGCCTCAGCCTCCCGAGGGCAGCACCTTCTAACAACATCGAGAGCTCCATCACGAATCCTGGACACGTTTAAGGCCCAATGTACTGAAGATACTTGAGAGTTTGTAGCATGGATCCATCGTCATCGTGTGTTAACCATATCTGCGTAGCTGTCACTGGAACGAATCATTTCCGCGCTCATCGGTCGGGAGCATGATCGAGTGCCATCTTCGCTCACTAGGTTGGATGCGCAACTTGCGCTAAGTCTCGTCACCCATCATCAATGTCCCCATCCTCCGCGAGTTCGTGTTGCGAGGATGTGTTGCACAACGATTTTGAGCACATCAATTATCGCCACGCCCTCCACTACTTTCATGTACGCCACTATGGTTATTTGCGCAATTCGAGCCTGTACGACATCAGTCTGAGATAATTCAAAGGTGTGCGAGTAAGGTGTCATGTCAGCCGTGGTATATAACTAATAGGCAGTCACAGTGCGGTCTAACGGTAACGAAGCTCGGCTGCGGTGGCATGGTACTTGTAATCCATGATCTACATTCTCAGCGGATTATTAGTTGACCCATTCCCCGCCGTTCGCGATCGCATTGCTTGAGGTGCTGCCCTCTCTGTAATCGGAAATGGCATATGGTCTCCTGCTCCCGCGAAGGTTACCACTGGCAGTACAGCATGAATCGAGACTATGCCGCAAGAATCATCATGAGCCCACGTCAACCGGGCACTCAAATTCTAGAATAGTTGACTGATTGGACTCCGTGACGATCGAGGACCGTCACGGTCTATCACCGCATGGCATTTGCGCAAAGAAGCAGTACTTGTATGAATGCCGGTTCTGTACGTAGTACACTGAGTCGTCAACGCGTCAACGTCAAAGGTGCCAACTCTCAGGCAGCTCAAGCCCGCCAACTGCAATATGGTCTATACAGTGGTAGAGTCGGCAGACTTCAAAGTTTCAACGTGAAGCAGTGGCGCTGTCAGGCGCGAATAGGACGGAATCCTTCGTAATACATATGCGTAGGGGATGCACACGAGTACGAATACAAACGAGCGATTAGGGTATAGTAATACGACAATGCCCTTCCGGCATAAAGAAGACCATAAATCAGGGAACGAATGTGTCGACGGTCTGAGAGACAACGAAGTTATCCGCCTCCAATAGCCTGTACGTGGGGTGAATAGTGGTGCGGTGTGAAGCAAGTTTAGGATGTTAGATCGAATCCTCCTTCCATGTAGATGCCAAGCGTCCGTCGCAGTGCGTAACATATCGTTCACGACTATGGGTCGGTCGGTGAGAGGCCTCGGTCTTTTCTTGTCGCGTGAACGAGCAGATCCTTGCCCTTGATCCACCGCACGAACCAGTCGCCGAGGGTGACGCCCCAAAGCATGTCGAAGTACGCGGCACCTCTACTCTGCACGCCGCCGGATCGTCAGCGTTCGTGCCATGCATTGAAGAACAGCTACGACTCACCCTGCCGATAGGAATGAGGATAATTTCCGTACTCCCCTTGTATGCCCTCGTCTGTGGCCGTCCTTCGAGAAAGCTCACGACGTTCGGGGCGCAGATCTCTGCATGTGTGGGATATTTCATCCCCTGCTTCTGCTCGTTCCAATCCGTGATGTCGCCCACTGCGAACACACCCGGATGCCCCACGACCTCGAAGGTCGGCTTGACCTTCACTAGCCGCCGCTCGTCCAGTGCGTCCAGCCCGAGCGATGCGATCCACGCAGTGTTCGGCCGAGGGCCAAATGTCGGAACAATCAGGTCTGCGGTGGGAATCGACATGCCGGAACGTGTGGTGAGACCGACGGTGCCGTATTCAGGAATATAGTCGGTGAGTTCGGAAAAGACCATCTCGATTCGGCGTGCCTTGCAGCGACGCTCCATCTCTTTCCGGTACTTCGCAGGATAAGTAGCGTTGAGAAGCATGTCGTCTGCTTGTACCAGGGTGATCTTCTTGTTCTGAGTGACAGAACGAGACGGCGATCTGAGAAACAATGTGGCGGATCGACTCCGGAGTGAACACTTACAGGGTAGATGTCTCTGAGTTCTCCAGCAGTCTCTGTAGCCCAACGTCAGAGCCTCCTCCAGATGTCGAATGGGGCAACAGAGACGCACCGATACCGACAGCGCCACCACCAATGAGTACTACGTGATCTGCCTGTTCGTATCGCTTCCGCCAGTGGATGATGTGTTCGTGCATGTCCTCGCGTGTGTACGGGAAGTCGAGCGGACCGGACCACAGAAAGCCGCACGCGAGAATGAGCGCAGCGTACTGAATCCTTCCCCCGCTCTCCAGGACGATCTCTCCACCCTCTCCTCGCACCTTCTCGTCGATCGCTGTCACCCTGTCGACGACCAACCGGCCGTTGCCATTGATGAACAGTTTGTCGTAGCTCATGAGGGCGAAGTGCTCGTATTCGCCCTCCTCGCTGATCGTCATGCGTGCGCCGGCGAGGAGGTGCACGGCGAATGGCCGTTCGTTGACGAGGATCAGATTATACTTCCGCGGGTCGAGCGTGCCTGAGAGGTTCCGCGCGACGAGCGCGCCGGCATGTCCGCCACCGACTACGATGACGTTCTGCTTGCCGTTCCAGTTCTCCTTCCAATGCATGTGGGGCAACAAGTTCAGCTGGCGGGTGTTGGGGACGGGAGGCGGGGGGAGAGGAGGGAGAGCAGGAATCAAGTCGGAGACCTGATCCAGGCGAGAAGGCGATATACAAGCGGGCACGACAGGCACGCTGATGCGGTGGACACACCATCTTATACGAGCGCTGGACGTCTCGCCCGTTAAGGGACGCGGGAGATCGCAGATGCTGATCGAGAGGCGCCCACGTGGACACTCGGTAGCAACTACACCATACTTGCCTAGATTTGCCTTCGGCTCGACAGTGACTACGCAGTAGCAAGCGGTGGGCTTCGGCGAGTCACCTATGACCAACGATGCCATACTTGCGAACTGTGCGTACACGGAGATGAATGTAATTCTGAGCGCCATATCCGCGAGCTTGAAACGGTTGATATGGGTTAGTGGGAGATCCATGTATCAGCCAGGTCCGTCCTGTAGACGCGTGTCTGTTGCGCGTGAAAACTCACCCAGAAGTGGTATCTAGGAAGATTCCTCAACCAGTCCGTTGCGATAGATATGTAAGTGGCCACGGGACCGAACCTGGAAAGATCGCACCGAGCCCGTGAGCCCGGCTTTCACCATGAATGACAATCTGACCTTGGCGAATACTCTCAACAACGACCGGCTCCACTCGGCGACTGTGCTGTGGCAGAACGCCTCACTTGATGTTGAAACGACACTGAAACTTTCAAGTCTGTTCAGCAAACTCCTGCCGACTATGCACCGCGTTGGGCTGTGAAGTTTGAACCTAAATATGTACACACACACCTGAGCGATAGCAAACGAAACGAAATGAAATACCTACAGTCCGGTCGGCGGATCACAATGCCCGTCTGGGCGGCGCGCGCAGTACATAACACTTGCTACGAATTGATCGAATTGCGCAGAATGGTGCATCACTTCACAGTCGCCATCTTCTAATGTGCGACCCTGTACGACCTCGGATCAGGACGGCCACAAGAGAGGGACTGGAGCGTCGGGGCTCCTAAGATGCTCCCATATTGATGATCAGCGAATCGAACGCTAAAGGTCGATGTGCATCCGATATGCGTCATCCAACGCATCGTACTAGGAGGGCATCACATCACGTCTGACGGAGTGATATTGGCTCGGTGATCAGGCCCAGGGATGCTTGAACGCGAGAGAGCTCAAAGAGAACGGCGACAGCGGGCCGACCAGTGGAACTAGTGGAAGCAGTTGGTCAGGCTTCAGATCAAGAGCATCATACTCGATCATCAAACCGGAGGTGTTCAGCGAGCAGCGTAACTTGATAGAGCATCGGTGAACGGACAAGCACAGAGGTGGTCCTGGTCTCATGAACCTGTTCGCGGAGGTTGCGATTTGAATCAGAAAGAAAGTACTGTTGCGAAGTACTCACGATACGATCGAAGTGTGGGGAGCGGCCGATGC